GTTTCGCCTCGAGGAGGCCCCTCTCCAAGTGCGCATCCGCCCGCCCCTCGGATCGCAGCCTGCGCAGATCCCTGGAGACCACGCGCTGGGCGGCGGCGTTGCCGTCGGGCAGGAACTACGGGCCGGGATTCCTGGGCGCAGGCGGCGGTGGGAACGCAGGGCCGGGGAGGGGGCCAGGGACACGGCTGCGGGAGGGATGTGGCGGGGTCCTCCGCCCAGGTCGCGGCCCGGGCGGGCGCAGGCGGCCTCACGCCACCTCCAACTTGCCCTGGTAGCGACGGCAGCAGCCGTAGAGAGCCGAGAGCAGGTAGAGGCCGAGGCAGAGGCCGCCGCAGACGGCGGCCGCCAGGAAGGCGTGGTAGGCGCAGGGCAGCGGGTAATCCTTGAGGTTGCAGTAGCTGTGGCGCTGCGTCTGGTCGATCATGATGCCCGTGGCCGCGCCGTAGAGGGCGGCCGCCAGTAAGTCGTGCGCCACGTTGACCACGAGCCAGCGCGATCCCAGCACGGGCACCAGCTCGTGCTTGCCCAGCAGGGTGACGAAGTAGAGGCCCAGGGTCAGCAGCCAGAAGAGCACCGACACGAAGAGCGCGAAGTGCACGGGGCCCTGGTACTTGCTGGTGGCGATGGTGACCCAGAAGGCGGCGCCGGCCAGCAGCTGCAGCAGCCGCAGCACGCCCAGCGGGCCGCGAAGGAACGGCCGCTGCAACTGCACCGCGCCGCGGGCCGAGCGCGCCTGGGGCGGCGGCTGGCGCGGGGGCGGCGGGAGCATGGCCCCCGGGCGCGGTGGCGGCGGCGGCGGCCCGAGCAGCGGAATGGCGGCGCCTTGCTCGCGGGGGCGGCCCGGCCCGGGTGCCCGCTGCGGCCGCCTCGCCGGGTCCCCTTCGCGGTCCTTCTCTTCCTCCGCTGCGCTCCGCACCCTTCCTCCCCTCTCTCCGCCCCTAGCCCTCCTCTCTCCCTCTCTGTCTCTTTCTCTCTCCACCCTCCTGCCCGCCCTTTTCCCGTCTCCTCCCCTGCTCGCTCCCCCCGGCTTCCTGCCATCTCTCCTTCCGCCTCGCTCTGCGCCCGGGCTACCCCTCTCCCCGCCGCTCGGATTCCTTCATCCTCCGGCCCCGGGGGGCGGTCCCGCACCCCGCGGTCGGCCGCGCCCTGCAGGGCCTTGTCTGCCACGGCCACGGCCGCCCCGACGCGCCCTGAGTCGCGGGCTCCCGCCTGGCTTCAAGAGCGCGGCTTCCCAGCCTCGGCCTGGGCCTTCGCCGCTACCGGGGTCTCTTGGCCCTTCCTTGGCCAGGACAGGGAGAGGTGCTGGTCTTGAACCCACAGCCGTTATCCGCAGGGTGTCCGCAATGGCCTACCCTGCCCGTCCTCCTCACCGCCCTCAACCCGCCCCAATTCCTGTTGCCCAGAGGTAGGCTCAGACTTTGTCCTGGACGGGCATCCAGCGACCCTCGTGGTGTCGGAGGAAGGGACCGCGTCGTCCCACTCCCACGAAGCGCACCGGCCTCTCCCAGTCTGGCCTGGGTTGAAAACGGGCTACCTGGGGGGCCCGGGCCCCTTGCGCGGGAGCCCTATGCCCCGCGAAGCCCCGCGGTTCGAATGCCTTCCGTGCATTCTAGCTCAAGCCCAGTGCAACCCAGAGAGACATACAATCATCCTCGTTTTAGTGAGAAGGGAGAGGTTCAGACCAAACAACTGTAATTACAGCTGGTTCTGCCTCCCCTTCAGAGCCAGCTTCGTTCGGGGACACAGCATGAATTCAGCCTCTTCTACGTGGCGGCGTATTTCACAATCTGGCCCCAACTTCTAACTTCCTGGTTATCCACTTCCTTTACCGATGCTCTCACCCACCAAGCCGACCCTCCCAATCCTTTTCAATTTCCCAAATACTCTCAGGCCCCACTTGGTTGGCAAATGCCTACTTATCCTTGGATGCCCAATTTATTTTTTAAAAAAGATTTTATTATTTATTTGAGAGGCAGAGTTACAGTGAGAGGGAGAGACATAGAGAAAGGTCTTCCCTCTACTGGTTCACTCCCCCAAATGGTTGCAACCGCGGGAACTGGACTGATCCGAAGCCAGGAGCCAGGAGCTTCTTCTGGGTCTCCCACGTGCGTGCAGGGGCCCAAGCACTTGGGCCATCTTCTTTCCCAGGCCAGAGCAGAGAGCTGGGTTGGAAGAGGAGTAGCCAGGACTAGAACCAGTGCCCACTGTGCTACAGCCCCGAGCCCCATGGCCACATCCCATATGGGATGCCAGGGCCGCAGACGGAGAATTAACCTACTGCACCACAGTGCCGGCCGGTGGATGCCCAATTTAAATGCATCCCTCTGCAGTGGTTCCCAGTCTGCTGCAGCGCAGCTGGCACCAAGGAGACCTTGGTAACTGTCAGCGGAGCGGGTGACTCAGAGGGTTCCTCTTACCCTGGGGACGGTGTATGCACCAAACCTCCAGCAGAGCCCACGCTGCAGGGCTAGTCCTTCATCTGCAGGTCATGACAAGAATCCACTGGCCCCTGCCCTGGCTGGGCAGCCTGGCTTTCATCCTTAGGGGAGAAAAGCTATGGGGCATCTCAGATTGGGAATGCCACTCACTGCCAGCAGTACTCGAAAAAGCTCCGACCACATATCTGCAATAAGTACATATGGATGTGTAACATCCACACCTAAGAGTGGGGCACGGAGGCCTGGGTACCAGCCTGGGAGTCAGACTGCCCGGCCTTGCACTGCGGCTTCACCACTCGGTGCTGGGACCTGGACCCAGGGACTACCAAGCCTCTTAGTGCTTCTATTCCCTCTCTGGTAAAGTTTTTTTACTCAGCAAATACATATTGAGCTCCAATTAAGTGCTAAGCACTGTTTTAAGGTCTAGTGATATATAAGGCATATTTTTTTTAAGGAAGTGATATAATATGTTTCCTAGGGAATTTTAAAAGTCTGCTTCATTTATTTGAAAGGCAGAGCAAAAGAGAGAGAGCTCTTCCATCCATCCACTGGTTCACTTCCCAAATGCCTGTAATAACCAGGGCTGGGCCAGGCCAAAGCCAGGAGCCTGGAACTCCATCTGAGTCTCCCACATGGGTGGCAGAGACTCAAATACTTGGGCCATCATCTGCTACCTCCTGGGGTGTACATTACCTGGAAGCTGGGTTGGAAGTGGGTGCTGGACTTGAATCCAGGGGCTCCCATATGGGACACAGATGTCCCGGGTGGTATATTAACCTGCTGTGCCACAATGCTCATCCCTGTATATGTGGTATTTATTAGTTGAATACTCACTACACGCTTGACGTTACTATGGACACTTGATATTCATTATTCTACTTGATCCTTACCTCAACCCGAGAAAATGATTGCTATTAGCTCTTATTCATTGATGGGAAAACTGGGACTTAAAAGGTTAAAGAAGTTGATCTTGGAGGCCCAGCATTGTGGCGTGGGGATAAAGCCACCATCTGCCATATGGATGCCAGTTTGTGTGCAGGTTGCTCCACTTCTGATCCAGTTCCCTGTTTGTGGCCTGGGAAAGCAGTGGAAGATGGCCTAAGTGCTTGGCCCCTCCCACCATCTAGGAGACCCAGATGAAGTTCTTGCTCCTGATTTCAGCCCAGCCCAGCTCCGTCCAATGAGGCCATTTGGTGAGTGAATCAGCAGATGGAAGATCCCTCTCTCTATGTCTCCCTCTCTCTTTCTGTAACTCTGAATTTCAAATGAATAAGTAAATCTTTTTTTAAATGTTAATAAATAAATCTTAAAAAAAAAAAGTTGGGGCTGACGTTTGGCATGGCAGGTTAAGCCTCTGCCTCCGATGCCAGCATCCCATATGGGCGCCAGTTCGAGTCCTGGCTGCTCCACTTCTGATTCAGCTCCCTGCTAATGCACCTGGGAAAGCAGCAGAAGATGACCCCTGCACCCACATGGGACACTGGGAGGAAGCTCCTGGCTCCTGACCACGGCCCAACCCAGCACTTGTCATTGTGGCCACTTAGGAAGTAAACGGCAGATACAAGATCTCTCTCTCTCTCTCTCTCTGCCTTTCAAGTAAACAAACAAATCTTAAAAAATAAATAAAAAGTTGGCCCTGTTCACAGAGCCATTTGTGACAGTTTAAACAGGATCCCCGAGGAGTGGACTCTGCATCCACATGCAAAGTCCATCAGCTGCTCTCCCAGGAACCCAGGAAGGTTGAGGCCTCGACCATAGAAACATAACCTGTGTTAATGTTGAGACACAAACCAAGTGTTCTGAACCCAATTCCAGGGCTTTCCCCCAGCATCCCTTAGCAACCCTGGACTGACCTCTTCAATGCTCCCCACCCCCACCCCTGCCTGTCTTGCGTAGGGCTGGATCTGGGTGCGAAACTGCTGGCAGGGGATTCCTGGGAGCAGAGGACTTGGGCTGGCATTGGGAGGGAGGATGGGGCAGCCTTCCCCTCTTCTAAAAAAGGCATTGGAGACTGCACGTCAGGGCGCCATCTGCTGGGCACAAACTTCCAGCCTCAGGAGTCCAGTCTTGGTCCTTACAAGGAAGCATCTTCCCTTGCCTTTGGGGATGGTATTTTTAGCCTCTGGAATTCTGAAAACACTCCAAGGGGTGATACAGCAGACTTTCTGGAAAAATGTAACTATGCAGAAAGATCTTGAACCTATCTAACTCAACAAATATGATTAAAGCACTTGCCTGATGCGCACAATCCGGATGTGGGAGGCCTCAGCAGAGGACCAGGCCCGGCTGGCGGCGAGTGCCTGCTCTCTGCTGGCAGTGGAGGGTGCCTGGGGATGCTGGGAGAGATGCAGGTGAGGGGAACAGGGAAACGCAAAAGGGCAGGTGGGGACGGGGAGGGGAGGCCTGGGCAATCCGTAAGCACAGGGTGTCATTTGAGGTGGATAAGTTTCCACAGGCGGTGATGACAAACAAGCCTTGGAGGGAGCCACAGTCCCTGTGGGTCCTATACGCCCCTGGATGCTATCACTAGGTATAGCCAATAATGCCAGGCCATGGCTGCTTTTTAAAGATTTATTTTATTTATTTGAAAGAGTTAGAGAGAAGTAGAGCCAGAGAGAGGTCCTCCATCTGCTGGTTCACTCCCCAAATGACTGCGATGGCCAGAGCTGAGCTGATCCAAAGCCAGGAGCCAGGAGCTTCTTCTGGGTCTCCCACATGGGTGCAGAGGTCCAAACAGTTGGGCCGTCTTCCACTGCTTTCCCAGGCCACAGCAGAGAGCTGGACCAGAAGTGGAGCAGCCAGGGACTTTAACCCACTGTGCTACAGCCCCGGCCCCCATGGCCACTCTTAACCCAACTGTTTCTCAGGGCTGGGTTTGCAGCCTTGAGAGATGAGAAACATCTTCCAAAGAGCAAACTTGCTTATGATAAAAAACAGTAGCAGTGGGAACGGGGGTGGGACTCCAGGTTCAGTGCCCCCAGCTGGTGAAATGTGCACCTGGGCCCCCGTGAGAGCTGGGGACAGGGGGAGCGCACAACTCCGAGGCTCGTGCCGCTCTGACTCCAGAAAGTGTCTTCTCCCAGCCTCTGGGAAACCATACTAGGTCCGCTCATCAGCTTGTAAGGTAGGCAAAAGGAAGAGCAGGGCCTAGGCTGCCCAGGGGACGGGTAACCGTGCGGTAAGCCCTGGTGCCACGACTTTCAGTGTTGCCAGAAGGGAAGCTTGGAAGAGGGTTCGTGTGGCCTGACCTCAGATCCCAGGATCAGCACTGACCAGAGTCAGATCCTGTTCTAGCTTCAGTCCCTGGGCCACTGTGCAAGTTCTGAATATACAGAGTCTGTGTACATTTGTTTAACACCTCTGATGCACCAGGCCTTCAGCCGGCGCTGGGCTGCCACTTGAGACACACCTGCTAACAGCAGAGAAAAAGTGCATGGCAAGAAAGCAGCTGGATACCAGAAGGTGCCTGGACTTTTTTTTTTTTTTTTTTTTGAGGGGGGAGGGGTTAAAAATTACCTTCATTTTCTCAAAGCTAATAAGTGCATTACAGGAAACTGAAAAACACAAGGAACACAGTACAAAGTCATCCGCAATCACAAGCAGTTGAGTTCAACATGTTCTTCTGGGTCCCGTGCACGCACACACAACATCCGCTTTTATGTGACTGAGCTATGGGATGTATGGATCATGTTTCTTCACACTTCATGAATATTTACCGATTCCAAATCCCAAAGCTGTATGAGTATTTTGTTAACCAAAAATATACTACATCAACTCAGTCTGTTAGGAAAAAATGTAATTGATTTTCTTGGGAACAAAAATTTTGTAAAAGACAAAAATAGCAGCAGGCCTCTAAATACAAGTTTTGGCTGAATTACAATTAAGACGCTGCATTCCCTTACAGTGACACACACAGCAACGGTGCATACTGAGTGTTCTAGGAGAATTCATGATCAGAATGGTATCATCGCCGGCGCCGCGGCTCACTAGGCTAATCCTCCACCTTGCGGCGCCGGCACACCGGGTTCTAGTCCCGGTCGAGGCACTGGATTCTGTCCCGGTTGCCCCTCTTCCAGGCCAGCTCTCTGCTGTGGCCAGGGAGTGCAGTGGAGGATGGCCCAAGTGCTTGGGCCCTGCACCCCATGGGAGACCAGGAGAAGTACCTGGCTCCTGCCATTGGATCAGTGTGGTGCGCCGGCTGTGGCGGCCATTGGAGGGTAAACCAATGGCAAAAGGAAGACCTTTCTCTCTGTCTCTCTCTCTCTCTCTCTCACTGTCCACTCTGCCTGTCAAAATAAATAAATAAATAAATAAGAATGGTATCATCCAAATATCAGCAAGAAGGCATGTTTGCATTCACTTGCTGAACGTACTCCCACAGCACAGCCAAGAAGAAATGCATGTCCACCGATGGCTGTCATCAACATGTAGACAGGACACCCCTCGCGTTGTACTTCCTTCTGCCCCTCTGCCGCCGGCCCAGTGAGGAAGTTCTGATACACGCCGACTGCTCAGAGGTGGCTTAACGATTCCAGGTCCAGGATGCACCTTTCCTATCAATTATAACAAAAAGATATTCACCAGCTCTACTTTTTATCACACATTGCCACTCCAAGACATCTATAAAGTATGGCTGTGGTAGAGAATAAACTTTGTCCATAATAAACATGGGTATTTACCCAAAAACGCACATATACACCTCCTGGTTTAATCTAAAAGCATCTTCTAGATATGGAGATACTAGTAATGAGCCCTTCCTTTCCCACCATTCCGGTGACCAAGTCCAGAACTGTGACATCTCCCTCCCAGAGGAGGGCTAGTAAGGGTCACTCCACAGATAGTCCTTCATAAAAAACTACTAAAAGGGACATTTACATAGGGATTATCTGAAGATTTTATCTTTATTTATTTGAGAGTTACAGTGAGAGGGAGACAGAGAGAAAGGTCTTCCTTCTGTTCACTCCCCAAATGGCTGCAACGGCCAGATCTGCACCAATCTGAAGTCAGGAGCCAGGTGCTTCTTCCCAGTCTCCATGGGGGTGCAGGGGTCCAAGCACTTGGGCCATCTTCTACTGCTTTCCCAGGACAAAGTAGAAAGCTGGATCCGAAGAGGATCAGCCGGGACTAGAACTGGCGCCCATATGGGATGCCAGTGCCGCACACGAAGGATTAACATACTGCGCCACAGCTCCGGCCCCAGGGATTATCTTTTTATTTATTTATTTATTTTTATTTTTTGACAGGCAGAGTGGACAGTGAGAGAGAGAGAGAGAGAGAAAGGTCTTCCTTTGCTGTTGGTTCACCCTCCAATGGCCGCCACGGCTGGCGCGCTGTGGCTGGTGCACCGCGCTGATCTGATGGCAGGAGCCAGGTACTTATCCTGGTCTCCCATGGGGTGCAGGGCCCAAGCACTTGGGCCATCCTCCACTGCACTCCCTGGCCACAGCAGAGAGCTGGCCTGGAAGAGGGGCAACCGGGACAGAATCCGGTGCCCCGACCAGGACTAGAACCCGGTGTGCCGGTGCCGCAAAGCAGAGGATTAGCCTAGTGAGCCGCAGCGCCGGCCCCAGGGATTATCTTATTACCTCTACTTTTAACATATTTTGGGCATTAGGAATTATTTTATCTTTTTTTAAAAAGATTTATTTGAAAGTCAGAGTTACACAGAAAGAAGGAGAGGCAGAGAGAGAGAGAGAGAGAGAGAGAGAGGTCTTCCATCCACTGATTCACTCCCCAGTTGGCCACAATGGCTGGAGCTTAGCTGATCCGAAGCCAGGAGCCTGGAGCTTCTTCTGGGTCTCCCACATGGGTGCAGAGGTCCAAACAGTTGGGCCATCTTCCACTGCTTTCCCAGGCCATAGCAGAGAGCTGGATTGGAAGTGGAGCACCCGGGACTCAAACCAGCGCCCATATGTGATGCTGGCACTGCAGGCAGCGGCTTTACCCACTATGCCACAGCGCCGGCCCCAAGAGTTACTTATCTTTAATACAGAGCAATGTTAACTAAAATGCATGTATATAACAATGGGTGGACAATCGAAACAATATAACAGGAAGGTAACCCTTCTTATGCATACTTCTGCCTGGACTCTTATCATTCAATTGCTAAACATTCCCTGGACACCTGCTATAGACTTGGCATCCTGCCACAATTATATGCCTGAGCTGGAAGACACCTTGAAGATCATTTATTCCAGGCTTCACATTTTATGGAAAGGGTGATCAAGACCCAGAGAGGAGAAATAACTTGCCCCAGGTCACACAGCTGGTTGTTGAGGGAAATGCCAAGTGTAGCACCTAGGTCTCCTGACTCATGATCCAGAGCTCACTCTATGACCCCATTGGGAGAGCACCCAGACATTAAGAGTCTGTGGATCAGGTGGCCTGTCGCTCCCCCACTCGCGGAGGAACGACACCGGACCCTGCGCTGTTCTCTTTGCCCGGCCCTTCCCAGGTTTGCTGCCACCACCCCCACACCCCCACCTCCGCGGAGGGGCGGCACACCACCAGCCGGCTCTCTCAGGGGTTCCTCAGATGTTCCTCCTGCATGTTGTCTCTCTCCTCCTTTATAATCCTCTTCCACCAATCCCAACTCTGCTGGCGTTCTCTCCCCACGGGCTGAGCACGCTGCTCTCCTCCAGTCAGGGGCAGGATCAGCTCCTACAGCTTGTTAGTCGAATTGGTGAGGCAGCTGTGTGGAAGTTGTTTATTCTCTCTCAGCACCATATGGTGGGAGATCAGATGCATAGAGTTAGTCTTAGCAGTTCCAGTAGTTTAGTCTAGTCTCAGTAATCTCAGTATTTGTCCTCAGTATTTATTTGTCCACAGTCTTAGTACTTATTTGTCTCCCGGGCGACGGGCCCTGCTCCCCACAGTGGCCCTGCAGGAGTGCTGTGGAGTCAGGGTCAGTACATGAACTCTCATCGCTGGGCCAAGATGGCCACTACCAGGCTGTGGGGACAGAGGCTACATTTTTGGTGCAGGAAGTCCCCTCTGGAAGATGCTGCATGGGACACCAGGTGGTTCGTGAGCTTCTGAATCCAACCCCTGAGGAATACGCGAGCCTCTGCCTGAGCTGGGAGGCAGCCTGGACTCTAGGAAGGTTTTGGTAAAGCAGGGCTAACAGAAGCATGGTCAGGGCCTCGGCCAGCAGTGAAGGTACTTGACTGGCTCAGCCCTCACTCCCTAGGGGATGCCAGCCAGAACCAGACCAGGAGCCACAGGTACCCTCTGAGGCTTGTCTTTTGCCCCTAAAGCTGTGCCATCAAGAGGATGCCCATGAGGTGCTGAGGGTGCCTCCTGCTGGGACCTATATTGGGGACTTACAGATCCTAGCGGACCACACTCCCAGGGGAAGGAGGGACCTCATGTACACGGTGGACACCCTGAGGCAGGATGGACTGGGAAGTCACCACCAGGGTACACGAGGGGAAGTAGCTCACCAAACATCACCACCATCTGCATGTGCCAGCTGCTTTCTACCTGCTGGGCTGTTAAGATGAGGAAACTGAGGTTGGGGTTGGCACTGTGGCGTGGTGGGTAAAGCCACTGCCTGCAATGCTGGCATCCCATATGGGTGCCAGTGTGAGTCCCAGCTGCTCCTCTTCCGATCCAGCTCTCTGCTATGGCCTGAGAAAGCAGTAGAAGATGGCCCAAGTGCTTGGGCCCCTGCACCCACATGGGAGACGCAGAAGAAGCTCCTGGCTTCAGATCAGCTCAGCTCTGGCCATTGTAGCCAATTGGGGAGTGAACTAGCAGATAAAAGGCCTTTCTCCCTCTGCCTCTTCTCTCTCTGTGTAACTCTGACTTTCAAATAAACAAATAAATAAACCTTAAAAAAAAAAAAAAAAAAAAAAACCTGAGGCACAGGAAGTTTTGTGAATCATCCAGCATCACACAGCTCATAGAGATAGAAATGGAGTTCAGACATTTCCCAATCCAAGTTTTTTTTTTTTTTTTTTTGAAGATTTTATTTATATTTGAAGTAGAGTTACAGATAGAGAGGGGTAGAGACAGGGAAAGACCTTCTATCCCTTGGTTCATTCCCCAGATGGCCACAATGGCCAGAGTTGGGCTGATCCGAAGCCAGGAGCTAGGAGCTTCTTCTGGGTCTCCCATGCAGGTGCAGGGGCCCAAGAACTTGGGCCATTTTCTACTTCTCCAGGCCGTAGCAGAGAACTAGATCAGAAGAGGAGGAGCTGGGACACAAACAATTGCCCATATGGGATGCTGGCACTGTAGGCAGAGGGTTAGCCCCCTACGCCACAGCGCCAGCCCCCCAATCCAAGTTTAACATGTGCATCTATTTGGAGTGTCAGCCTTGGCCCAAGAGGACCCGAAACCTCAGAGGTCTGCCCCTGAGAGGTGGGGAGAAGAATGGCCCCATCCTATGGGAGAGATCAGCAGGGAGGGGCCGGGCAGCAGGTGCTGAGAGTGGGGGTGGTTGGTACAGGCCCTGACATCCACACTGAGGAAGAGTGACTTCGTGTGCACTGTTTCCAGCTCTCACCCAGCTATGCCAGGTGAGACCCAGGTGCCGTCAAAGCTGGAGGCGGACCTCGAGGACAACGTTTACCAGTGTCTCCTCCTCAGCCCTTCCAACAACACTGGGAAGCCAGGGACTTTAACATCTGCACTTGACAGATGAAGACAGTGGGGTTCAGAGACGGGCTAGTCAATGACAGAGCAAGGAACTGTCGTTATAAAACATCCTCCAACATTGGTTCAAAATTGCCATGCCACCCCCAAAACTGGGTTTGCCTGCCCAACAGTTACTGACACCAGGAGATGAAAGCAGGCGTTTATTTCCAAGTGCAGATAGCAAAGAGCTGGACAGCTGTTGTTAATTCCTGGGCTCCCTGAAGGGTAAGGGGTAAAGCTTCCTACGGAATGAAGTTGGGATTGACACGTGCGTGTTTAGCTCACGTCCAAGTCCCTGAAAGGTCTGTAGTGCTCGGGTCCCTCCTTTGACTAGTCAGGAATATCATGTTCTTTAGGGAACGTCAGTGGTGGCAAAGTGGGCTCCAGTCAGTCTGGGGGATACGTGGAGGTGATGGTTATTTTTTGCTCAGGACCCGGGGTCCCTGGAAAAGAGGCCCTTCATGATAAGACAAAACATCAGATGTTAAATTATAGATATTATGGCCAGCGCCGCGGCTCACTAGGCTAATCCTCCACCTAGCGGCGCCGGCACACCGGGTTCTAGTCCCGGTCGGGGCGCCGGATTCTGTCCCGGTTGCCCCTCTTCCAGGCCAGCTCTCTGCTGTGGCCAGGGAGTGCAGTGGAGGATGGCCCAAGTGCTTGGGCCCTGCACCCCATGGGAGACCAGGAAAAGCACCTGGCTCCTGGCTCCTGCCATCGGATCAGCGCGGTGCGCCGGCTGCGGCGGCCATTGGAGGGTGAACCAACGGCAAAGGAAGACCTTTCTCTCTGTCTCTCTCTCTCACTGTCCACTCTGCCTGTCAAAAAAAAATTATAGATATTATGACATCTTTAGAGGAGATAAATGACCCTGGGGATCTTCTGTTCAGGGACCCAGGGGGCTGGCTGCATCTCTCCCTCAGTTGAGTCAATCTTAGTAAGAGGCTGATTTGCAACCACAAAAGGAGACAAGGGAACCATAAGCTAAGGGGGGAGGACCCTGGGAGGCCAGGACCTGGGGGTCTCCAGCACTGCGTCGAGGCGCTGTGCAGAACCTTGCTGTCACATTCCATCTCCGTCCCTGGAAAGGCCAGTGCTGCCTTACATTCTCTGAAGCCACTCTAACCATGAACTTTCCCCTTAGGTTCCAGCCGCACAAAGACTCTCCTTACCAGACATTGCTCACTCAAGACACAGTGCAGAAGTCATGTGGTCTCCCTTCTGCTACCACTTGAGTCTCCAAACGCCCATCACCACTGGAGTCTGTTAGAGATGTGGCAAATCATGGAGAGTTCCCCAAACTGTTGCCAGGAAATCTGCACCTCCGTCCCCAACCTGGTCAGGCAGAGCGGGACATGTGTCCGTGGTCCACAGAGGTCAAAGGTCACAGAAGTCACCAAAGACCCAAGAGCACCTTGACCTTACCCAAGTAGCCAAGAGCATGGCATTCAGGGATCAAGAGAAGCAACAGGAAGGGCAGGCATCATGGTGCACCAGGTGACGCTGCCTCTGGGGGTGCCTGCATGCCATGTCCGAGGGCCAGTTCAGGTGCTGGCCACTCCACTGCTGATCTAGCTCCTGCTAATGCAGCTGGGGAGGCAGCTGCTGATGACCCACGTACTTGGGTTCCTGCCACTCATTTGGGAGACCCAGATGGAGTCAGTCTCCTGGCTTTGGGCTGGCCCAGCTCAACTCTTGGGAGCATTTAGGGAGAGAAACCAGCATATGGAAGATATGTGTGTGTGTGTGTGTGTCTCCCTCTGTCATCCTACCTTTCAAATAAATAATTTTTTTAAAAAATAGAGAAGCAACAGGAATCTTCATTAGAGTGGAAATGCGCGGGAGGCCTGCCTCCCACCATGGGAGCCTTCCCCACCCCAACTCCTGGTGGTTCGAGACAGTTGAGTCATAGTTTACAGCCAGCCCCTATCCGCTGCTCCACTTCTGACCAAAGCTGGGCCTATCAGATTCCATTTCTTGGGGTGAGCATTTGGTGCAGCAGTTACGACTCCACTAGGGATGCCTGCATCCCATATTGGGGTACCTAGGTTTGAGTCCTCGCTGTACTTCCGATTCAGCTTCCTGCTAATGCTCCCCCTGGGAGACAGCAGGCACACATGTGGGAGACACAGATGAGTTCCTAGCTATTGGCTTCAGCCTGGCCCAGCCATGGCTTTTGCAGGCATTTGGAGAATGAACTAGTGAATAGAAGATTTCTCTCTGTCTGCCTTTCAAGTTAAAAACAAACAAATAAATAATTAAATGATTTTAAAAATTCCTTCTGGAATCCAGCTGAACAGTCAATCCTGAATAGAACTAATGCTGGGATAGCCAAAGCCAGTACATAAAGCAAATTTGTGGGGGGTATAAGTTATTTTTTAATGATTTATTTATTTATTTGAAAGGCAGAGCTAGAGAGAAAGAGCGAGACAGAGAACATGTGGGTGCTTCCATCCTCTGGTTCACTTCCTAAATGGCCACAACAGCTAGGGTTAGGCCAGGCTGAAGCCAGGAACCTGGAACTCCATGTAGGTCTCCCACGTGGGTGACAAGGACCCAAGTACTTGGACCATCTTCCGCTGCTTTCCCAGGCATGTTAGCAGGGGCCTGGATAGGAAGTGGAGCAGCCAGGACTCCAACCAGCGCCCATATGGGTTGCTAGTGTTTTAGGAGGCGGTTTAAGCCATTGCACTACAACATTGGCTCCAGGGATAGAAATTCTCAGTGAGTGGAGGAAGCCGGTCTACGGACAAGAGAAAAGGGGCGGTCAGGGTTCTCCAAAGAAACAGAGCTGAGAGAATAGATGGATGGACAGACAGATGACAGATAGACTGATTTCTGATAAGGATGTAGCTCAAGCAGTTATGGAGGCTGTCAAGTCCCCAGACCTGCCATGGGCGAACGGGAGCCCCAGGAGAGCCACCAGGGTGGGGGGTGGAGGTTCCAGTCTGAAGCTGGCGGGCTGGAGACCCAGCAGCAGGAGGAAACCCATGTCTCAGCTAAAGGCAGCAGAGCGGGAGTGCCCGCCAGCTCACCTGAAGCTCAGCCTCGAGCTGATCAGACAAGGCCCACCCACGCTGGAGGGCACAGTCATACGGGAGGTGGGTGTTCCAGGTGCGCCATCAGTGTCATCACTGCGCCGAACACCTGCCCCTCTTCGCTGCTGGTCACATCCTACCAGACTCACCGCTCTCTACTGCATCCGTCAGAGTCAAAACAGGAGGCAGAAACCACACAATAATTTGAGCACAGAAAGTTCAATCTGAAGAAGCGTCCATAACAGGGTTGGGAGTCCTGAAGGATGTGGCTACTGAGGAGAGAAGGGCAGAGGACAGAAGCTGTAAGGAGGAGCCACCACCGCCTGGGCTGAGATGGACCCTCAGGGCGAGCGCCCTTCCTGGCCCTCCCAGCAGGGCTGGAGTCCGGATCTCACTAGAGATGTGGCTGTGGCTCACGGGCTGCTGCTATGCTTCCGGGACTTCCTGGGAATCTGCCACTTGCAGTGCTGGGGTCCGCTGTCCACAGTAAGGTATTGCACCTGGAAACCAAGGAGGCTGTTAGGAAGGCAGGGCCACCGCACGTCGCTGACGGCCGCACCCTGGAGGAGGCCAGCACGGAAGTCGCCCACAAGGCAGAAGCCTGTGGGCCTGCCTCTGAAAGCGTCCTGCCAGCTCCCTCTGCTGACAAAGCGGAGCATGGGCCCAGCTGAAACAGAAAAAACACTTCTAGGTCTGCTCTCGCTATCCCAAAGCACAGCGAAGTGCAGACTGGGTGCCGCGAGGCGATACCTTGCCCACTGCCAGAGCCCACCTGCTCAGAGACCCGGCTTCCACACACACTCCTCCAGGTGCTCTGCACTTCGGTACTCCCAGGCAACGATTCCACCTGAAGAAGTACAAGTAGCGTTTTCAAGAGTGAAGTTCTCACCCTCTCTCCAAAGTAAAAGGCCTACACAGTTCCGACAAACATTTTCAAGTACACAACACATTGTTAACTACGCTGCATTGCTATATATCCGATCTCTAGAACTTACCTATCCTCTAACTCAAAGTTTATACTCTTTGACCAGCATCTCCATGTTGCTCACACCTCTCAAGCAGCCCCAACCTCTTACTTTGCTGTTTTAAGCTTGATTTATTTATTTATTTAATTGAGAGGTGGAGAGAGAGAGAGCCCACGCTCCCATCTGCTGGTTCACTCCCTAAATACGTGCATTAGCTGGAGCTAGGCCAGGGTCAGAGTCAAGAGCCAGGAACTCAATCCATGTCTCCTGCAAATCTGGCAAGAACCTAATTACTTAAGCCATCAGCTCCGCCTCCCAGGGTCCCATTGGTGGGAAGCTGGAGTCAGGAGCTGAGGCCAAGAATCGAGCCCAGGTACTCTGCTATGGGACATGGGCCTCTTAACCACTAGGCTAAGTGCCTACTCCGGTCTGGCGGCTTTAGATTACACATATAAGTGACACATCATGCAATATTTGTCTTTCAGTATCTGGTTTATTTAACTTAGAATATTGTCCTCTAAGTTCATCCATTTGGTTGTGAATAGCAGGACTTCCTTATTTTTTAAGGGTAAATAATATTCCACTGTGTGTGTTTCTTTATATATTCTTGATCAATTCTTTATACACAGACATAAAGGTTAAGTTATTTACTTAGGGTTGACCAGCTAGAACCCCTTTCCTCAACTCTGCTTCCCTTGAGCGGGAAAAATCAACCCTGGGTTCAACCATATTGGAGCTTGCAACAGAAGGGTAAATAACTTTCCATATTTTGAACCAAATGGAAAAAGTAGCTAAAAGCACTTTAGTCAGAAAGCAAGCATGAGTACATTTAAAATCCCACAGTGCCCAGGCTGTGTGCACGCTATTGTCCACCCTCAGAGAGACACCTGTCAGGGCCTGCCATGGCAGGCTGCGGGGGACTGTGGGCTGTTTGGAAGTGACTGTTCTACCCCAAAATAATGCAGAGTCATAAAACAAACAGTAGCCTGTCTTTATTTTTAAAACTGATACTGTGCTCATCATAGATTTTTTTACATTACCTTTGGTTTTTAATGCTGTATTATGATAACATCTATCTTGATTACTGAGTTTTTGGTCCCCTTGAAGTGTCTGTCAGGGGTCCAGCACCATGGGTTAACCTGCTTTGTGCAACACCCGCATCCCACACGGGTGCAGTTCAAGTCCCCCTGTTCCACTTCTGATCCAGCTCCCTGCTAATGCACCTGGGAAAGCGGTGGAAGATGGCCCAAATGCTTGGGCCCCTGACACCCACATGGGAGACCTGGATGAAGCTCCTGGATGCTGGCTTTGACCCAGCCCAGTCCTGGCTGTTGCAGCCATTTGAGGAATGAACCAGCAGACATAAGATTTCCTCTCCCTCCCTCTGTCTCCCTCTCCCTCTCTCTCCACTGCATTTCAAATGAAACAAAATCTTTAAACAACTTTGTAAAGTATTCGCCAGACTGGAGTTCCTCAGTCATCCCAGCTTCATCGGGGCCTTGAGTAAACCCAGCTGCTGGCCTGGCCTGAGCTATGCCAGTGTCCACAGCCCAGAGCCAGCTGTCGTGCAGGGGTGGTTACTGCCCCAGAGCTCCATTCTGTGGGTCCCACATGGCCCCACTCCTGGTGAGGCCTCACATGGCCCAGAGGACGGTGGATGTGTCGCTCCTTATCAGAAATACTGACTCATACAGCTGTAACAAACAACAGAAGTGGTTCCATTGTGTGGTAAGCACCCGGTCACATGTTGGCAAAAATGTTTGGAGACATCAGATACTCCCCACCCAGCCTTAATCACATCTGACCCAGAAGCCACAATTCCCGGTCGTAGGTTGGCAGTCATCTGAGCTCAAGGCATCAGAATGCGTTGGTTTTCCTGGCACTGATAAGCCAAGAGGTCGGCTTTCCAGGCCTGGCTCAGAAGCCCAGATTTCTGGCTTGGGAACGCACACAGCAGTGGGCTGGAAGGCTCTGCAGTCAATACTTACCCCCGCGCAGCCACATTGCTGATGTCTTTGTTCCTGCCAACATGTTCCCTGAGCTTCAGGAAATGGGAAGAGGCTGTTTTCGTGCCGAAGGAGAAAGTGCAGCCCGTGGCATGAGGAAGCTCAGACATCCCCTTCACCATCCAGAAGGAACTCCCAAATCCCAGGGCGCTGGCTCCTACCCCTCTCCCTTGGAACTTTTACACAAGAGACATCAAACTGCGATGATCACACGGTCAGCTCTGAAGTGAAAAGCCAGGGGGCCCAGCTGCCCAGACCCAGGCCCCCTTCCTGATGGGTTCTAAGCAACTGCACAAACAACCCCTCATTTTTTTTTTTTTTTACAGGCAGAGTTAGACAGTGAGAGAGAGAGAAAGACAGAAAAAAGGTCTTCCTTTTGTTGGTTCACCCCCCAAATGGCCGCTATGGCCGGCACTACACTGATCCGAAGCCAGGAGCCAGGTGCTTCTCCTGGTCTCCCATGGGGTGCAGGGCCCAAGCACTTGGGCCATCCTCCACTGCCTTCCTGGGCCACAGCAGAGAGCTGGACTGGAAGAGGAGCAACCGGGACAGAATCCGGCACCCCAATCGGGACTAGAACCTGGTGTGCCGGCGCCGCAGGCGGAGGATTAGCCTAGTGAGCCGCGGCGCCGGCCAACCTCTCATCTTTTTTTTTTTTTTTTTTTTGACAGGCAGAGTGGACAGTGAGAGAGACAGAGAGAAAGGTCTTCCTTTGCCGTTGGTTCACCCTCCAATGGCCGCCGCGGCCGGTGGCCTGCGGCCGGCGCACCGCGCTGATCTGATGGCAGGAGCCAGGTACTTCTGGTCTCCCATGGGGTGCAGGGCCCAAGCACTTGGACCATCCTCCACTGCACTCCCTGGCCACAGCAGAGAGCTGGCCTGGAAGAGGGGTAACCGGGACTAGAACCCGGTGTGCCGGCGCCGCTAGGCGGAGGATTAGCCTAGTGAGCTGCGGCGCCGGCCTCAACCTCTCATCTTCTAAGGAAGATGAACAAGCATCCATCAAGAGCCTATGGGGGCCGGCGCCGCGGCTCACTAGGCTAATCCTCCGCCTAGCGGCGCCGGCACACCGGGTTCTAGTCCCGGTCGGGGCGCCGGATTCTGTCCCGGTTGCCCCTCTTCCAGGCCAGCCCTGTTCCTCTGTCCAGGAATTCCATCGGAGGATGGCCCAGGTGCTTGGGCCCTGCACCCCATGGGAGACCAGGAAAAGCACCTGGCTCCTGGCTCCTGCCATCGGATCAGCGCGGTGCGCCGGCCGTAGCGCGCCGGCCATTGGAGGGTGAACCAACGGCAAAGGAAGACCTTTCTCTCTGTCTCTCTCTCACTGTCCACTCTGCCTGTCAAAAAAAAAAAAAAAAAAAAGAGCCTATGGGAAGTCCACGGCCCGACCACCCTATGTGCCCGATCTCATCTGATCTCGGGGGAGCCTACGGGACACTCCCCCGTATCCACTCCTGCCCCCTCCAAATCCAACTTGCAAGCTTGGCCAGAGCGACCTTCTGGAAACAAATCTGTCACCAGGGTGAGCCGAGCTAGTGTGGTAAAGCGCAGACTGGCATGAGTGGCACTTTAGTTAAGTGCCACAGAGGGCCTCTTACAAGAACACACAGAACTCCGCCCGGTTCAAGGCCTCGGAAGATCAAACGCAAACCTCTTCCTAGCCTGCCTCTGCCTTCTGCTTCCTCCACGTGCACCCTTGTTTAACTCCTCCCAACCACTGACTGCCTGGCCCTGGCGCGCCCTTCTCAGCCCCACTCCTCTGCATTCCCCCACCTGGGACTCCTTCAGCTCGGCTTCAATGCCGCTTCCAGCCTTCCAGGACCCCCCAAAGGGAGCTCCGACGCCTCCAGTCTACCCTCTTCAGTCGCAAACCGGTTACCGTGGTTGGGTGTCTGCCTCCCCCTTGGGGCTGTAATCTCTCCTGGGCTGTAATCTCCCCTGTTTACTGCCTGTCAAAGAACCGACACAGACCAGGTCCCCGATGGATACCGAGCGAATACAAACTCTATTTAGGGAACTGGCCCGATGTGGCACAGCTGGTTCAAACTTCGAACCCTGACGTCAAGGCTTTGAAGCCCGGGGTCTGACCGCAGCACTGACGCCTCATCCCGGCCCGTAACGCTAAACAGGTGGGCGGGGAGGTGTTTCAGGAGCCGCAGTTTAAAGCTCGGCCCGCGGAGACGCGAGCGCCGGCCTGTGGCCCGGGAGCAGGGGCATCAGTCACGTGTACCCGGCTGGCTCAGCCGCGGCCACCGCACCCAGGGACAGGAATGCTGCCCCGCCCGGCTTCCGCGCCGGCGAAACCGCGCGGGCCCGGAGGACTGACGTCAACGAAGGGGGCGCCTCCGGGACGCCGCGCGAGGGCGGCCGGGTGGGGGGCGGGGCCCAGGCGGGCACGCCTCCTCGCCGCTGCGCCCCCGCTGATTGGGCTCGGGGAATCTCCGCACTCTGCTGGCTAGGCCGGCGGAGGGAGGGGGCGGAGTCGGACACGCCCCGCTTCCCCTCTCCCACCGCTGATTGGTCCGCGGAAGATTCGCGTTCGATTTCGGGAGGCTCGGCCCGGAGCTCTCCCAGAGGCTCGGGGCAAGGATTGGCTGCTCTGGGGCCCAGGAGCGTTTTTTCCGAGGAACCGTGGCGGAGACCGAGGTGGCCTGGGCCGGCTTGGCGCTGTGTGCGGCTCGCCGCTGGCAACCAGGTAGGTCGGTGGGCGGTTGGGCTCGGGTCTGTGGTGGGAGCCCAGGCCGCCGGGACGCGCGCCCCCGAACCGGAGAGGGGCCCCCGGTTCCGCCAGGCGGCTCCCTCTGAGCCGCGGGGTCAGCCGGCGCTGGGCGGGGATGTGGCCGTGTGACCTCGGCCGGGATGCCCTCCGCAAAGCTCTTGTCCCGTCCGTGAACGCCGCCTGGCCCCTGGGAGCCCCTCGACGGCGGGACCTCAGAGCTGCGCCGGCCCTCCGCGAGGCCGTGGAAGGGCTTGGGGCCGGCGCGCCCGGGCTTGCCCTGTCCGAATCTGCGGCCCTTCGGCGTGGGGTGGCCGCTGTCACTCCCGCGGGTGGAGGGGTGCGGAGAGCACAGACGCTGCTAGGGAGTGGGGCCTGCCCGGGATTCCTGCGCCTTCCAAAACCCAAGGACTCAGATGGCGAGTCCCCTGGGCCCTGCCTGCCCCGGAAGACCTCGGCAGGACCGGACAGACTCCCCGGGTTCCAACCCTGACTCCATCCCGGCAGTTGTGTGGCGTTGGTCAAGTTACGTGGCCTTTGTGATCTCAATCTGTAAAACGTGTCTCCTCGTGGGGGTGACAATACCTCCCCCAGAAAGCAATGATTTAGGAGCGCACAGAGGAACCCATCGCCCTTTGCTGCCTTCTAAGAGTGAGGGCCCCTCTTGGGGTTTGCTGATGGCAGTGATGATGATGGTCCTGTCGGACAGCCTTTCCCTTACGCTGTTATCCACCCATCCATCCATCCCTCCATCCCTCCATCCATCCATCCATCTATCCCACACACAGCGTGTGCAGTGTCTGCTCTATGCCAGGACTCCATATTGAGGTTTTTTTTCCTCACCATTTTGATGATGAGAAAACTGAGGCAGGGAGAGCTGAGACTTGCCCAGGGACACCCAGGTCTCGGGAACTCAGCCAGAATTCGGGGTTCTTGAACTCCTGTTGGAAGAGTGGTTATCTCTGTACTCCTGCTTTGTGTCCAGGTCTTCGCTGCGCTGTGGTGTGGGCCAAGGGCTCAGTGCCTTTCTCTGCATCCCGGGGCACAGAGGTGGAGACCCTGTGGGCCGTTTGGACTGGGCCCCAGGTTCTGGCTGCCGATCAGTGGCATGTGTGTGCAGGGTAGCGGGCCAGGGCGGGCTTTGGGCCAGAGCCTCCAGTTATTTTTCTGAGGTCCTCGGCCTGTGATTACAGAGATTATTGCCGTCATCAGGGTTGTGGAAAGGGGGCCAGCAGGGTGTGGGAACAGGAGTTTCCCAGCTCCCCCAGAGCGCACTCCCCTTCCGGGTTACCTAGGCCTCCTGGGGACCACTGAGAGAGATGCTCCCGCAGCCCCAGCCCCGCTGCCTGAGCTGCACTTCCCAGCAGACTGCCTGGTGAGCTGCTCCCTGAGTGCATGTCTTTGCTAGAGCTCTGCAGCTCCCCACGCATTGCCCATTGCAAGACACGCTGAATTCAGGTGTTTTCAACATTGAGCATTTACTTTGGGGGGCCATTTTTACCCCGAGTTTATGCCAGTTGAAATATACAGCAGTTGCCCACATGGGAGACCAGGAGAAGCACCTGGCTCCTGGCTTCGGATCAGCGTGGTGTGCTGGCCGCAGCGTGCTGCCCATAGCGGCCATTGGGGGGTGAACCAACGGTAAAGGAAGACCTTTCTCTCTCTCTCTCTCTCTCTCACTCTCCACTCTGCCTGTCAAAAAAAAAAAAAAAAGAAAAAGAAAAGGAAAAGGAAAAAGAAAAGAAAAAGAAATACACTGCAGTTGGTCTTTATGCACCTATGCAGACACACTTATCTTCATGTCCACGCTGAAATGAAAGGCCCATTTGTGCTCTTTTCGCAGCCCCGTGGTTTCATTTGCCACTTTAAAATTGCCATTGTTCAAATACACACCAGCTTTCCTGGATTAAGGGCTCGTCCAGGAAATTAGGGGGAAAGTGACTGCCGAACGCATTAAATGAGACAGGAACAGCTTCCTCTGATAGTGAAAGGCTCTGATTTACCACTCACGAGTTTCCCCGAGATTTACCAAAGTTTGCTTGGAATCCAGCCATTTTCCCCCCTAGCCCCACTCAGCTGTCTGAATCCCAGGGTGGGAGGTGGAGCCAAGAACGAGGGTCCCCCAAATCTGGAAGGGCTGGGTGGGTGTGGTGGAGGGTTAAGCTGCCGCTTGGGACACCCGCATCCCATATGGGAGTGCCTGGTTCAAGGCTCCTCCACTTCCTATCCAGCTTCCTGCTTAACGCATCCTGGGAGGCCGTGGATGACGCCTCAGGTAATTGGGTCCCTGCCGCTGGCTCCTGGCTTCAGCCTGGCCCAGCCCTGGCTGCTGCAGGCATTTGAAGAGTGAACTATAGATGGAAGATCTCTCACTTTTGGTCTTCTTTTCAAATAAATAAAATTAAAGAAATTTAAGAAAAAAGTCAAGGGGCCCAGCGCTCCTCAGGGTTCGTGGAGGTGTGGCTGAGGCTGGAGGTGCAGCCGGCTTCTTGTTGGCGTGTCTGTAACTGGCTGGAGGCCGTCAGTCCAGTCCAGCCTTTCAGAAGTTGCTGGCCCTCTCAGGGGTCAGGTTCCAGCCATTTCCTCCCCAGGACAAGTGCTGCTGTGTGCTCCTCATCGCCACCCTTTGGCTGGAGGTGATATTGCATGAGTCGGAGAGAAGGGACATCATGCCTTCTCGGACCACCCCAGCCCAGCTCAGCAGTCTGCCCTGGGCTGTGCTGTAGCCAGTCTAGGTCACCAGGGTGCTTTGCAGTAGCAGTGAGTTCTCTGTCCTCTACCAAATCCTGACCCCACAGCCCACTGCAGCAAAGCAGGGTTTGGCTTCCAAGGGAAACTGAAGGAGGGGAGGGGCCGCTGCATTGGGGAGTTTCCTGGTTCCTAATTAGCCAGTCTTGTCCTTGGCTTCCAGGCCCCGGCACGTCAGCAGTCCCATCCCCTGCCACACAGACCCAGCCTCGCCAGACACCATCGGCACCAATGGACTTCTCAGTGAGGGCAGGGCATCTGGGCCGCAGCACCCATGAACTGCCTGGGCCTCTGAGCCAGGGCTCGAGCCCAGAGCTCTGTGTCACAGATGCTCGATTACCTCCTCGGGGTCAGGGGGCCAAGACTGGGGTAGCTGTCACTGCTACGCAGGAAGCAGCTTCGATGTGGCTGGATGGACTCCACCGTGCGGGCTAATTCATGGGCTTCCCTTTCTTTGGGGGCTCCCCTTGGTGAATCAGGTGGGAACTCTGAAGCGCCCCGTAGAAGAAATGTACTCTGGGGCTGGCGCTGTGGCATAGTGAGTAAAGCCATCACCTGCAGCACCAGCATCCCGTATGGGCACTGGTTCAAGTCCTGGCTGCTCCACTTCTGATCCAGCTCCCTGTTAATGCACCTGGGAGAGCAGTGGAGAATGGCCCAAGTGTTTGGGCCCCTGCACCCACCTGGGAGACCCAGAAGATGCTCCTGGCTTCCACCTGGCCCAGCCCCAGCCATTAAAATAATATAAATCTTAGAAGAAAAAAAAAAAAAAAACATGCTCTGAGCCCGGCTGCCAAGGCCACTTGGTGGCTGGAGTCTCCCAGGTCTGGCCTGGGCTGAGCCCCTGTCCTCATGCCTGTGGCTCAGTTTCCCTTCTTCCATTCATCCTGTATGCAATGGGCTGAGGACTCTGATTCTTCGAATTGTTTCTTCTTCTTTTAATAAGATTTGTTTATTTGAAAGGTAGAGTGACAGAGAGAGAGAGAGAGATATCTTCTATCCACTGGTTTACTCCCCAAATGCCTGCAACAGCTGGGACTGGGCTAGGCCAAACTCAGGAGGTTGGAGGTTCATCCAGGTCTCCCATGTAGGTGAAGGGGCTCAAGGACTTGAGCCTTCTTCCTCTGCTTTCTCAGGCACATTAGCCAGAAGCTGGATAGGAAGTGGAGTAGTCAGACTCCAACCATAGCTCTAAGAAGAGATGCCAGCGTTGCACACGCCAGCCCCCCAGGATTGTTTTAAGAGTTACCTGACACTGAGTAACCACCATAGAGTTGGGGTTCATTCCTGTTATCAGCCTAAATGTGTTCCTTGGTGATGGTCATCCTCTGGTCACTGGGTGTGGAAGTCATCCCACTCTGGGGGCTGATCATGTGTCCACCTCACAGTGCCCAGGAGAGGCAGACTTTATTACTCCCAGATTTTACGATTTTAATTTCCAGATTAAAATATACTTTTTTATAAAGTTAATTTATCTTAATGTCATTTGTGGGTTTATCTTAGTTATCAAATACTTTTGAAAAGAGAGTGGGGTTCTTAGGATAGCAGATGAGAAACTGAGTCAGGCAGGGTGAGTGGAAATTGCTGGAATAATGAGGATGGCTACTGGGGTGAGGAGGAGGGGAGGAGCTGTGGCTGGGAGGTCTTAATGGGAGCAAGACTGCCAGTGCCTCAGGCTGGGAACCCTAGGTGCTGTTTGTTTCTAAGCTACTGCTTGCCTGTCTTACAATGAGCATGTCAGTCTTTGCATTCATTATTTTCACTTTCTTTTCCCCTTCTGAAGCTGGTTGCCTGCTGTCTCTGTCGCCAACTCGGGCGGCAGACTCTGGGGAAGCAGCAGGACTTGCTCCCTCCTCCCCCACAGGCCTGGGCCTAGGGGGCTCCACAGACCTGTGCTGAGCAAAGGAGGGGGCCACACACACTCCTGTCCGCTCCTAGGCTCGTTAGCAGGATGCTGGACACAGGAGTCCAGACTCAAACTGGTGCTCTGGTAATGGGGTGCCTGCATTGCAAGTGGTGGCTTAACCCACGGTGCCACAACACTGGCCCCCTCACCACGCAATTTTGATTCAACATTATTAAAAACATTGAATAAAATTGCTCTCCATCCATGTATATAAGGTCTATGTGAAACATAAGGGAGCTCTGTGTCCTAGACTAGGGTTCTGGCCCCAGAACATATTATATACATGCAGATATTCTGTAACTGAAAAATCCAAACTCTGAAACACGAGTGATCTTGAGCATTTGGGGTAGGGGGCTCAACCTGCAGGAGCACACTGGGCGCTGGTCTGGGTGACTTACGTATCACTCTGCCCTCACACCAGCAGGCTGCCCTCTACCAGCTGCCCACCCCACATAGGGAGCCGCTGAGGCACAGAAGTGGCGGAGGTGGGTAGGAGCGAGATTCCCAAGCCCATGCCTCCCGTCTGCCCCGTGCCTCCCAGCTGCGCATGTGGGCTACCTGGAGTCTGGGGCATGACCGTGGAGGACTCCGTCCTGCTCCTCGGATCCTCCTCTGTGCAGTGAGGGTGGGAGCATGCCCCGCCTGGGGCCGTGGACTTAGGAACTGCATCAGTGTCCTCTGAGAGCTGCACAGCAGCGCCTGATGTGGCATCTGCCTGGCCCTTAGCCCCACACCCACCTGGGCTCTCCTGGCTCCTCACTCACGTGGGGCTTTTTTTTTTTTTTTTTTTTTAAGATTTATGTATTTATTGGCTGGCGCCGCAGCTCACGAGGCTAATCCTCTGCTTGTGGCGCCGGCACCCCAGGGTTTAGTCCCGGTTGGGGCGCTGGTTCTGTCCCGGTTGCCCCTCTTCCAGTCCAGCTTTCTGCTGTGGCCCGGGAGTGCAGTGGAGGATGGCCCAGGTGCTTGGGCCCTGCACCCCATGGGAGACCAGGAAGAAGCACCTGGCTCCTGGCTTCAGATCGGCGCAGCGCACCGGCCGCAATGTGCCGGCCATAGCGGCCACTTGGGGGGTGAACCAACGGAAAAAGGAAGACCTTTCTCTCTAACTCTGGCTGTCAAAAAAAAAAAAAAAAAAAAAAAAAAAAAAAAAAAAAAAGGATTTACTTGAAAGGCAACAGCTGGAGCTGCACTGATCCAAAGCCAGGAGGTTCTTCAGGGTCTCCCATGTGGGTGCAGGGGCCCAAGGACTTGGGCCATCTTCTACTGCTTTCCCAGGCCATAGCAGAGAGCTGGATCAGAAGTGGAGCAGCAAGACTCGAACCAGTGCCCATATGGGATGCAGTCACAGCATGTGGCAGCTTTACCCGCTATGCCACAGCACCAGCCCCTCACATGTGGCTTCGTGACTGCATAGTTACGTGTCTTTATCTGTAAAATGCGGACTAACAATGATTCGTGCCTCACTGGTGGCTATGAATCTTAAATGAGATAATATGCAGTCTGACCCATAGGCAGTTGCCAAAGTCAGTGTTGTTCTCCAGGGTGCCCTTGGTGAGACTTATTCCAGGCTGGCTCCTGGAGAACAGAAACCCCAGGAGCCTTGGGGTTAGCCAGGAAGAACCTGCTGAGCTGCTTTCATCTCCTGCTTTTCACCCTCAGAGCACCCACAATGGGCACCCCAGCCTCTGTGGTAAGCGAGCCACCCCCGTGGCAGGCCCCAACGGAGGCCCGGGGCCGCAAGCAGGCCTCGGCCAACATCTTCCAGGACGCGGAGCTGCTGCAGATCCAGGGCCTGTTTCAACGCAGCGGGGACCAGCTGGCCGAAGAGCGCGCCCAGATCATCTGGGAGTGTGCGGGGGACCACCGAGTGGCCGAGGCCCTGAGGCAGCTGCGCCGGAAGAGGCCTCCTCGGCAGAAAGTGCTGGGCCACTCGCTGCACCCCTGCAGCAGGCTCAGGTACGTCCCCCTGCCGGGAGGCTGAGAGATGGAAAGCACTACTGAGGCCTGTCCCGGCAGTGCCTGGCGGTGGCCTCTCTTGGCCTGCCATGGGGTAGTTGTAAGGGGTACATGGTGCCACCACGTGGCTAGCACAGGGACCCCCCGTGGAAAGGGGTCCCCACAACTCTCATTTTGCAGTGGTTCTCAGCCAGGTGGAAGGGAAATGTGGTTTGCAAGAAAGAATACTCTCTCCCTGCTGTAGACCAGGTAACATTCAAAAGCAAGCCTGGTTAGAATCTTGGCTATGGGATTCCAGAGACTATATCATAGAAAGGTACTGTAGTGGCATCAGGGGTTCAAGGTTGTTGAGAAACTTGACCTGTAGATAGCATCTCTCCCAGCTTCCTGGTCATCCACCCTCTGCATAGCTCACTGCCAGCCAGGAACAGCCAGCCCCAAGAGCCCTGGCCAAACCACATGGCCCACATCAGTCACTGTGGGTTATGACACTCGGGGATCCTCTTCCCACTGCCTTCTCTGGGGCTCACAGTCAGAGCATCAGGTCCGACTAGGCCTCAGTAGGTCCCAGGATCCGAGTCCGCTTCATTGCTTGCAGTAAGCCCAGTCAGTCAGTGCTCATTGCTCAAGCATGCTTTCGTAGCACACCTGCGCATGTCTCCCAGGAGTACAGGTCCCACCCTGCCCTCGACGGTGCTTTGTAGTCCACTTGATGAACGTCTCTGAAGTTCTGTCCCATCCTTCCCCTAATGTTGCTTTGTCACATCCTTGTTTCCCGCAGGATCCCAGAGCCCCGCACGCCACTGGCCGACCCACAGCGTCGTGCCACAGAGACTGCCTCCAGCCAGCAGCGTCTGGCCTCCCGGACGAGTGCCAGGATCCGCCAGAACTGGAGGAAGCCGGACCCCACAAGCTACCTCCACCAGATCAGACACTGATGCAGGGACGGGGCGGGGAACGGCAGTGTCCGCCCCAGGAACCACAGGGACCTTTGCCAGAGGCCTGAGGAGGCAGCCCTACACAAGAAACAAAGGGAAGAGAGCTGCCCGGCCTGCTCCACTGAGAACAGGAGACGTCCGTTTGGCTCTGTTGTGTGGGGCCCATTCCTTACCTGAAGGAGGAAGAACGGCGCCTGTTCCTGCCTCAGCCCTTTCCCACCTAACACTGTACTTGGCTGCATGATAGTCCCCGGGAGTCGAGTGACAGGCTCCCCGACACAGCATTTCACGTCTGCTACTACTGTAACGCACGGGCTAGCAGCCTGTCCCATAGCCCAGCTCCATCAGGTCAGCACAGGGAGCTGTGGTATTAAGTGGCAAATAAAAACATTTGCATCAAGAACTGTGTCTGTCACAGAAGGGGAGGATCTAGAAACGAGGGTTGGCAGGGGTGACCAGGAAGAAGGGTGGGAGAGCACTGTGCGGGCAGCTCTCATCTGCAGGAGGCCAAGGGGGGCCATGATGGCCAGCCCTGCACCGTGGGTGCTGGCTCCTTGGCTGGCTGAATCTGCAGTCAAAGTAGTGGGCTCCAGCATCTCATGTGGCTTCTTCACCCTCATGGGCCGGCCTGGACCAATCATTCTTTAGCCATCTGCACTGTCATAGGTTTATGGCCTGGAAATCCTTGAAATGAAGGTTTTCTCTTCCTAGTCTGCCTCCACCTCAAAAGCAGGGCACTGTAGTGCTCGTCTGCTTCTCTGCCTCTCTCCTCCCATCCTATCTGACTGTTCATCAAAGGGGGCAGAGTCCAAACCTAGGCAGTGATGCCCTCTGTTGGCCAAGAAGAGAAGCCACTGTCAGACGCTGTCAGTCTACAGCCTTAACCCAAACCCTTGGGGCTAGATGATTTTGGAATTCAGAATTTTTTTACTTTTACAAAGTAGGAGGATACTATATAATCCCTCTTAGGGGAACATCTCAAAATAGATAACAGGTAACGAATACACTAAGAAGGATACCCAATGATTACCAGTAGTTTCACATCAGTATAGGTTTAGATTCAGGTTTTGGTGTCAAATGAGTTATGAAAATACTGTTGGTTTTCAGAGCACTGGGACGTTGGATGGAGAACCATGAGTCTCTCTACGAGATGAGAACAGCCTTGGGAGCCATGTCTCAGCCTCCCTACTTTGTCCTTAAAATTACATTCTCCCTTCTTGGTCTTCCTTCCCCCAAAGAAAACTGGTCAAAAAAGGTCAGAATTGGATTTGTTATTCATACATCTGCATTGATTTAAATACATTACATACAATTTCTACAGTGCATTAGAAGAGTGACACAGGGGCAGCAGCACTCGCAGCCCAGCCTCTACTCCCTGACACCAGGGAACAGGGCCCAGGGCCGCAGAGGGATGAGCCGTTCCGGGAGTGCCACCAGAAGCCTGCCCTGGCGCCCTGGCACCCTGGGCCCCTGGCCCTCCCAAAGTCCACATTCAAGGCAACCTGAGCACAAGCTTCAGGAGAGAGTAGACAGGCCAGGGAAGGAAGTCCCACACTTTTTTGCCTGCCAGGTCTGGGACCGGCTCCCTCTTACACTGGACCCAATTTCCTTTTGATCACAGAGCTGGTCTGGACCAGGACAATGTGCAGACCTGGCTTGGCTGTGTGAAGCCACCAGGCTGCTCTTCAGGCTCCTCAGGACCCTGGAGCTCCTGGATGTGCTGGGTCCCGCACTAGCTCCTGCGGTCAGGAGGCAGGTACTCTCTCAAACATGCTTCCCAAGGCCAGAGTTCAGGTCAGTTGGATGGGATTGTCAGGACTGGGCAGGCAGGACCGTGCCTCTGTCCACAGGGCATGCATGTCCAGCTCTTGCAGATCTTCTTGTCAGCTGGGTGGAAGCCCAGGACAAGCTGGCTCCTGGGGGAGGGGATGGAAGGGGAGCAGCAGGCCCAGCTGACAAGGTTTACGTCTCTGCTCTGCATCCTGGGTGGCAGGAGCCAGGCAAGCAGACACAGCCATCACTCTCACTCCCTTTCTTTGGTTGTTTTTCAAACCTTCATGATAGTTTCTTTCCAAGGCTGATTGCCCAGTCGCAGGCTGCCAGAACCACAGGGCATAAACCCAGCTGCCCCACAGCCACGGGAATATACCCTTTTACTCCCTCCTGAGGCCACTCTTTGCTTTGGTGTGGAAAGGGCTTGACCATTCGGCAGGGGTGGGGAGCAGGGAGAAGTGAGAATATGCACTGTGAGGGGACAGGCACTGGCGACAGTGTGAAGGCCTCTGTCCTCAGGGCCCTGCCTTGCTCGAGAGGCCACAGAAAACCAGCATGGGACAAGAAGTCAGGAAGCAAAGGGGAAACTGCCCATCCGAGGGCAGCATAAATGCCCTGTTTCTTCCACCAAGCCACAGTGGTAGCACATGAAGAAATGCAAAAACCTAACATCCTGTCCTCTCACGGGCCGAGATTCACCCCCAGGGTCCTCTCAGGGACCCACTCCGGAGCCCGAACTGAACTCCTAAGCTGAGAGTTGGGGAGACAAACATTTAAAAGAACAGGGGAACAAATCAGAGGGCTGGAACCAAGGACTCCAGAAGCAGGGCTGGGCAAGTCCACCCAGAGAGCACTTGCTGTTTCCGGCACACACTTGGGCTGTGCATATCGCCCTTCCAGGCCGGGCGTCAGTTTCCTGTCCAGATAGGAATGCTATCCTGTCCAGCCCTCTGGTGTCGGCTTGAGTGGCAGGCGAACTGCAGCAGGGCAGAGTGCAGAGGCCTGGGCCTCGGTTGTGTGCAGAACCACGGGGCAGTACACACCAACGCCTCCTTGCCGTGAGGACATGGAGGCTTGCAGCCAGCCCACAGCAGTGGTGAGAGGAGAAAGGGAAGATTTGGCAAAAACCCAAAGGAAAGGTGGGCCTTCTGTCTGTCAGCGCTGCGAGCTCCTCTGACATAAGCAACTGCGAGGTACCGAATGTCTCTCTGCAAATTTAGGTCTAGATTAAAGGTTCTACATAGGAGGATCTGGGGACCTGCTACAAGCATTTAAGTCTGTTTGTGTTGGTTGGTTTTTCTGATGCAGAATATAACAGGGAATTTTGCAACAGAGCAAGGTGTCAGGGAAGGAAGGGACTTTCCCAGCCTGCCACCAGGAGACACTGGAAGGGAGATGCTCCTTTGCAGGCTCCTGGACTGCGTGCACGGCCCTTCAGCGGCACCCAGCACTCACACCCAAGGGCACTCACTGTCCCTGACTGTGCTTCTCCCTGTGCGTGGGAAAGCCCTGGGGGTGGCGAGCAGGGAGGGAGGGCTCTTCAGGGCGCCACTCTCCACCAGCTCCTCTGCTTTTCCTGCACCTGGCTCCCCAGGCTTCCTTCCAGCCCGAGTCTCAGACAGCAATTCCTTTGCCTGCCTCTAGGGCTACCACCATGAAAAGAAGGGCTTCCGACTCTGAAAGCTCTGTGTGTAGGACTCGCTGGCAGACCGCTGGTGAGAACGGGCTGTCTCCACGATCACGGGCGGCATCTGGACGAGGTGCAGGGGGCTCTTGTTGTCTTTCAGGGCCTGGGTCAGGTTTAGGATCTGCAGTGAGAAAAACAAGCCGGGTAAGGGAAAGCCTAGGCATCCCAGGTCTGCCTCTGAAGGGACATCAGCAGAAAGAGCTCCAACAGATCGGTAAGAAATCCAAACACTTCAAGGGAAAATCAGATGAACAGGCAGAGTAGGCATTCAAAATGGCAATAAAGAGAGGGTAGAAGCCTCTCTAGTCATTTAAAAAAACACAAACGGGCCAGCACCATGGTGTAGCGGGTAAAGCCACCAGCACTGTCACCTGCAGTGCTGGCATCCTATATGGGCGCCAGTTTGAGATCCGGCTGCTCCTCTTCCAATCCAGCTCTCTGCTGTGGCCTGGGAAGGCAGTAGAAGACGGCCCAAGTGCTTGGGCCCCTGCACCTGCATGGGAGACCCAGAAGAAGCTCCTGGCTCCTGGCTTCAGATCGGCACAGCCCTGGCCATTGCAGCTGTCTGCAGAGAGAACCAACAGATGGAAGACCTCTCTCTCTGCAACTCTGCCTTTCAAATAAATAAATACATCTTTGAAAAAACACAAACAAATGCCACCTATTGTTTGCCCTTCCAGTTAGTAAAGATATGGCTCTGCCAGAGCGCCAAGATTTTTTTAAAAAAGATTTATTTATTTTATTTATTTTTCTTGAAAGTCACAGTTACACACAGAGAGGAGAAGCAGAGAGATAAAGAGAGAGGGAGGGAGGGACAGAGAGAGAGAGAGAGAGAGAGAGAGAGAGAGAGGTCTTCCATCCGCTGGTTCACTCCCCAGATGCCCGCAATGGCCGGAGCTGCACCGATGCAAAGCCAGGAGCCAGGAGCTTCGTTCAAGTTTCCCACATGGGTGCAGGGGCCCAAGGACTTGGGCCATCTTCTACTGCTTTCCCAGGCCATAGCAGAGAGCTGGATGGGAAGTGGAGCAGCCGGATCTTGAACTGGCACCCATATGGGATGCCGGCACAGCAGGCAGCGACTTTACCTGATGCCACAGCGCCGGCCCCAAGCTTCAAGATTTAATAGGCACCCTCCCACATGGCTGTTGAACAGTCTTTCACATATGCAAGTTGACAATAAAAGCTTTAAAATGAACGGACTCTCTGACTCAGCAATTCCTCTAAAAAAATTTTTTTTTAATTTATTTGAGGGGCGGCACTGTGGCACAACAGGTTAATGCCCTGGCCTGAAGTGCTGGCATCCCATATGGGCACTGGTCCTAGTCCCGGCTGCTCCTCTTCTGATCCAGCTCTCTGCTATGGCTTGGGAAAGCAGTAGAAGATGGCCCCAAGTCCTTGGGCCCCTGCATCTGCGTGGGAGACCTGGAAGAAGCTCCTGGCTCCTGGCTTCGAATCGGCGCAGCTCCAGCCCCTGTGGCCATCTGGGGAGTGAACCAGTGGATGGAAGCCCTCTCTCTGCCACTCTTTCAAATAAATAAATAAATCTTTTTTAAAAAAATTCATTTGAGAGACAGATACATAAAGAGAGCCCTCCCATCTGCTGGTTCACTTCCTAAATGGCTGCAATGGCCAGAGCTGGCCAGACTGAGGCTAGGAGCTGGAAAGTCAACCCAGGTCTCTCATATGGGTGGCAGGGACCCAATTACTTGAGCCATCACCTCCCAGGGTCTGCATCAGCAGGAATCTCGAGTCAGGAGTTAGATATGGAAATCAAACCCAGGTACTCCTGTGTGGGATGCAGGTGTCTTAAGTAGCATCTAAACCACTAATCAAAACACCCATCCTCTATTTCTATATATTTTAATTGCTTATTTCTTATCCACTAACTAATTTAATTTATATCATTTTCACTGTTATAAACCATACTGCACTGTATTTTTTACCTAAATGCTTTGTGCATATCCATGATTGCTCCTCACTCCTTAAAAATGGAATTTCTGGGGGTGGGCATTCAGCCTAGTTGCTGAGATGGCAGTCGGGATGCTCCTGTCCCACACCGGAGCAGCCGGGTTCCACCCCCAGCTCTGGCTTCTGAGACCAGCTTCCTGATCATGTGGGCCCTGGAGGCAGCAGTGATGGCTAGGTAACTGGGATCTTGCCACCCATGTGGGAGACCTGGACTGAGTTCCCAGCTCCCAGAATCAGCCTCCTGGCTGTTGCGGACACTTAGGGAATGAGTCAGCGGGTGGCATGTTACTCTGTCTCTGCCTCCAATGCTGTCTCATCACTGTTCCTTTGAGTAAAATGTTAACTTTGGAATAAGTTTAGATTTACACAGAAGTTGCAAAGAAAGGCTCCATTCAGTTAAGCAGAGGTTATGGTCTCTTTCCCTGTGCTGGTCTCTGCCGGATAGAGGTTCACTCTACTTTGTTGTGTCAATGGCAGACAGGTAAGGATTTGAGTGAGATACCAGTCACCTGCATTGGGAGGAGCTGGATGATCATGGAACCTTAAGATGTCAGGAGGTAGGTGCTGCTCTGGGAACTTACTCAAAAGCAGACAGACTCCATCTTATCTCACTCCCTGTCATCCTGAAAGGCAAATTGGCTGAGTGTGCGTGACCATGTAAACTCCCTGACCGTCCACGAGTCAGCTCATCAAGAGCCAGGCTGCTGACTGCCACCAAACAACCCCACCTGCGATCTTGCACCTGCAGACCCAGCAAACCACCTAGAAGGTTTCAAAACAAGCGGCACAACCTCAGATTACCTTTCTGCTTGATTCCTGAAAATGTTCCTCCTCCCCAGGCCCTGCTGGAACACACCTTGGGTTAGTCCTTGGCTGTGTGGCCAGATTGCAATGCCTATTCTGGAATGAATGCTTGTTTCCTTAGCTTATATTTCAGCCTGCTTCTTTTTTAGGTGACAGCTATAAAGATGCAAAAGCCCCTGTGAAGGCACTAAGAGCACAAGATGGAAAGAGACAGAAACGTACTCCTCTGACCTCTTCTAGCCCTGCCACTCTGGTAACAGCCCTAGCTGGATCGAGTGGGATGGCTGCTGTGATGTTGGCAAAGGATTCCAGCAGGTATACAATACAGACACACAGTCTGTATAAGCCTGGAAGGAAGTTTAGTCCCTTATCCTGAGCTGTACAATACCAGAGAACATCATGTGACTTTTGAGGTTTCCAAAAAGTCGGCCAGCAGCGCTGGGCCCTTACATTACTGGGGAAAGGCAGAAAGACCGTGTTACTGGCATTCAGACAGCTGCTTTTTTTCAAGATTTATTTTTATTTATTTGAAAGGCAGAGTTAGAGAAAGAGAGAGAAAGATGGATCTTCCAACTACTGGTTCACTCCCCAGGTGGCCACAAGAGCTAGGGCTGGGCCAGGCCAAAGCCAGAAACTTGGAACATCTGGATTTCCCACAAGGGTGGCAGGGGCCCAAGCACTTGAGCCATCTTCCATTGCTTTCCCATATGCATTAGCAGGGAGCTGGAATGGAAGTGGAGCTGCCGGGACTCATACTGGTGCTAAGGGATGCTGGCATCACAGGCGGTGCCTTGACCTGCCACACCACAGTGCCAGCCCTGTAACAGCAGCTCTTAAAGCCAAAACCTCTGACATCCCATCTCTGGGGGAAAATGGGCTCAGCAAGCCCAAGTGGTGCCCTCAACAGAAGTCTCAGCTAAACGGTAGGAAGCAGTAACTGTATCATGGCTGGGAAGACCCATTAGACCTTTAAAGATGTGAGAAGCTGACTTTTCTATATAAAAAGTCAGAATCATAATAGCTATCACTACTGAGTTCTTCAATATGCCAGGACTACTCCAACTGTTTGAACTAATTTATCTCACAATAACCCTATGAACCAAATCCTGTTACAAATGGAAAAACTAAAGAAAGGAGAGATTAAGTACCCGCCCAAGACTCACTGTTGGCAAATGGCAGAGCCAGGCTTCAAATCCAGACACACTGATGAGAGACTGGCAATCCCAACTCTCTCTACAAACAGGAAGCAGAGGCTCCTGCCCAAGCCCACAGAGCTAGTAAGAGGCTGAGAGGGTCTGATTTGGCAACTTGAGGAGAGGGAGCACTGGTTTATCTACCAATGAATATCCAGCACATAGTGTGACAACAAGCACTGGGTACCATCGAAGAGGTAGGAGACTTGGGATGACCACCCTTCCTCTACCATGTGTTAGGGCAGATCACAAACATGTACATATTGCGCGATTGAGAAGGGTACAAAACACAAGCTTTGCCCATTTGCTCAACAGGAGCACAGAACCCTCCCAGAGCGAGCACAAAAACCCCTAGAGGGTGTCCCCGGCTTACCTGTCCCCGCATGACAGCAATCTGCTTATGGAACTGGCCCCTGTCAAAACCAGGATCTCTCTGCAAACAAAGAATAAGAAGAGAGGGGACCCGTGTGAAAGGCTCACAGGAACCCATTTTCTCCCCTAATTAAAAACCCTGATAAAGAAAACTTACATAAGGCATGTGGGGCTTGGTGAGTCACCACCCTAAGAACTTTCTGCTTTACAGGTGGGGAAACAGAGAACAAGTACATATCTTGTTCCATGTCTCCAACTCCAAGCTTCAACGCTCCGCTGAAAACGAGAGCTCTGAGAATACCCTGCAGCCACATGATGCCCAGGATACTCAGCAGGGCGATGCACATGGCTGCTCCTTTCTTTCAACCCTAGCCAGACCACATCCCCAGGGAGTCCTGCTTTTCACAGGCTAACCATTCCTTCTGGCTTGTGTCAGGATCAATTAGAAAAACTGTCAGGAATCCCTCCCCGTATTCCTTAATAATGCTGGGGTTCCCAGGGCTGACCTTGAAGAGTTCGTATAGGTCTTCCTCCAAGTCCTTGACGAAGTTAGGGTCCGATATCTTTGGAAGAATCAGATCTTTGATCTCCTGAGAGAAGGGGACTTTTGCTTGGGGCAACCAGGCCCAGTAAAAGGGATCTGAAAAGAGGAAAGACACAAAGCAAAGCTGGTGTTGGAATGGAAGTCTCTGAGACTTCTACCATCAAGGCACTTTCAGAGGGAGACCCTGCTACACCACAGAAAACTCGGAAGTGCACAACAAGCAAGCTGGGGTAGCAGCGTGCAACACAGATCTGCCCATCCCCGAGCTCCTTTGCAGATACCACATGACCTTCCAGGCTGCAGGCCCATCTAGAAGCAGCCACTTGCCACTGACCCTGGGATGATCCTTTTTGGAAAGGGGGCTAGAGACCTCCTCATTGTATCCCCCTCTCATGCTTTCCAAAAATCTCTCAAGTATAATGGGTTAGAAATGTCAACAAGGGAGACAGAACACTAGGAGCAGCTTGTCTGTGGAGACACAAGCAGGATAAATTACGAAGACAGTCCTTACACAGGATGAGAAGAATGCAAGGTGGAGGTGAAAAAACTCATCTTTATGCTTCTAATTTTGAATCACCTTTATACAGCTAAAGGGAACAGCAGAGGGTAAAATCGTAATAGCCTACATTATGGAACAGTTACCATTTGCTGGCCACAGCGCTGAAGTGCCTGAATTGCATCATTTTATTAATTCTGAAAACAATCCCATGATAGAGATATTCCTATCCCCATTACACAGCAAGAAGAACAGAGCCTGTCCCCAGCAGTCTGGAGCCTTACATGCCCTCCAGGAGTCGGGATGCTTCAGCGGGAAAGCCAGCCCATTGTCGATGGCAGCCACCTTGATAACAGGCTCCTTCACCACCACCCAGTCTGTGTCCTGCAGAGCAAAGAAAGCTGGTTAGTGAGGAGCCCACCTGCCGCAGGCCTCTCAGCACCCTCGGACACAATCCTTATTCAGCTTACTTGGAGCTGCCCTCTCAAGTGGCTTCCATGTTGTGCTCTGCACTTAGTACATTTACGGCATCACGTTTACTTTTCAGTTTTACTTGAAAGGCAGAGAGACAGAGAAAGAGAAAGATCTCCCATCTGCTGGTTTACTGCCTAAATGCCCACAACAGCTGGGGCTGGACCAGATGAAAGCCAGGAGCCCAGAACCCAGTGCAGGTCTCCCACGTGGGTAGCAGACACCTATCAGCTGCTGCCTCCCAGGAAGTTCTCTGGCAGAAAGCTGGATTGGAAGCAGAGATGGGACTTAAGCCAGACATTCTGAATGGGATACAGGTGCCCTGAGCAGCATCTTCACCACTGAGCCAGAGGTTCCCTCCATTTATGGCAAACTTACCAGTTCATAGAAGGTTCTGAGTCCTTTTATCTTAGAAAAGGAACACTGCCTTAGGTGTTGCCACAGTTCTCAGTAAGAATGATAATGACAAGAACAAAGATAACTATAAGCCATTCCTTCCAGGGAAAGGCAACCAGAATCCTGAGCACAGAAGAGAAGAAAAGTCTGTTATCTCTCAGCCAGGGCCCTTCGGCGTGGGCCTTAACTTTGAGTCCACTTCACTGGAGCTGGCCATACCTCCAATGAGAAGAGAGAACCACAGAAGATAACAGCTGGCTGCTCTCCCCACGGGAGTCTGTTCTGCTTCAGTGACACAGGAATTGAGGGGCCGCATTGTGGCACAGCAGGTTAAGGCACCACACGCAGTGACAGCATCCCATACTGGAGTGTTAGCTGCTCTGCTTCCGATCCAACCACCTGTGAAGGCACCTGAGAAAGCAGTGCAAAATGGCCCAGGTACTTGTCCCTGGCCACCCATTTGGGAGATCAGGATGGAGATGCTGGCTCCTGCCCAGCCCAGATCCAGTTGTTGCAGACATCTGGAGAGTGAAAACAGTGGATAGGAGATCTTTCGCTCTGTCTCTACCTCTGTTTCTGTCACTCTACCTTTCAAATAAAAATCTTTTTTTAAGAAAAGAGTTGAAGATAAAAATAAGAGTTGAATATCGGAGTAGGCAGGTCACTTGCGACAGCCCATGTCAGAGCAACTTGCTCATTATCTACCAGGCTGCTCGCTTCAAGTTCACTGGTGTCACCCATCACAGAACAGGGACTGTGGTTCCCAGATGCCGCCAACAGAATTCCCCAGGAACACTTTATTAAAAGTGCAGAATCCCAAGTTTTGCCTCAGACCTGATGAATCAATTTCTGAGTAAAAGATCTGGAGAATCTGTACTATTTTAAGAACTGTGTATTTAATTTGAACGGCAGAGACAGAGATCGCCCATCCGCTGTCTCCATGTCAAATGTCTACAATAGTTAAAGCGGGGTCAGGTGGAAGCCGGAGCTGGAACTCAGTCTGGGTCTTCCACAGGAGTGGAGGGACGCAGGTTCTTGAGTCACCATCCACTGTCTCCCTGAGTGCACATCAACAAAACAAAATCAGAAGTGGAGCCAGGACTCAAACCCAGGCCCTTCAACATGGTATGCCGGTATCCCAAACAGCATCCTAACTGCTGTGCCAAACACCTGTGCCTAATTTTAATATCATTCAGATACAAAACTTGAGAGCCACTATTTCAGAAGGAAGTAAAAACACTGTAAGGAATCAAAACCAAGCTCACTCTCCTCCAGGTAGCCTGCCCACTAATTTTTAAAAATGTATAAACTGAGCGGTGACAGAGAAAAGTGGTGGAAGATAAAAATAATGAGAGAAAAGTTTCAGAAGCAGCTTTCCCTTAATTTATGTTCCATGGAATTGTGGTTCATTGTGAGGAAACAATCCATGGGTAAAAAGTGTAGAGGAGTAAGTATTTGGCCTAGCCATTAGGCTGCCCGGATGCTTTAACGACGTGCCTGGGTTAGATACCCACCTCTGGCTCCTGGTTCCAGCTTCCTGCTAGTGCAGTCCTTGGGAAGCAGCAGTGATGGGGTTCAAGTGATTGGGTACCTGCCATCTATGTGGGAGACGTGGACTGAGTTCCCAGTTCACAACTTCAGCTCCTACGGCCATGTGGGCATTTGGGGAGTGAGCCAATGAATGGGAGTGCTCTCTTTTTTTCTATCTGTCTTGCTTTCTCTGTCTCTCAAATGAATGAATAAAAAAATTTTTTAATGTAGAAATCACTGTGCCAAACAAAATTAGACAGGTTAATTCAATGCAGTACTCTTCAGATTTTTACCATGCTACTATACAATGTGAAACACAGAGGAACACAGCATGTAACACATATGCTCCAAACTTACTTTATCTTTCCTTCATGCTGCTGTTTAGAACTCAACTATTGGCCGGCGCCGCGGCTCACTTGGCTAATCCTCAGCCTGCGGTGCCGGCACCCTGGGTTCTAGTCCCAGTTGGGGCACCAGTTCTGTCCCGGTTGCTCTTCTTCCAGTCCAGCTCTCTGCTGTGGCTCAGGAGTGCAGTGGAGGATGGCCCAAGTCCTTGGGCCCTGCACCCGCATGGGAGACCAGGAAGAAGCACCTGACTCCTGGCTTAGGATCGGCGCAATGCGCCGGCCGTAGCGGCCACTTAGGGGGTGAACCAACGGAAGAAAAGACCCTTCTCTCTGTCTCTCTCTCACTGTCTAACTCTGGCTGTCCAAAAAAAAAAAAAAAAAAAAAAACCCACAACCATTTTTTTGGGGGGGGGGGGGGGGGGGAACAGGCACACAGCCAGATAGAATGGCTGGCTCCCATCCACTGGTTCATTCCCTATATGCCCACAATGGCTGGCACTGAGCTAGACCAAAGCCAGGAACTCAACTCATGTCAATTACTTGAGCCATCATCTTGCCTCCCAGAGTCTGCATTAGCAGGAAGCTGTAGGCAGGCACCAGAGCCTAGTATCACACCAGGTACTCTAGCCTGGGAGGATGATGCCTCAATCAGTGCCTCAACTGTCAAGACAAAATGCTGTTCTTATTAACATCAAATAGAATATTCCCTAAAACACAGACTGGGAAAAACTATATCAAATACAACCTATTAATTTTAAACACATATGCTGTTTTGATTGTTCTCAATGTATATATTCTCAATGTATTTTGTGGACCATCTTATGTGTTTTGATAATATTCAGATACTCCTCATCATCTTCTTCAAAACAATGGATCAACCTCTTACCCGAGAGCTAGAACTATCCATAGGACAGTCATATTTAATCAGCCAATTGTCGTTGCCTCGATCTGTGAACAGAAATATAAAATTAGTAAGAAAAATTGGGAGGAATTGGCATTTAAATAATGGTAGATCAAATATTTTGGACACTTGAACCAACTTTACCACTAAGAACAACTGCAAAATCTGGTTAAAAATACTTAAAAATCTCTTGAGGGCTCTTTTACAAGACCATAAAGAATTTAAGAGTCAAGAGCTGCTCTGCTGTGTCCTGGGAAAGCAGAAGATGGCCCAAGCCCTTGGGCCCCTGCACCCACATGGGAGACCTGGAAGAAGCTCCTGGCTCCTGGCTTTAGATCAGCACAGCTCCAGCCGTTCTGGCCAATTGGGGAGTGAACCAGCAGATGGAAGACCTCTCTTTCTCTCCCTCTCTCTTTCTCTCTTTCCTCCCTCCCTCCCTCCCTCTCTTTCTCCCTCTCTATCTCTCTGCCTTTCCTCTCTAACTCTGACTTTCAAATAAATAAATCTTTTTAAAAAAAAAAAAGAATAAGGAGCTGGGAGACCCTGGTTGCATACTGCACAATGTATACATATATTGAAACATCACACGGTATCCCACATGTGTATACACACAATTTTCAAAAAGCCTGTTAAATTTAATTTAAAACAATTTTTTAAAATAGAGCTGGGAGAGAACAGTAATCCAGAGAAAGGAACCTGGCACTTGTGACTTCTTTTTCTTTGAGCATCTGCTGACTTGGGAAGAAATGGATGAGAGGAGCAAGCATGTTCTAACTGCCCTTGGCACAAGTGAGACACAACTGTAACTCAGTGACTGATAAGGGAAAGGAGATCCTGGGAAATCACCCTGAGTGGCTACACTGCTAGTGTCTTTGTTGCTTGTCAAAAATATAACCCTTAGGATTTATATAAGCAACCTGGGCCTTCAGATAGGTCTATAATTTCTGGTAGACACATTACAATAATAAAAAAGAAACATATAAACAAAGAGACAATATAATAAAAATAAAAACAAAGATAAACAACACAAAATGAATACAGATCTATGCACACTCCAAAGAACAGAAATATACAGACTTTAAAATGTTCAAGAAGGGGCCAGTACTGTGGCATAGTGGGTAAAGTCGCCACCTGCAGTGCCACCATCCCATAGGGGCACCAATTTGAGTCCTGGCTGCTCCTCTTCCAATCCAGCTCTCTGCTATGGCCTGGGAAAGCAGTAGAAGATGGCCCAAGTGCTTGGGCCCCTGCACCCACATGGGAGACCTGGAAGATGCTACTGGTTTTGGACTGGCCCAGTTCCAGCTGTCTCAGCCATTTGGGGAGTAAACCAGTGGATAGAAGATCTCACTCTGGGGGCTGGCGCTGTGGCACAGCAGGTAAAGCCACCGCCTGCAGTGCCACCATCCCATATGGATGCCGGTCCGAGTCCTGGCTGCCCCACTTCCCATCCAGCTCTCTGCTATGGCCTGGGAAAGAAGTGGAAAATGGCCCAAGTCCTTGGGCCCCTGCACCTGTGTGGGAGACCAGGAAGAAGCTCCTGGCTCCTGGCTTTGATCAGCCCAGTTCTGGTTGTTGCAGCCATTTGGTAAGTAAGCCAGTGGATGAAAGACCTCTCCTCTCTGTCTCTCCCTCTGTCTGTAACTCTGACTATCAAATAAATAAATAAATAGATCTTGAAAAAAAAAAAACTCTATAGATGAATTTAACAGCATATCACACTGAAGAAAGAAGTAGTGATTTGGGAGACAATAGCCAAAATAAAGCATACAAGAAAAAAGGATATATCTAACAACATGTAATTGGAATCTCAGAAGGAGAACAGAGAAAAATGGCTCCGAAGTAATGTCAAAGAGATAATGTCTGTGACATTTCCAAAACTGACAAAATCTATCAGTGATTCAAAGAACCCCATGAATCCATAAAAGGATAAAAAAATAAAATACTGAGGCATATCATAGTCAAAATGTTGAAAACCAAAGACAGGAAAAACAATCCTAAAAGGAGTACACACAAAAATAGAACACTTTCAAAGAGGCAACAACATTACTGACTTCATAGAAACCCCATAGAAATAAGAAGATAATGGAAGGCTTAAAAAATTACTGAAATAATTACCAAGCCCAAATTCTATACCCAGCAAAAATATCCTTTAAAATTAAAGGAGAAATAAAGATACTTTCAAACAAACAAAAAGTCATGGTCAGCAGACAAAGACTAAAATAGTCTCCACATCAAAGGGAAACTAACCTAAGCAGAAGTGAAACTCTTAGAAGAAAACACAGGGTAAAAGCTTCATGACAGTGGATTTGGAAATGATTCATGGATACAACACCAAAGGCATAGGCAACAAAAGAAAAAATAAAATTGGATTTCATGCAAATTTTAAAAATTTGTACATCAAAAGCATCATTAACAGACTGAAAAGGCAAAACAATGGGAAGAAATTTTTACAAATCATAGATCTGATAAGGGATTAATATGCAGAATCTAAGAATAAACTTCAAAAATTCAACAATAAGAAAATAAACAAACTGATTCAAAAATGGGCAAATGACTTGAACAGATCATTTATCCAAAAAGATACACTATTAATCACATGAAAAGATGCTCATCATCATTAATCAGTAAGGAACTACAAGTCAAAACTACAAAACATCCTCTCACACCCACTAGGATGGCTACTGTCCAAGAAAAGTAAGTATTGGTGAAGATGTAGAGAAACTAGAACCCTTATAAATCTTATATGGTAGGAAAGCAAAATGGTACAGCTGCTATGGAAAACAGAATGATGGTTCCTCAAAACATTAAAAATAGAAATACCATATGATGCAGCAATATCACTTCTGGGTATATACTAAGAAGAACTGAAAGCAAGGTCTTGAAGAAATACTTGTACACTCATGTTCATAGCAGCATTATTCATAAGAGCAAAAAGGTGGAAACAACCCAAGTACCCACTGATCCATCCAAGCAAAGTGTATGCAACATAAAATGGAACACAAATAGTGTGTTAAAAAGGAAGGAAATTCTGACATAGCCTACAACACAGATGAACCTTGAGGACTTTATGCTAAGCAAAACAAGCAAATCATGCAAAGAGAAATATTTTATGATTCAACTTATATGACATATTCATAGTAATCAAAAACACAGAGACGGGGCTGGCTCTGTAGAACAGCAGGTAAAGCCACCACCTGCAGTGCCGGCATCCCATATGGACACCAGGTCAAGTCCTAGCTGCTCCACTTCCAATCCAGCTCTCTGCTATGGCCTGGGAAAGCAGTAGAAGATAGCCCAAATCCTTGGGCCTCTGCACCCACGTGGGAGACCAGGAAGAAGCTCCTGGCTCCTGGCTTCAGATGAGCGCAACCCAGCCATTGTGGCCATCTGTGGAGTGAACCAGTGGATGGAAGACTTCTCTCTCTCTGCTTCTGCCTCTCTGTAACTCTGCCTTTCAAATAAATAAATCTTAAAAAAAAAAAAAAAAATCACAGAGACAAAAAGTAGAATAGTGGTTTCTGGAGAATAGTGGTTGCTGGGCCCGGAGAAAGGGAAAATGGAGAATTATTATTTAATGGGTATAGAGTTTCAGTTTTACAAGATACAAAGAGTTCTAGAGATGGGTGGTGATGATGGCTGTACAACAGTCTGAATGAACTTACTGTCATTAAACCGTACACTTAAACATGGTTAGGATAGTACATCTGATGCTGTGTGTACTTTACCATAATAAAAAAGACAAAATACAGCTCCAATAAGGCATGAATTTAGACTTTGTCCTCAATACATGTAGATTTTTTGCATTGGAAAAAAAATATTTTTAAATCGTTTATCTACACCTCTACCTCAGGAAGCACTGTTTTGGAAAAGCCAGGAGTGACCAGGGACTAAGACAAGCAGGTCTCCACACACACAGGCTTCAGATCCATGGGTTCAACAAGGTAGAGATCAACAGTATTTGGAAAACAATTACGTTTGCACCGAACATGTACAGATTTTTCTTCCCTAAACCATACAGCGTAACTATTTGAGTAGCATTTACATTCTCTTAAGTATTACAAATAATCTAGTGACAATTTAAAATATATGGGAGGGGGGCTGGCACTGTGGTGTAGCAGGTAATACTGCTGCCTGCAGTGCCAGCATCCCTTATGAACACTGGTTCCAGTCCCAGCAGCTGCATTTCCAATCCAGGTCTCTACTATGGCCTAGGAAAGCAGTAGAAGATGGCCCAAGTGCTTGGGCCCCTGCACCCACAGAGAAGACCTAGAAGAAGCTCCTGGCTCCTGGTTTTGAGTTGGCCCAGCTCCAGCCACTGTGGCCATTTGAGGAGTGAACCTCTCTCTAGCTCTTTCTGCCTGTGCCTCTGTAACTCTACCTTTCAAATAAATAAACAGATCTTTAAAAATATATATATATGGGAGGGTATGCATAGGTTTTTATATGCAAATAGTACACAATTTTATATAAGGGACTTGTATCCACAGATTTTGGCATCCATGGGGGTCCCAGAACCAAACCTCAGTGGAGACTACGGGACAAACGTACTCTTCATGATTCTGTGAAGAGCCACGTGTCTCCTCTCTGGGGCCAGAAAAAAGGCTAAGATAAAATATAAACACTAGGCCGACGCCGTGGCTCACTAGGCTAATCCTCCACCTTGCGGCGCTGGCACACCGGGTTCTAGTCCCAGTCGGGGCGCCGGATTCTGTCCCGGTTGCCCCTCTTCCAGGCCAGCTCTCTGCTGTGGCCCGGGAGGGCAGTGGAGGATGGCCCAAGTCCTTGGGCCCTGCACCCCATGGGAGACCAGGATAAGCACCTGGCTCCTGCCATCGGATCAGCGCGGTGCGCCAGCAGCGGCGGCCATTGGAGGGTGAACCAACGGCAAAGGAAGACCTTTCTCTCTGTCTCTCTCACTGTCCACTCTGCCTGTCAAATATATATATATATAAACACTGGCTCCAGGCCTCACCACCTCTAGTAGCCTAACTACATGTGTCTGGACACAAGTGTCTGGACAAAGCTCAATCCAGAAAAGTATTATCTGAGACTTGCCCCAAATGACCATGACCCTTCTGGCTTGGGGAAGAAATACATGCTGACAAGTCCCTCTGCCTCCCAGGCCCCAAAAGCCTCCAGTCCCCTGTGGCCCCCACGATCCCAGCCGAGGGCATGGGATATCACCGGCAGCTCCTCACCAGTGTTGCGGATGATATAATCCAGCACCACCAACCGCTCAAACTGCAGCAGGAGTTGCCGGTTGGTGTTCTCCGGGAGAGGCTCTGCTTCAAAGCGCCGTAGCCAGTAGTCTGCATCTTTGTAGCCTTCAACAAAGATCTGGAATGAACCGACCTGGAACCAAGGCGAAGGAACAAAAGTCTTTCCCTACAGCCCACATCCACAGTCCCCAGGAGTAATCCAGGTGCTCACTAAGGCACTAAGAATTCTTAATAGAAGAGGAACATTTTCAAGATCCATACTTGTTCACTACCTTTTCAGTACAAGAAAAGGGGGTATGGCGGTGGTCATCCATCCAAATTAAAGAAGTCCCTCCTATGGGTCCACAGGGGCAAAGTGAGGAAGCGGGGTCGCTAGAGAGTACTCCCCAGACCTCAGGCCCTTCACAGAAATGAGGATGACAGCGCCTCAGGCAGGCTATTCCCACATCCACATCCAAGTCCGGACACACCTTCTGTTACCACTGGGATGACTATGCCACTAAAAAATCACCTCTGACAGGCCGACGCCACAGCTCACTAGGCTAATCCTCCGCCTGTGGCACCAGCACCCCGGGTTCTAGGCCCGGCTGGGGTGCCGGTTCTGTCCCAGTTGCTCCTCTTCCAGTCCAGCTCTCTGCTGTGGCCCAGGAAGGCAGTGGAGGATGGCCCAGGTCCTTGGGCCCTGCACCCGCATGGGAGACCAGGAGGAAGCACCTGGCTCCTGGCTTCAGATTGGTGCAGCGCGCCGGCCGTAGTGGCCATTTGGAGGGTAAACCAACAGAAGGAAGACCTTTCTCTCTGTCTCTCTCTCTCTCTCTGTCTATAACTCTCTCTCTGTCTCTCTCTCACTGTCTCTGCATGGCAAAAAAAAAAAATCACCACTGATAAGCCACAGAAGCATAAATTATACCTTAGGCGGTAGCCCGATACGGTTAAACCGCTGCCCCACTTTTGGCACTTTCTCTAGTGCAAGCCGCTTGCCCCTGGACTTCACCCTGTCAATGGCACTATAGTTGAAGGTCTCGCTGGCCAGGTGTACCACCTACAGTGGAAAGAAAAGAGATACCTGTGTTAGAGTCAAGCCCAAGGAACCAGAACACTATGGCAGTGAATAGCTGCATGCTTATCAATATTGTTTCTCTTCCACTGCACAAAGAAAGATTGCATTTCTCAGCCTTCCTAGCATCTAGAATAGGGAATAGCTCCAACCAATAAGATGCTGATAAAGTGATGTAGGCAAATCACCTCCAGGCCTGCCCCAAAAATCTCCTATGACCCTTAGTTCATATTTCCCACTCTGTGCAGGTGGAAATGAAGGGTTCTGAGTGCAGAGTCTCATCACAGAAGATCCCCGCCTTGTCACTACATGAGTGACATGGGACCTAGGAGAACTGCCAAATGGACATGAACCTGAGACATGAGCAACAAATAAACTCCCGCTGTATTAAGCCACTGAGAGCTAGTGAATTTCCCTGACAAATTCAGTCACCTCCTGAGTTAGAAGACTAAGCCTAATGCCTATTTTCTTTCCAGATTTAAAACAAATTGTAATTTACTCTACATACTTTTATGTCCTTTTGAATTTTGTACTTTCTGCAATTACTCATACTCCCAAAAAGAAAAATAAATATTATAATTAGTATTTATTTTTAATGGACTGCCCTATTTCAGCAGAGACCGTACCTGGAACCTTCACAACAAACTAGTAATAGTAGCTGCCTTTGAGCAGACACTGAGTGGACAGAAGTCAGCAGCAGGAGGGAGGCTGGATTTCCTGTGTCCCCTTCTGTGCCCTCTGGTTTTCACTAGAGGCCTGCTTTGCCTATTCAAAAGCAACTGCTTCACTGCTCATCAGTATTACACCCAACTGTCCCGCCGCAGTGATATCACTGTAATCCAACGTGCTTCCATGTTATCCACTTGCATATCTAACTTCTCTCTTAAAACTAATGAGGGGCCGGCGCCGCGGCTCAATAGGCTAATCCTCTACCTTGCGGCACTGGCACACCAAGTTCTAGTCCCGGTCGGGGCGCCGGATTCTGTCCCGGTTGCCCCTCTTCCAGGCCAGCTCTCTGCTGTGGCCAGGGAGTGCAGTGGAGGATGGCCCAAGTGCTTGGGCCCTGCACCCCATGGGAGACCAGGATAAGTACCTGGCTCCTGCCATCGGATCAGCGCGGTGCGCCGGCCGCAGCGCGCTGGCCGCGGCGGCCATTGGAGGGTGAACCAATGGCAAAGGAAGACCTTTCTCTCTGTCTCTCTCTCTCACTATCCACTCTGCCTGTCCAAAAAAAAATTTAAAAAAAAAAAAAAAAACTAATGAGGGGCATTAAGACACCACTTTGGGGGGCTGGTGCTGTGACGTGGCAGATAAAGCTGCCACCTGCAGTGCTGACATCCTATATGGGTGCTGGTTCAAGTCTCAGCTGCTCTACTTCTGATCCAGCTCTCTGCTGTGGCCTGGGAAAGCTGTAGAAGATGGCCCAAGTGCTTGGGCCCCTGCACCCACATGGGAGACCTGGAAAAGCACCAGGCTCCTGGCTTCAGAGCGGCACAGACCCGGTTGTTGTGATCATCTGGAGAGTGAAACAGCGGATGGAAGACCTCTCTCTCTCTATCTCTCTCTCTCTCTCTGCCTCTCCTTCTCTCTCTGTGTGTAACTCTGAATTTCAAATAAATAAACAAATCTTTAAAAAAAAAAAAAAAAGACACCACTCTGGATGCAAACATCTCATATCCCAGAGCCTGGGTTCAAGTCTCACCTCCAATTCCCAACGCATGTCTTGAAGAATCTGCAGTTTCTTCATAACGTGCATTGTCCATGAACTTTTTGAAGACCCCCTATATGCATGAATTGCAAAATTTCTTGCACAAAGTAAATTTATCTTTTAATTCCATTTTCTACAACTTTTTGAACTACCCTCATTGTAATAAATATCTAAAATCAAATTTCTAAGAAAATTCTTTTCCTAAGTCCAACACAACTAATCATTTTGCCCATGTACATTTGAGGCAAAACAATTCCCTCCTATTCATTCTACCACCCATCCATACACCCAGAGGTAACAGGGTATGTAAAAAGGATATGCAGAGCCCTGTAGTAGGCCCTTCCTGCCTTACAAATCAGAGCACTCAGGCACAGGAATGCAGGACAAAGGGCCTTCCCAAGGCTCCCTTGCCAGATTCCACAGTGAAAACCTTGGTTTCTCTCCAGGCATAAACCACCATTTTTTCCCTTTTCAGATTTGTTTGTGATCATTCTTCCCAACAAACCACTTTTTCTCTATGACTAATGAAACTATCAAAACCTGCAAACTCACAGGAACAGCCCATGAGAATTAAGAGCCCTATTATTAGAAGCTTTGTAAGGTGAGTCCCATTTCCACAGTGACAGACGCTCTCATCAAGCAGAAGGAATCCTGCCACAAGGGTGGAGAAACAAGAAGAGGTCAGAGTCCTCCTACTACCCAGCAGCTGCATGTTAAACTTGCAAAATTCTGTCCCATCTCAGTCTCACGGAAGACAAGTATACTTGCTGTCGCTGACTTTCTGAAGCAAGGGAACCTTAGGCCTCATTAAGGTTCTCTAACACGGAAGGAAGACTGGAGATGGGAAGATGGGGATTGCGGGAGTGACATTCGTGATTAGAATTGTTCATAAAACTTCCACAGGCTACACATAGAGTGTTTACACTGAGCCAGGCACTGGGCTGTGTACTTTACACAGGCTAGTTTGTATAATCTTGATGGGTGCTCTACAAAGTAGTAACTATATCCCCATTTTTACAGTGAGGAATCAGGCTGGGGCATTAAGTGACTTGCTCAAGGATCGCACAAACAAAAAGCTGCAGAGCCAGAATTCAAACTCAAGCCCGCTGCTTCTCAGACACTGAATTCGGAGCAGCAGTGCAGCAGGCAGCTTGGCGCCGGAGGCAGTCTTCTATTGCCTAGCAAATGAAGAAATTACACAGTGATGAGCAAGGAGCATTTAAGAGTTTCTGGAATCCAGGAGAGGCCTAGTAGGAGGATTTCAGCTTAGGCAGGAAACTTAGGAACATTACGTAAACTAGGTGCTCAAAGTATGCTGTTGAATTTTGAGCACACGCAGAGAAAACTAAAGCATAAAGGGAAGGAATCAGCTGCATGGCCAGGCAACGAATGAGATGTCAAATGGGAACTACAGCCTGGTGAACACTCCCTCCACAGAACTTAATCTGGGCTATTTTGATACTATTTCTCACAGCTATCGAGACACGCATTCACTGACCCAGCCAGTACTGACACTGGAGGAGGAAATCTCCAGGAGAGGTCCCTGACCTCTTCACACTTACAAACTAGCTGGCTAATTGTTTGGAATTTACTGGTAAAGGGGCAAATACTGTCAAACATCTAAGATAGTCACATGTTCTTCTAAAATACCCTGAGAAAACAGAAAACACGGGTTTGAAGGGAAGTTCCTATCTGCTGATCAATCACTTTGCTCACAGAGTCTGAGATCTAAAACCTGTGAAGAAAACCTCAAGCGGGGGTTTTTGATCCAGGGGCATGGTCCCCAGAGGGTCCATGGACGGACCTCAGATGGTCTATGAACCATCTTCCTGAAACTGTATACAAATCACTGATTGGAAACACATGTATTTTCCTCTGAGAACCAGATCTACAGCTTTCATCAGGTTCTCAAAGACAGGTGAGACCTGGAGCCACTTCTGCAGCCTTAGGGCAGCATTCCACTGCAGTTGTTGCCAAACTTCAGGGAGCCACAGACTCAACAGTGCTGGTGTGTCCCCAGATGTTCATAGCTGCCCAGTAGATTCCTCCCCCTATAGCCTCGCAGTACAGAAATTCTTACCCTGGTGTCCATAAAACTCTGAGTTGATTCTGTATTGAAGCTTATCTGGGGGTGGGGGAGTGGAGAAGGGTCCAAACCTTTCATCAGAACCTCAGTGAAGTCTGTAGCACAAACAAGGTATGTGCAAATCCATCCTATGCCAGCATCTGCCTGCATCTGGGACCCCTATTTTGATATATTCAGACAAGTCCCATAATTCCATAGCCAAAAAATAGGTAAGGGAACTTACTTTCAGACCCTTACTTCAACCTTCAACCCATCCTAGACCTTCTTGCCAGACCTTGCCTAAGTACTTAGCTGACATCAGCTGGTCCATTCTTGACCAAATCCAAATGGTGGAATGGTTCAGAAGTCTAAAAGAGTGAGCTGCAAAAGCAGCTAGATTTCTAACTAGCTTGGGTTTACCCGGGATCCAAGAGCAGAGGGAGCCCATAATTAGAAGTATGTAAAGGGGCCAGCGCTGTGGTGTGGCGGGTAAAGCTGCGCCTGCAGTGCTGGCCTCCCATATGGGCGCCGGTTCAAATCCTGGCTGTTCTACTTCTCATCCAGCTCTCTGCTGTAGCCTGGGAAAGCAGTGGAGGATGGCCCAAGTCCTTAGGCCCCCGTACCCATGTGGGAAGACGCAGAGGAAGCTCCTGGCTCTTGGCTTCAGATCAATGCAGCTCCAGCTGTTGCGGCCAATTGGGGAGTGAACAAGCAGATGGAAGACCTCTCTCTCTGCCTCTCCTTCTCTCTCTGCCTCTCCTTCTCTCTCTCTGTAACTCTGACTTTCAAATAAATAAGTAAATCTTTTTTTAGAAAAAAAAAAAAAGCAGCATGTAAAATTCCTGAAACTACATGCAAAAATTGTGTATCCTCTCAGTATAGTTTTTATCAGATGATCAAATAATGAGCTTAAATCCCTACTACTGGCCGGCGCCGCGGCTCACTTGGCTAATCCTCCGCCTGCGGCGCCAGCACCTTGGGTTCTAGTCCCCGTTGGGGCTCCAGATTCTGTCCTGGTTGCTCCTCTTCCAGTCCAGCTCTCTGCTGTGGCCCAGGAAGGCAGTGGAGGATGGCCCAAGTCCTTGGGCCCTGCATCAGCATGGGAGACCAGCACCTGGTTTCTGGCTTTGGATCGGCGCAGTGCACCAGCCGTAGCAGCCATTTGGGGGGGTGAATCAATGAAAGGAAGACCTTTCTCTCTCTCTCTCTTTCACTGTCTAACTCTGCCTGTCAAATAAATAAATAAATAAATAAATCCCTACTACTATCAAAAAAAAAAAAAGGCTGAGAAACTCAGCATCCAAGCACAAACAGTCCCCACTGGACCCAAGGTTCCACTAGCCCCAAGTAACTGACCAGATGCTGAGGCTCCCAGGAAATGGGCACTGACCTTTGTACGGGGTACAATGTTGAGCTCCAGTTTTTGGTCCACCAGGCTGGCCCCTGCCTCTGAGAGATAGCCCTGGTTGAGGACAAGGCAGTCACGTCCAAAGCAGCAGGGACAGCACAACTTCTGCAGCCACTTGGTCCACTTGGGATTAAGCTGCCCATATGGCTCTTCATTCTTGGGTTTGAATACAGCAATGATCTTCTATATAGGCAAAAGAAAAAGAGAACCTTAAAGGCAAGTTGATAACAGTAATACATTGATTAAGCCAGGAAGAATCTAGAAGGGCATGAGAAGGGACAAGCTATCCCTACTTCCAGTCAGATGCAGGCTCCTCCCCAGTTTGTAAGGGGAAGACACCAAATCATGTGTGCAGCTAAGAGAACCACTGCCAGAAAGGGGTGTGGCCAGTGGAGTGTGAGTCTCTGTTCCTCCTGCTGCCTGGTTCCTTTTCACCACCTCTCTTCCCTCAGAAACGCACCCACCTCTTACTTGGTGCCTCAAACGAGGTAAGTGGATTTCTATATTTCTAGGAGCAAGATACAGAAGCCGACTCAGTGGCATATCTGCAGTCACTGGCAACAATCTTTTGTCAGTATGGTGCTGCAGGGAGTGCGCACACACACACAATGTATCATGCACACACACACAGAAGATACCAAAGTAATCTGTTCCCCAAGGAGTGAGGAATACTTTATCATGGATACTATGTCATCTTTCTTCACACGTCTATCTGCCCCTTTTAAACTACAGGATACTCCTTTATATGGCATGCCAGAAATTTAACACCAATAAATTCCAACTTCTTAGCAATATACAGACACACTGTTGCTCTGCATCAAACATGTAAAGACTTAAAAATTATCAACTGAAAGGAAGTAAGGAGGGCATTATGGAATGAAATTAAGGAAACTCCTTCATTAGTGGTTGATTTCCTTTGTCATCCTTACTATCTCACTCCCCTGGGTGTCAACAAAACTTTAAACGGGGGTCAGCACTGTGGCGTAGTGGGTAAAGCTGCTGCCTGCAGTGCCAGCATCCCATATGGGCAACAGTTCAAGTCCTGGCTGCTTCACTTCCAATCCAGCTCTCTGCTATGGCCTGAGAAAGCAGTAGAAGATGGCCCAGTGCTTGGGCCCCTGTACCCTCATGGGGGAACCCAGAAGAGGCTCCTGGCTCTTGGCTTCAGATCGGCACAACTCTGACCATTGCAGCTATCTGGGGAGTAAACCAGTGTACGGAAGACTTCTCTCTCTCTGCCTCTGTAACTCTGCCTTTCAAATAAGTAATTTCTTAAAAAAAAAAAAAAAAAAAAAAAAAAAAAAAAAACTAAACATTTAGGCACAACAAGCTGAAAAAACAACCAAAGAGAAAAATCACAGTAGAAAAAAAAAATCTGCTACTTGGTTAAGACAGGTTCTTCTAAGTAATTCTAATAGGCAAGAGACCAGGACTTGAGCTGCCACAAAGATTAGATTCATTTTCTCTAGCAGACAATAATTTAATTCTCAAAGGTCTTCAGAAATACGGGATGCCTGGAAACCAAGGCCCTCCCTCCCAAACATTTTCTTCCACAAGCCATTCAGCCCTCTGAGGTTTGCACTGATCTCATTCTCTCCAACCCCAAACTGGTAATTCAAAGGAAGAGAAGCAAACATGTTCTCCAAGTGATTCATTTCGCATTGTATGACTCCTTCTCCCCTCACTCCACTGCCAACTCAAGCCAATCTGGGTCATAAGACATCTTGCTGTGGGTGTCACTTCCTGAGTGGCAGGTCACTGCAGATAACATACACCCATCTGGCTCCATTAAGTTCATACTCAATTAGGAACTGCCTAGGCTTGTGCCTCTAACAGTAATTGGTCAATAAATAAGGAGGCCAGTTCCTTCAAAGAGAAGCACAGAACTCTCCTTCATCCAAAAAGACAAACAAACTTGCTTATTTACTGGGAAGAATGAAGTGTACACATTCATATCCCAAGACTTCAGAACGACTCTCCTACCCTAAGCAGCTACCAAGAGGCCTCAGTCAGCTGACTTTGTCTCTGCTCCCCTGGAACTCCAGCCTCTAAGCAACAAAGCAGTGGCACCCGCAGGCTCACAACTGAGAGAATGATGGATACGTCCACTGTAACTCTCTGGAACCTGCACAGCAAAACCACGGCGCAGCTTGAAACACATCCCAGAACACAACAGTCAGTTCCAGGAGAAACACAATGTGGACTGCAGCAAACTGGTTCTCCGTGAAAGACCAAGACATTCCCACAGCCAGGGCTGAGGCTTAACTACTTCACTTAAAGAAAGCAGAACTTGAAGAGCTAGACTGAAGCCAATGCCATTTATAGACCGACCCCTCAAACTTCTCAACTCTCCTGCACGAGGAAGAGAATCAGAAAGCATTTCACTGACTCTTCAAAGCATTCATGATTTCAGTGGTCTCCGTAGTACAGGGGTTTTGTTGAAGACCACTGTTTGGACTAGATAAATGAAGGACTGGGAGGGTAGGAAGGATGGGTGGACAGAAGGCCACTGACACAGAAAGGAAGACAAGCGCCCTTTAGGACTAAGCAGAAGCCTCAGTTCAATTCAACTCTGATGATGGGTATTCAACATCTAGTTTGTGCAAGACAATGTGCAACCACTGGACAGATTTCCTAGACAGAGACCTAAAACAGCCTCCGGCCCCAGTTCCAAAGCTGATGCTCACTTCATAGGATCGGCTACCTTCCCGACTACTCAAGAATACTCTCCTCATTCATGGAGAACTCTAAAGCCACTCAAATTAGAAAGACACCCACCCACATTCAGCTGAGAGAAAATGACTACTGACTCATCTGTCTGACCACCCTCCCTCTTCCCTAACAGACTGACAGTTTCTTTATTATATCCAGCAGAAAGCTTCTGTTTGGAGTCGATATTTTAAAAACATGTTCCTTAACACGCACTCACTATTCACCCTATAAACGCAGCAGGTAAGGTACAGATGGCTTAAGCAGCAACAGCCCATAAAGTCAGAGATAAAAACAGCCACACAAGGAAACAGAAGCTACTTACTGGCTGGTGTCAGGACCCACAACCAGTTACTGAAACCTGGAACCTGGAGAATTCCCTATACCCTTCGAGCAGGGACAAGGAGGATATTAGGCCATGCCACAAGCGGCCCTTTCCTCCAAGACCCAAAAGACAGTTGAGCACATCAATATCATATTGAAGTATACAGAACTTTCATGGTCAAATGTATAGAAATGACCTTTAATAACAGTTTTTGATTAAAATTTGGTAAACATTAAGTGCATCATTTTCTAACTTTAGGGTCTCAAGATTGCTTTAAACTCTTAAAAATTTTTAAAGATCCCCTCAAAAGCTTTTATGTGGGAAAATGCTATATCTGCTGAATTTGAAATGCAAACTGACATGTGAAAGCTATTTATTAATCCAATTAATAAAAACAGACCTATTACATATTAGCATAAAAATATTTTATGAGGCCGGCGCTGCAGCTCAATAGGCTAATCCTCTGCCTGCGGCGCTGGCACCCCAGGTTCTAGTCTTGGTCGGGGCACTGGATTCTGTCCCGGTCACTCCTCTTCCTGTCTAGCTCTCTGCTGTGGTCCAGGAGTGCAGTGGAGGATGGCCCAGGTCCTTGGGCTCTGCACCCTCATGGGAGACCAGGAGAAGCACCTGGCTCCTGGCTTTGGATCAGCGCAGCATGCCGGCCACAGCAGCCATTGGGGGGTGAACCAATGGAAAAAGGAAGATCTTCCTCTCTGTCTCTCTCACTGTGCACTCTGCCTGTCAAAAAAATTTTTAAAAAATATTTTATGAAAAATATTTTCACACGCTACTTTAGTGAGCAGATATTTTTGCAAATGTTTCTAGTGTTTGGCTTAAGAAAAGACAACTATATCTTCACATCTTTGGTAGTCAATCTATTTTGACATCACACATCATGAGGTCTCTGCAAGTCTCCACTCTACACTAGGAGGGAAATGAAAATGGAAACAGCAAGTAGAATCAGAATTAGTATGAAAATAATTTGACTATGGCTCCCATACAGGAATGCTTAGGGGTCCCTGGGCCACACTCTATAACTGCTGTATTCTGTATTAAGAGGTTGGAAAGAAATAGCTTGACTTAGTTATTCAGGTGGAGATTTATTTACATGCTAACTTTTACAAAAGGAAAGGATAGGCTACTCCAAATATATGAAACCTGAAAGAAGCTGAGGTCCAAACAGACAGAATGTAGTGAAAGAGATGAGTCTGATTTTCCCTTCCCATGGTACAGACCCAATCTGCCTCACCCATTACAACTGTGGCTTGGGATGGCTTCCTATAATGGATGGTAGACGATGCTTAAAATTTCAAGCTCTACATCAGTATATGAGATACAAACGTGACTGTCTCTTAACATTTCAGAAAAAGAATTTTAGGAGCAGGCAATTTGGCCTATGGGTTAAGTTGTCAGTTAGGACACCCATGTCCCACATCAGAGTAGCTGGGTTCAGCCCTAACTCTGGCTGCTGATTCCGGCTTCCAGCTAATGCAGACATTAGGAGGCAGCAGTGATGGCTCAAGGGATCGGGTTCCTGCCACTCATGTGGGAGACCTGAATTAAGTTCCCAGCTCTTGGATTCAGGGCCATTGTGGGCATTTGGGGAATGTAATGACCTCACTCACATTCTGCTTCTATCCCTCTCTCTCTGCTTCCAAAATAAAGAAAAAGAAAAATCACTCTATGCTGTTTAAAAAAAAAAAATCTTTTTCTGTTTGAAATTCTATTTGGTGACAAGTATCATTGTGATTCTCCACCGAGAGGATGGACATCAGAATTTCCTGATGGGCACAGGAAGCTGGAAGCAGCATATTTTAAAATGTAATAATTTTATGGTCGGCACCACAGCTCACTTGGCTAATCCTCCGCCTGCAGCGCTGGCATCCCGGGTTCTAGTCCTGGTTGGGGCGCCTGATTCTGTTCTGGTTGCTCCTCTTCCAGTTCAGCTCTCTGCTGTGGCCCGGGAAGGCAGTGGAGGATGGCCCAAGTGCTTGGGCCCTGCACCCGCATGGGAGACCAGGAGGAAACACCTGGCTCCTGGCTTCAGATTGGCGCAGCACGCCGGCCGTAGTAGTCATTTTGGGGGTGAACCAACAGAAAAAGAAGACCTTTCTCTCTGTCTCTCTCTCTGTCTAAATCTGTCAAAAAAATAAAAAAATTTTAAAAGTAACAATTTTACATTTGAAACATGGAAAACGATGTTGATGATGAATAAAGTATGAAGGGATTTCAGTAAGTTCTTTGAAAAAATGAATTAAAAGACAAGTTATTTCACTGCAAAAATTTCTCAAGCCCAGGCACAGCTGTTACATATGTATTTTCCACAAACTTTTTGATATATCTGAGAATTTGTTTATTTGAGAAAGCTCTCATCTGCTGGTTCATTCTCTAAATGCCCACAAAGACCCCAGTCGGGGATCAAAGCTGGGAGCTCAGAATGCAAGCCAGGTATCCCACATGGGTGACAAAAATCATCCACCAAGCTGAGCCATCACTGCTGCCTCTGGAATCTGCATTAGCAGGAAACTCCAGTCAGGAACTGGAGCTGGGACACAAATCCAGGCACTAAGGCACGGGACATGGTGTTCCAACCAGGGTCTAGCTGCCATACCAAATACCTGCCCCTACACGCTCAGATTTTGAAAAGACTGACAATCACTGATCTGAGGCCATGTAGGTTGTATCTTTACAATCATAATTGATGTTTTGATGCAAATAACACTTAGCATATCTAATGAATTGTCTCAATGTATGAAAACACCTTCTCAAAATTATACCACTTTTGCCTTATTCAAAACCATGTATCCGCCAGCGCCGCGGCTCAATAGGCTAATCCTCCACCTAGCAGCACCGGCACACTGGGTTCTAGTCCCGATCAGGGCGCCGGATTCTGTCCCGGTTGCCCCTCTTCCAGGCCAGCTCTCTGCTGTGGCCAGGGAGTGCAGTGGAGGATGGCCCAAGTGCTTGGGCCCTACACCCCATGGGAGACCAGGAGAAGCACCTGGCTCCTGGCTTCAGATCAGCACGGTGCGCTGGCCACGGCGGCCATTGGAGGGTGAACCAACGGCAAAGGAAGACCTTTCTCTCTGTCTCTCACTATCCACGCTGCCTGTCAAAAAAAAAAAAAAAAAAAGTATCCAAGAAAGTCTAATCCAGAGGTCAGTAAATACAGTACTTAAACTCTGAGCTCCCACTAACCACCATGAACTATGCCATGGGCTTCCACATGTGATACCTAATCTAATCCTCTTAAACTAGCAAGTCACATGCTGTTTGTGATTCTTAGCAATATGAACATCTAGTCTTCCCGGCGACTTGAAAGAGAAACTGCTCAAAGAATTCTTTTGTAGTTGAGTGAGCATGAGACCTGCAGTGCAAGGACGAAAGTGAGGAGGGAAACGCGAGCGCTCTCCACCACGGCTTCTCATCTAGCATTTTCCATCTTACTACTCCAGGCCCCTTGCTCACCCTGCGACGGAAACCATCCTGAGCTGGGGAATGGAATCACGGCTGTCAGCTTCCAGAACATTTCACACTGTCTAAGTTCTGAAAGAGCTGTCACAGAGACTGCTGCTTCCCTCCATCTCCGTTCCCCTTCTTGCCTGAAAACAAAATCCCTGATTTTTACCAGAGCAGCATGAAGACTACCGTTCACAAGCACTACTAGAGCAGTGAACAATGGCAACTTCTAGGCAGTACCTTAAAGGGCGGGGACATACTTTCCTTCTCCCCCAGCTGGAAAGCAGGCAAGATGTCTACAGCCTTAGCAGTCGTCTTGGAGCATGAAGAGGAAGACGCAGGATGCTGATGAGCTAGAAGAAGCCTGTGTCCCAGCGAACAGAAGTGCCACCGCAGTCTGTAGGTTCATCTATCTCCCCTGTGAGGGGACTTTTCTTCAAGTCATTAAAACCTCTATCAGACGTAGCCAACTTCAATACTAACCGATACAGTTGCCGAAAAGAGAAATCGGAAATTCAGATGACTAACCCTGAGGCCGCAGAGCACAGTGGTCAGGAGCACGACCCCTTGGGCCAGTCCAGTCCACCTCCACCCTTCACTAACTGTTGAGACCTTGGGCCACAGTGTGTGCCTCAGTGTTGTCACTGGTGGGGAGGACAGACCCTACCTCCAAAAGTGGTTACGAGAAGGAAGGTATTATTTGCAAAGCATTTAAAACAGTACCTGGCATGTGGTAAGTATTTGCTGAAATCAAAATCAATAAATACCTTTGTATCAGGGCCAAAGATGACAACACCAACTATAGTTGAGTCCGTGGGCCAGGCTAAGCCTCCGCGGTGTTTAGGAAGTGGTCTTCTGCTGGAAACCACATTTTCCTTGGTGGGAGCACAATGGCTACACTGGGAAGTTTTGACCAGGCACCTGTGCCTCAGCTTCCTCTCCAACAAAGGAAAGTGCTCTTCCAGAGTCTGGGATCCTAAAAATCACCGAGAATCACCCCTAGGGTCTGTCACTCTCGTGGCCCATGTTCTGACATGCTGGTACTTGACCTGCCAGGTAAAATGAGAGCTCACATCATCCCCGCCTGCCAGTGCACCAGCTCACCTCTCAGCTGACCTGACACACTTCCAAGGGAGCTGTAACAGTGTCACCAAGAAAAAAACCCTCCTCCTGTACCTATCCAAGATAATCTTAGCCCATTCTTACCTCAGCCAACAAGCTAAAAAGAAAACCCTCCAAAGAGACAACAGAAAACAACTCAGATCTCAAATCTCATGCTGTTCGCAAACAAAAAAGATGACAGCATCTTGCTCACATTTGGAGCTCAGGAAACACTCTTCTTTGCCTCCAGAATGATGGCTCCTATTTGTGCTTTCAAGCGCCCTTATTCGAGGGCCTTGGAAAGACTATCTCAAAGCTTTCCCCAACTCAGTACTATAAACTCAGTCCATGGCAGAACTGCTCTCTGATTTTTTCACACAGGGACCACTCTGGGTGAATAACAGCATCATTCAATGAACGTAACCACACTAGCAAGTCACAGCCTATCCTGACCTCTCAGGACTCCTGGCAAAGCGGCACATGAGAGCTGGTGTCATGGCACAGCTGATCAAGCCCGCGTCACACATGGGTACCAGCCCCAGTCCCGGCTGTTCCACTTTTGATTTGCAGCAGAAGATGGTCCAAGTACTTGGGACCCCTGACACCCACTAGGGAGACCCAGATGTAGTGCTGGCTCCCTGGCTTCAGCCTGGTTGCAGCCATCTGGGGAGTGATCCTAAAGATGGAAGACCTCTCTCTCTTTCTCTCTCTCTCTCTCTTTCTCTAACTCTGTCTTTCAAATAAAGAAATAAATCTTGAGGCCAGTGCTATGACATAGCACGTAAAGCCACCACCTGAGGAGCCAGTGGCCCATATAGGCACCGGTTCAAGTTCTGGCTGCTCCGCTTCTTTTTTTTTTTTTTTTTTTTTTTTTTTTTTTTGACAGGCAGAGTGGACAGTGAGAGAGAGAGACAGAGAGAAAGGTCTTCCTTTGCCGTTGGTTCACCCTCCAATGGCCGCCGCGGCCGGCGCGCTGCGGCCGGCGCACCTCGCTGATCCGATGGCAGGAGCCAGGAGCCAGGTGCTTTTCCTGGTCTCCCATGGAGTGCAGGGCCCAAGCACCTGGGCCATCCTCCACTGCACTCCCTGGCCACAGCAGAGAGCTGGCCTGGAAGAGGGGCAACCGGGACAGAATCTGGCACCCCGACCGGGACTAGAACCCGGTGTGCCGGCGCCGCTAGGCGGAGGATTAGCCTAGTGAGCCACGGCGCCGGCCGCTGCTCCGCTTCTGATCCAGCTCCCTGCTAGTGCACCAGGGAGGGCAGCAGAGGATGACCCAAGTGCTTGGGCCCCTGCACCCACTTGGGAGACCCAGAAGAGGCTCCCGGCTCCTGGCTTCAGATAGGCCCAGCACCAGCTATTGCGGCCATTTGGGGAGTGAACCAGCAGATGGACGATCTCTCTGTGTCTCCCCCGCCCCCCCTACCTCTGTAGCTCTACTTTTCAAATAAAATGTAAAAAAGAAGATGAAATAAATCTTTAAAAAAAAAAAAAAAAAAACACAAGGCCCAGGTAAAGGGTTCACACAGAAGAGATGTAGGGAAAATTTAACACCATCATCTTAGTTAAGTATTACAATAATATTCTCTTCCAGTAGACATTCTGGTGCATCTGAAAACTTCGACAGGGAAGGCTGATATTTCTTAACCCACCAATCTTTCAATGAAAGCCCTGGTTTGATCAAATGCCTTAAATTCTGCAGCTCTCAAAAAGCTTAAAGGTTCTCAGCTGCCTTGGTCATTCCACATCCCATCCCCATCCCCCTTAACAGGCACGCAGGTGAAACAAATAAAGGTCACCACAAACACTTCGCCCTTCGCTGAAAAGCCAACTGCTGCTGACAGTGCTGGGAGAAACGAAAGTAAAAGGCAGCACACAGCCCCCATGTTTCCAAAAGTCCACTTGGAATCTTTTCACAGAAGTGAGCAATACCAGGGCAGATGACATCGTGCAGGCCGCCCACTCTGTCACCAACGTCTGTGAACAGGCGACCCGGGACGGTGGCATGAGACATCGTCACGGCACAAGGCTGCAGGTGAGCGCTCGGGGCCCCGGATGGCTCACCATCCTCCAGAGCAGCGGCACAGCGCTTCGTCCAGAAAGAGAACAGGCCAGAGCCTGCACATCTGCAGATCAACGGCCACGCAGCAGTCCCCGCAGCTTAAAGGGCTGGAAGGACCCTAGCAGAAGGCAGACTATCCCCACGCGACTCGACTCCGTCCAGAGGCGCACTGCCCCCCACCACACTGCGGGGCCCCTGGCCTCTATCTGGGCAATTTCCTCTTTTCATTTTCCGCTCGGTCCTCCCCCGCCAGATTCTGATTTGTTTCTTCATTCCGCAGAGCCTCCCCGCCTCCAGTCCTCAGGGGCACCCCGCAACCCCTCAATCCTCCCCACTGCCCCGCGGTGCGAAACCTCCACTCCCCCGGAGCCCTCCCGCCCCGCTCTCACCCCCTGAGGGTCCTTGACGAAGTAGCTTCCGCTCGAGCCCTGGTAGATGCGCTCGGGAAAGATGCCACGCTCGATGGCCAACTCGGCCTGACGCACCACAAACTCGAACTCGGGGTCCTCCGGGAACTCGTTCCGCTCGCGGTGGGCCTGTGCGGCGTGCGCCGCCGCCGCGGCCTGCGCCGCCAGGGCTTGGGCCTGCGCCGCCACGGTCTGGGTCTGGCCTTGGGCCGACGCGCCCCGGGCCCGATCCAGCAGGGGCTGCCGCTCCCGGTCGTGGCCCGGCGAGCCTGGCGGAGAAGGGCCCGAGCCGGCCGCCGCCGCCACTCGCACCGCGCCCCCCGGCACCTGCGGAAAGTGAGCGCCGGAGCCCGACGGGAAAGTGTACTCCGGGGGTTGGGCCCGCTCGGGGGACACCAGTGGGCTCGTCTCGTCCATCCCTCAGGCCGCCGGCTCCGGGACCCGGGGCGCCCGGCACAGCTGAGCTCGCGGCCGGGACCAATCCGCGACACCCCCCACCTCCCTCCCGGCCAACCAGGCCGCGGCGCTTCCTTGGCCCCGCCCCTACCCTGCCCTGTTTACTTGGCGACGAGTAGGCACAGCCCCTCGCGCGCCGACAGCAACCAATCAGAACTTACTCCTACGCAATCGCTGCCTCCGCATTTTTCTCCCGTCACCTTCAGTGGAGACTGCGCATGCTCCAGGAGCCAGCCCAGGGTCAGACACGCCCTCTGCCGCGACCACCTCGGCCCCGCCCTTAGCTTCCAATTGGCTGACAGGTCTGAGGACGTTTTCAAAACAGCAACCTCCCTATCAGTCCTTCATTAACTGGGGGCTGGCTGTGAGGCTTTGTGTCATTAATTGACCACCTACTATGTTGTAAGTGCAGGAGAGATAGCAGGAAAGCAAAGAAACAAAATCCCCGGTGCTACCTCCATCAGAAGTTTTTAAAAAGCCCAGTCTGGGACATTTCATTGGAACGCTTGCTCGAATCTCCGCCGCTTCGCTTCGCATCCCGCGTCCTCGCCGATGCACCTGCGAAAGCAGCAGAGGATGGCCCAGATGCTAGGGCTCCTGCACCCACGTGGGGGACCTGGATGCCGATCCTGGCTTCACCCAGCTCCAGCCGTTGTGGCCATTTGGGGAGTGACCCAGAGGATGGAAGATCTCTCTCTCTTTACCTCTCCCCCTCTGTTTCTGTAACTCTGCCTTTCAAATAAATAGGTAAATCATGCGGCTTCCACGCTGGCCCAAATGGTCAATGTTTATTTGTTAATTGAGGAAAGATATGGTCCTGAGGAAAGATGTGGTCCCGTGAGACTTTAAAATTCCATGAGGTTCATGACTTTTATTCGCCACCGTAAAGCCTTAATATCTAGATTATTTTATTTGAAAGGCAGGAGTTCTTCCACCTGTGGGTTCACCCTCTAAATACCTGCAACAGTCAGGTCCAGCAAGGCTGAAGTCAAAGGCTTCGGAACTCAATCCGGGTTTCTGGGTGGCAAAAATTCAAGTATCAGCCATCCTAGTGTGCCCACTAGGTGGAAGCTGAATAGGAAATGGACTAGCCAGGACTTCAACCAGGCACATCTGACACGGGATGTGGGCATCCCAAGCAGCAACTCAACCACTGCACCATACGTGTGCCCCATGGCACATTTTTATTATTGGAAAGAGGAAGGGAGATACAGCTCCTGCCCTCCAGCTAAAGACAAAGAGTGCACAGAGGGAGCTGAAAACTTCGCAACAGGAGTTCACTGATTTGGGGGTAGGCTGCAGAGTCGGCAGAGTCTAAGTGGGGCACTTGCTCTGAGCTATGCCTTAGATCACTGAAAAAAGGTGGCAGGTTTAAAAAAAAAAAAAAGGTGCAGACAGGAAAGGAGCTGGCTGTGAAGAAGGTGAGAGCAGCCTGCTTGGTTTGGGGCACCAGGGTCATGTTGGGTTACCAGGGCAGAAGCGGTACCTGACATGGGCAGGGCTACAGGGGGCCTTATTTATTTAAAAGACAGAGATATGGGAACAGGGAGGAGATAGAGAGATCTTCCATCTGCTGGATCACTCCCCAAATGCCCACAATAGCCAGGGCTGGGTCAAGTTGAAGCCAAAAGCCAGGCACTTCATCTGTGTCTCTCACATGGGTGCAGGGGCCCAAGGACTTGAGCCATCTTCCACTGCTTTCCCAGGCCATTAGCAGAGAGCTGGATCAGTGGAGCAGTTGGGACTTGAACCAGTGCCCATATGAGATCCTTAACCCATTATGCCATGACACCCGCCTGGTATTTTCTAACATATATTCATTCTAACAAAATCTGCTTCCTCACATTCTGTTCTTTCAGTGACTGCAATTATATCTCTAGTCAATATCACATATATTAGCATGTAACCATCATTCCTGTAACCAGTGTTCACATTGGATTGAATCTTCTAGGTCTGCTAGTCCAATATCAATAGGCTTGAGATATTAATTACTTGCTCAAAGTCACATAGAGTTAGTAGCAGAGATGGTATTTAACACAGAATCCAAGTCTTGTCTGTTTTATTTATTTGAGAGGGAGAGGAAGAGAGAGAGAGAGAGAGGCAGCACTCCCATTAACTGGCTCATTCCCCAAATGCCCGCAATAGGAGTGGGGAAGCAGGGTCTAGGCCAAGTCAGGAAAGCAATGCAGGCCTCCCACAATGGTGTCAGGAACCCAAGTACTTGAGCCATCACCAATGCCCCCCAGGGTCTGTATCAGGACGCTGGAGTCAGGAACCAGAACCAGGAATGGAATTCAGGCACGCTGGTGTGGGACTTGGAATTTTTTTTTTTTTTTTTTAAGAAGGAAGAGCATTAGATAGAGACAGAGAGATAAAAATCTTCCATCTGCCGCTGGTTCACTCCCCCAAATGGCCTGGAAGCAAGGAGTCAGACATAGGAGCTCGGAGCTGAATCAGAAGCGGAAGCAGCCAGAACTTGAAGCGGGGCTCCTTGGACTGTGGCATGCTGGGGTCCCAGGTAGTGGCTTAGCCCCCTGCACTACAACTCAGGCCCCTGACTTGGGCGGGGGTGGGAGGGGTAGGTCTTAACCACTAGTCTAAATGCCCAACCCCAAGTCTTTTGAGAAACAATTTTAAATCTCCATTTTTTTTTTAATTTTTTTTTTGACAGGCAGAGTGGATAGTGAGAGAGAGAGACAGAGAGAAAGGTCTTCCTTTGCCGTTGGTTCACCCTCCAATGGCTGCCGCTGCTGGCGTACCGCGCTGATCCGATGGCAGGAGCCAGGAGCCAGGTGCTTTTTCCTGGTCTCCCATGGAGTGCAGGGCCCAAGCACTTGGGCCATCCTCCACTGCACTCCCTGGCCACAGCAGAGAGCTGGCCTGGAAGAGGGGCAACCGGGACAGAATCCGGTGTGCCGGCGCCGCAGGGCGGAGGATTAGCCTAGTGAGCCGCCGCGCCAGCCTAATCTCCATTTATTTTACATTGTATACTCACACAAGACCTGGGGGCATTATTATTATTATCACGATCATTTCTGTCCTACAGGCGAGGAAACCCCAATCCAGAGAAGCAATTTGCCGACTCTCAATATGCACTTCTCTTAATAATACAGTCTGATTTTTCCGTGTGCATGGAGTAAGGCAGTCCCACGGGAGCAGCGCCCACGGCTTCCCGAGCCCGACAGAACCTCGCGGCGTGCTGCGTTCCCCTCGCCCAGTGGATAAACACGTGGATTCGCGGGCGGGCGACGTAGTATTCGGGCAGATGAGTCCAGTCTCGGCACTCTATCAACACAGAGGATCTGGGTAGTGACAACGACAAGGAATGCACAGGTATTGCCTTCCCATCGCAGTGCCGGGCACAGGGTTATCAAATTCAGGCGCCCTCCCCGGCGCATTACGACGACCAAGCCGCGCCTCTGAAGCGGGGTATCGGTGCTGTCCTCCGACTCCACGGCCGGGCCATTTACAACAGTGGGGATGCGAGCGGGATCGCAGCCGCTCTGGCTGGTGGTCACTGTTGGTTTCGTTTGAGGTTAACACTTCGGCCAGGCGGACTCTGGGTGGGCGAGCCTCACACGGAGCCTACAGCTCGCGCGGAGGTGCGGAGTGCGAACCACTCGCTAGGCCCCACCCCTCTCTCAGGCTCTGCCCGGCTCTCGGAGCACTCTGCCCCGCACAAAGATGGCGTGGGGGGCGGGCTGGGCCAATGGGGAGTGGCGTTGCTCCCGGTCGCCTAGGCAACAGCCAATGGGCAGCGGGGATTGTGCCCAGTGCCGCTGCCCGGGATGGCGGCGTCAAGTGGGGCAGGCACTGGTGGAAGTGGCTGAGAGGAGGTCCCCGCTGCTGAACCCCCAGGGTCCCCGCTGCTGAACCCCCAGGATCGGGGCGTGACGGTCGTCCCGAAAGGCTGAGCCCAGGTTGGCAGACGGTGCATGTGGGCCGGGACAGTGTGGTGCCGCGGGTAGGGATTGAGGGGCCGGGCAGATCGTCGGACCGCGGTTCCATCCCTGACGCGCCGACCTAGTGGGCGGCTTGCCCGTTGGGGTCCCAGACCCAGGCCTCCCATCTCGCCGGCGGGGTGGACGCCTGGGATGGCCTGGGCCCTCAGGTGGGCGAACGCAGCTTCCGGGGCTGCGTTGGGAGGGAAAGGCAGGCATACCTGTGTGCGCAGAAGACGCTGCGGGCCGGGGAGCAGACGCGCGTGGAGGGGAGTGGCGGGGCTGGAAGCGAGAGTGGGCTGTGGAGGGGCTTGCCCTCGGGGTCTGGGCCCGCCCGCGTCACGCTCCGGTGGAGGGCCGTCCCACACGGCCCTGCGTGGGGAATTGCGGTGCCTCAGTTATTGATGGGTGACATCCTGCATTCTGGCATCTCCAGGCTACTCCGGCGCCAGCAGCAATCACGCCCCTCTGCTAGGCCCCGGTCGTTCTCCTTTCCGTTGAAATAGAACACTTTTCTGACAGTGCCACTGTCCAGCGCCCTCCAGAAGTCCAAGGCTTCGTAGTCGTCAGCGTTTTTGGACCTTCTTTCTACTGCCAGTATTTTCTTTCCACTTTCTTCTACCTAACCATCCCACAGCCTTCCTAAATAATACCTTTATACACTAACAATACGTTTGTTGACTTTTCGAGTGGAAGTAGACAAGGTTAGAGTAAGAATTATTTCTCTCTCTCTTTTTTTTTTAAAGATTTATGTGAAAGGAGGAGTTATAGAGGAAGGGAGGGAGGGAGAGAGAAAGAGGTCTTCCAACCTCCTGGTTCACGGAATGGCTGGAACTGGGTCGACCTGAAGCCAAGAGCCAGGAGCTTCTTCAGGGTCTCCCACTTGGATGCAGGGGCCCAAGGACTTGGGCCATCTTCTACTGCTTTCCCAGGCCATAGCAGAGAGCTGGATCAGAAGTAGAGCAGCCCGGACTTGAACCGGTGCCCATATGGGATGCCGGCTCTGCAGGTGGTGGCTTTACCTGCTATGCCACAGTGCAGGGCCCAAGAATTATTTCAAGTTCATTCAAAAATGCCTAAAAAGAGGTCCCTGGCATTGTGGCTCAATAGGCTGCAGGCCATCCCATATGGACACTGGTTCGTGTCCCAGCTGCTCCAATTCTGATCCAGCTCCTGGGAAAGCAGTGGGAGATGGTGGAGTGCTTGGACTGAACCCTTGCCATCCACGTGGTAGACCCCATGCATTCTACCTAAGGTTCCCCTTAATTAGTACTTCTGGTTGTGGTCTGGGGAATAGACATCATTTTAAAAAGCAACTACTGAAAGAAATATGCTATATTTCCCTAGCTCAGAAAGGAATAGAGAGGTTATCATTGTGTCATGGCAGGTTAAGCCACCTCCTCAAAGGCCTGCATCTCGCATCAGAGTGCCTGGTTCAAGTCCTGGCCACTCTGCATTTCTGTTCTAGCTTCTGGCTAATGTAATTGGGAGGCAACACCAAACCTATGTGAGAGACCTAGATGGAGTTCCTGGCTCCTGGCTTTTTTTTTTTTTTTTTTTAAGATTTATTTTAATTATTTGAAAGGCAGAGTTAGATGGGGCAGAGTGGGAAGACAGACAGAGAGAGGTCTTTCATCCACTGGTTAACTCCCCAGAAGGCCACAATGGCTGGGGTTGGGCCAGGCCGAAGCCAGGAGCCAGAAGCTTCATCCAGGTTTCCCATGTGGGTGCAGGGACTCAAGCACTTGAGGCATCTTCCTCTGCTTTCCCAGGCCCATTAGCAGAGAGCTAGATCAGAAATGGAGCAGCCAGGACTAGAACCAGCAGCCATATGAGATGCTGGCACCACAGGCAGCGGCCTAACCCGATACACCATAGCACTGGCTCCTGGCTCCTAACTTTGGCCTGGCCTAACCTTGACCATTGCTGGCATTTGGGGAGTGAATCTGTAGATAGAAGATCTCTCTCTTTCAAATGAAATTTTTGAAAAACAGAAATACAAATGCATAGTATGTACTTTAAAAAAACGGTTAGCCCATGTGGGAGAGGGAAGAGGCTCCTGGCTCCTGGTTTCAGATTGTCACAGCTCCTGCTGTTGTGGCCATCTGGGGAGTGAACCAGTGCATGGAGGATCTCTCTCTCTCTCTCTCTCTCTCTCTCTCTCTCTCTCTTTCTCTCTGTTTGCCTCTGCCTCCCTGTGACTCTGCCTTTCAAATAAATAAATAAATCTTAAAAAAAAAAATGGTTAGCCTATTTATCTATTTGAGAGAGAGAGAGATCCCATACTCTGGTTCACTCCCTAAATGTCCACAATGGCAGGTTGGGAGTCAGGAATGCAATCCAGTCTCCCATGTGATGGCAGAAATCCAGTTACTGGAGCCATCACTGCTGCCTCCTGAGGTCTGCGTTAACAGGAAGCTGGAATCAGAAGCTAGAGCTGAGAATTAAGCCCAGGCACTCTGATGTGAGACATCAGAGCCTTAACTGCTAAGCCCGATGCCCTCCCCATGTAGTATGTAGTTTTGAAAACAAATGGGAGAAGACAGTGGCAGGGCTGGGCTGAGAGATGGTGTTCCAGTTGCTGTATAATAAATTATCCCAAAACCTAGCAGGTTAAAACAACCATATGATGCTCATGGATTCTCTGGGTCAGGAATTTGGACCTGTCAACACAGGGTTGGTCTCTCCCTGCTGCATGATATTACAGATGGTATGCAGGCTCAGGGGCTGGAGGCTCCTCCAGAGATGCCTGTTGCCTGGGCTAGGATGATTCACTGATGGACAGCCCACTGGAGCATCAATGTGTGGTTTGGCTTCCTCACACTGTGGTAGCCTGAGGGTAGCTGCACTTCTTTTGTGGTGGCCAGATCTCCCAGTGCGAGCGTACCAGAGAGCAAGATGGGAGTTGTGTCACCTTTCATGATCTAATCTCAGAGCACATCATCACATCCAAATTGTTCTATTGGTCAAAGCAGTTATGAGTTTCCTCAGAATCAAGAGAGGGGAGCTAGATTCTACCCTTTGATGGGTCAGTAGCAAGGTCAGATTGTAGAAGAAATGTGAGACAAAGGGTATTATTGCATACATATTTGGAAAATACAGTCTACCATGTTTGATAATAAGATAATCATACAAATTGTATTGACTTCCTTTAGATATTTTGGATATACTCCCAAGAGCTAACCACACACCAAAAATAGTAGTTGGGTTTACAACTTGATGTCTCAGAGAATATTTTGTCCATGATAATTCTCAATCTGGAGAAAAATCCCCTTTCAAGGGACCTTCTACTGGGTTCCCTGGAGTAAGGAGAAATACCACTCTGGAAGTTTTGTGTAGCTTAAGAAAAAGTAAATAGGGGCCAGCCTTGTGGTATAGCACAAGGCTGTGAGGCCAGCATTCCCATATGAACGCCAGTTCGAGTCCTGGCTGCCCCACTGCTGACCCAGCTCTCTGCTAATGCACTTGGGAAAGCAACAGAGGATGGCCCGAGTGCCATCCACATGAATGACCTGGATGAAGCTCCTGACTCCTGGCCCAGCCCCAGCCATTGCACCCATTTAGAGACTGAACCAGCAGATGGAAGATTCTTTCTGTCTCTGTCTCTCTCCTCTGCTTCTCCCTCTCTCTGTGACTCTGCCTTTCAAATAAATTTTTTTAAAAAGTAAATAAATTTTTTAAAAAAGTAAATAAATACTGTGTCATCACTGTGGCTACTCAATTCCCACTGCACTAACTTTTTCCTAAGTTTGAGTAAAGGCAAGTTGGTTATCTGCTGCCATTAAAAAAATTTTTTTTTAATTTATTTTGTATTTATTTGAGAGGCAGAGAGACACAGACAGATAGAGAAAGAAAGAGTTTCCACCCACTGGTGCACTATAATTGTTAGGGCTGGGCTGGGGCCAAAGCTGGGAGCCAGGAACCAATCCAGGTCTCTTCTGTGGGAGACAGGAGCCCACTTTCTTGTGCCATCTCTGCTGTCTCCAGGGTCTGCTTTAGCAGGAAGCTGGAGTCAGGAGCTGGTGCCCAGAGATGAACCCAGGCTCTCCAATATGGGATATAGAAGTCCTAACTTGTAACTTAAGGGCTAGGCCAAATGTCCACACCCCCACCCCTGCCAAACACATAGAGGAAAGGCCCTTATCTGTGTAAGTGACGATTTCATGCTTATGTATTGGAATGGGGGCTTTAGCAGAAGATGCAGCCCTTCAGATTCCAGCGGATGTGTTTTTTGAAGGGAAGAAACAGTTCTGTACCATAAGCTGACTTTTGGTGCTGTGACTTAATTAGTTCTAGGAAGAGCTGAAGATGGTCTGTAGCTATCAAAATGCCTATCTGGACTGGAAATAGTTTCCTTCTTTAGTTCTGATGGAAAACTGCTTCTCTTCCCCTCATTAAAGTTGTATTTGCAGCAGAGTCACGTTGACCTCAACCCCAGCACACGTTGATGCTGGGCTGATGATAAGAGCCTTGTGAGCCTGAAATGAGATGCTGACCTTATGGGACACTGATAGGGCAGAGATGGCACAGCAGGCGCCAGCATCACTCCTCTGAGAGCCCCCAGAGGTTCAGCAGGGGGCTTTAGGATGGGAAGAAAGTGGTCCTTGCCAGAGAACCTGGACTTGGAGCTCCTGACTGCTATCTGGAGAAATGCAAAAATCCCAGACAAATGACCCCCAAACATCTCTCAAACAGGCTCCATTAAGCAGGCTTCATTATGGGCTAGAAATGGAATTTTTTCCATATATGGGCTAGAGCACAGGAATTCTCAGAACTCATCTGCCCTTGTGTCTGAGAGATGAAGAAACTGGAGCTCTGAGACAGGGCCAGGGCCTCGATGTGACTGCATCCCACCCCACACCCCACGCCCGGCCAGACTGTCGTCCCGTCACATCATCTCTGGGCTTTGGGTGTCTGTTACAAAACCTGGTGTGACAATAAGGCCACACGTACAATACCCATGGGATGTGGATATAGAATGAAGGGGTGACAGCTTTAATTGGATTTTTCTCTGCTTAGTACATACCTCATTAGTCAAAATTGATGAGTTTTTCTATTTCAAAATGTTACCTGAGGGACCAGCACTGTGGCATAGCAAGTAAAGCCGCTGCCTGCAGCACTGGCAGCCCATATGGGCACCAGTTCAAAACCCAGCTGCTCCACTTCCAATCCGGCTCCCTTCTAATGCACCTGGGAAAGCTGCAGAAGATGGCCCAAGTCCTTGGGCCCCTGCACCCATGTGGGAGACCCAGAAAAAGCTCCTGGCTTCAGCCTGGTTTAGCTCTGGCCTTTGTGGTCATGTAGGGAGTGAACCAGCAGATGGAAGATCTCTCTCTGTCTCTCCCTCTCTACCCTCTCTGTAACTCTGCCTTTCAAGTAAATAAAATAAATCTTCTAAAAAAAAAAGTTACCTGAATTGTATTGGTAGCATTTTTATACTGAGCAAAGACTTGAGAGAAATTTCCATTTAAGTAAGCAGATGCATGCTTATATGTTTTTCTTTCTTAAAATTTTGTATTATTTTAATTTTATTTGAAAGGCAGAGAAACCCATAGAGATAGTCCATCAGTGATTCACTCCCCAAATGCCTGCAGTAGCCAGGGCTGGGCTAAGCCAAAACCAAGAACCTGGAACTCTGTCCAGGTCTCTCACATGGGTGGCAGGGACCCAGGTACTCAAGTCCCCACCTGCTGCCTCCCAGGGTATGCATAAGCAGGAAGCTGGAGTGGACGCTGAACCAGGACTTAAGCCAGGTACTCTGATATGGGATACAGGCCTCCCAAGTAGCGACTTAATCACTGCACCAAATGTCCACCCCTAGAGGTCTCTTTCTGAAGGAGAAGAAACTAATGTGTAGTGGGCAGGGCCCTGCGGTGTTCTAGGTACTTTCTTTTTTTTTTTTTAAGATTTATTTATTTATTTGAAAGAGTTACACAGAGAGAGGAGAGGCAGAGAGAGAGAGAGAGAGAGAGAGAGAGAGAGAGAGGTTTTCCATCCAATGGTTCACTCCCCAGATGGCTGCAACGGCCAAAGCTGTGCCAATTCTAAGCTAGGAGCCTGGAGCCTCCTCTGGGTCTCCCACATGGGTGCAGGGGCCCAGGGACCTGGGCCATCCTCCACTGCTTTCCCAGGCCACAGCAGAGAGCTGGACAGGAAGTGGAGCAACCAGGTCTCAAACCAGTGCCCATAAGGGATGCTGGCGCTTCAGGCTAGGGTGTTAACCCACTGCACCACAGCGCCAGCCCCTCTAGGTACTTTCATGTATGTTGTTTAATTTGATCCACCTGCCAAATATGTGAAGTAGGTATTTGAGTATTAACTCTACTTTATAGATGAGATTTAGAAACACTGAAGTAACTTTCCCATGGTTACATGGTGAGCTAAGGTTTGAACTCAGGTCTTTCTGCTGTCAGGAACTGAACTCAGGTCTTTCTGCTCCATTATACTGGGAGGCAACATAGGATAGGATAACGTAAGTTTGTGCACTACCTAGAGGAGCCCCAGAGTCCAATTGCCAGGGCTCTGATCACACAGGTTGGCTGGGTGACCTTCATTAGTTTGCTTGTCCTCTATGTGCTTCCGTTTCCTCAAGTGTAACATGGAGATCTTGATACCTGCCTCATAAAGTTCTTGGAAGTGAAAGTAGATCACATATTCACACACACAGTAAGTGTTGGTTCCTGCTACACATTCCAGGTGGCTTCTCTGGCGTCAGCCCAGTTGATCTCTGAGGGTTGTGCCACAAGGATGGGAGTGTAAATAATGCAGCACCAAAACCCACTACGATTTGGAAAAGACAAACTTAATGTCCTGGTGGTTTTAGTTGAACATGTAAAGCATCCTTTTTGTTAAAATATACCAGACCCTTCCTGTGCTGTGGAGTCCACTCTTTGCAACTCCATCTTGGCTTTCATAGTGGAGCATCACTGTAACCTTTAACAGTGGGTGTGGGTTCAGCACCTCTGGGACTTACAGGAAAAGAGAGAGAGAGTCGTTGGTCCTAGGCCTCAGGAACTGAGGGATCCCCTTCAGTGAGTGCACTAGGTCTGGTTCCTGTGCTTGGAAGAGAAGGTGCACTTTTCCTACAGGTCTCCTGTGCCTGAGGGTCAGGCTGTGGGTCAGTTGTTCATCTTGGGAGATTTGTCAAGGATGCTTTATAGTTCAGACTGGCAGTTCACAGATTTGCAGTAATCCAATGGTGCGCTTTTTTTTTTTTAATTTTTTGCCAGGCAGAGTTAGACAGTGAGACAGAGAGAGAGAGAGTTATAGACAGTGAGAGAGAGAAGAGAAAGGTCTTCCTTCCATTGGTTCACTCTCCTAATGGCTGCTACAGCCGGCATTGTGCCGATCCGAAGCCAGGAGCCGGCTACTTCCTCAGTCTTCCATGCAGGTGCAGGGACCCAAGCACTTGGGCTATCCTCCACTGCCCTCCCGGGCCACAGCAGAGAGCTGGACTGGAAGAGGGGCAACCGGGACTTGTACCGGCACCCCAACCGGGACTAGAACCTGGGGTACCGGGACTAGAATCTGGGGTTCCGGCACCGCAGGCAGAGGATTAGCCTAGTGAGCCGCGGCGCCGGCCTAATGGTGCGCTTCTTAAACAAAACTGCAGATCCTCAAGCTCTGACTGCAGAATCTGATTCAGTGGTCTGGTGCGGGCCTACGACTCTGCATTGCCACAATCACTTGAAAACCTTGCATTGCTTTTGTTTGGAAAAGATGAAGGAATGAATAAAAAGGCTTCTGGAATTAAGAGAGAAGCAAGGACTGAGTGCTTGGTGCGCGTCAGTGCGTTCTGTTTGTAGTGAATGCTGCTTTGGGTGTTCTCACTCTGCAGCACCTCCTTGAACACAATGTTCTGGTACCACTGGTACCATCGGTACGAAGCCATTTAGAGGCTGTCCTCTCTCCACTATGGGGTATGGCCGATGGCCATTCCTTCTGCTCTTACTACCCAGTTATCCCACAGACCACCCACTCCTACCTGACTGTATCAGCAGCTTTGCTGTATACAGATGCACCATTCTGAAACACAGCGGCTCCCAACAACACACATTGATTTATCCCATGATTCTGTAACTAACTAGCTTGAGGCTGGGCTTGGAAAGTAGAAATAATGATGATACCCATCCGGTAAAGTTCACTGTGAAATGAAATCAAATAATGTATTCATTCACACATCACTGAGGATACAGAAAAAGCCACTAAATGTCTCTAGTTTTGCCTGAGCTCACTTACCCCTCTGTGGTCAGCTGGAGCAGCTGCTCCGTGTAGCCACTCATCATCCTGGGGGCTGATCAGGTCCAAATGCAAACCCGGTGCTCCATCACCTTTGCAAATGCCCCGTTAGTAGAGCAACTCACACAGCCAACCCAGATCCAGTGGGCACGGGAATAAATAAATACTGCCTCTTAATGGGAGGATCTGCCATGTCATATGGCATGGGCATGAATGGAGGGAGAAAAACGGTGCCCATTTTAATGGTCTATTCAGTTATCACATCTTCCCTGCAAACTTTCTTCCCTGTAGGCTTTGTCTACCCCACCCCTCCTGCTCCCTTTGCCGCAATCATTTTTTCAGAACACTGCTTTCATCGTATTCCATCCCTGTTCACAACTCCTCCCCCAGAAACTTCCTCTTTTCTCCACAATGTCAGCTATAAGCTCTTCTGCCTGGTTTTCATGGGTCTCCTTAAACTAGCCTGACCTAACAGTGGTAGCTAGAGTGTGGGAGACAAAGGGCCAGCCACGGTCAGGGAGGCAGGTGCTTGTTCCAGCTCAGCCACCAACCCACCCCTTAACCTCTCTGCGCTTCTGTCCCTCCAGCCACAAAATGACAGTATTTGGACAACTAAGTCCAGTAGGTTATTTTCAGATTTCAGATGTTGGCAGACTGTACCGAGACAATTCATGTCCTATTGCTCCCCAAATACCTGTTACAGTGAGACCAGGCTTGTGTTCCCTGTGAACTGCCCATGTCTCCCTTGCTCATTTGGGGTTCGTCCCATTCCCCGTGTGTTCCCAATCTGGGGCTGCTCTCTGCTTTCTCCCTGCTCACTTTAAACCCCACCCATCCCATCTTCATTCATCTCTGCCAGCCAAGCTGGCACCTGATTGCATTATCTCTAGTATAATTCAGGTTTTACTTGTTGGTTGAATTGACTAGATTATAATCTCACTGAGGGAAGAGACGATGTGCTGACTAAACACATAGTAGGTGTTGAGTAAATCTTCGTCGATTAATCCTCCACTGCCAGGTCATAGAGAACTGGAACTAACTGAAACCTTTAAAACCAAGAGGAGAATAATTGTGCTTGGGTAGAGGTGGTGATGATGGCGGTGGTTGGAGAAGTGGGTGTTTTTGTTAAAAGTATCCAAGTCAGTGGAGATGAGCGGCCTGGCGGCCTCAGAGAGTGTGGCAGTGATGTTTTGCGGAGCACCCCTCCAGCGTGGTATGACACTGTTTTCCTCTGCTTGTTTCCTACAGCTTTCACCCTTTTCTTCTGTAAGCTGTCACCATGACCCTGACAAAGGGTTCCTTCACCTACTCCAGTGGGGAAGAATACCGTGGCGAGTGGAAGGAGGGTGAGAAGGACCCCTGGGGGAATCTCAGGGCACCAGGCTAGACAGCCAACTCTCTGGAGCTTCAGGACTATTTCCCACTCCAGGACTTGATTCCAGAGTGCCTTTCCTTTGTTCTATGTTAGGGTTAAATAACAGTTAGAAAATGCTCTTATTCACCCAAACCCCCACAAGTGAATTAAGTCCTTACATTTCTAAATTTGAAAGGATGTTTCAACATCCTTTCATCCTTCAGTAATATTATTTGGGAATTTTAAAAAATAAATGCTAATGTACCCAGCAGAGTATAGTGAATCATTTTAAGTGTCCATAAATTAGAGTACAGAGTTCAGTGCAATGAATTGGTTCCAATGAATCTTAAGAAGTTAGGGGGGCTGGCGCTGTGGCGTAGTGGGTAACGCCACCACCTGCAGTGCCGTCATTAAAACCTGGCTGCTCCACTTTTTTTTTTTTTTTTTTTTTAAGATTTATTTATTTGGAAGTCAGAGTTACACAGAGAGAGAAGGAGAGGCAGAGAGAGAAAGAGGTCTTCCATCTGCTGGTTCACTCCCCAATTGACTGCAACAGTTGAAGCTGCGATGATCCAAAGCTGGGAGCCAGGAGCTTCCTCCAGGTCCCCCCGTTGGGTGCAGAGGCCCAAGTACTTGGACCATCTTCTACTGCTTTCTCAGGCCATAGCAGAGAGCTGGATTGAAGTGGAACAGCCGGTACTTGAACTGGCACCCATATGGGATGCTGGCACTACAGGTGGCAGCTTTACCCACTACGCTACAGCACCGGCCCCTGCTCCACTTCTGATCCGGCTCTCTGTTATAGCTTGGGAAAGCAGTGGAGGATGGCCCAGGTGCTTGGGCTCCTGCACTCTTGTGGGAGACTCGGAAGAAGCTCCTGGCTCCTGGCTTCAGATCGGCCCATCTCCGGCTGTTGTGGCCATCTGGGGAATGAACCAGCAGATGGAAGATCTCTCTGCCTCAGCGTCTGCCTCTGCCTCTCTGTAACTCTGCCTTTCAAATAAATAAATCTTAAAAAAAAATGTTAGGACGATCTGAAAAGTAGGGCAGACACTCAAGAACAAATGAGATTCATTGCCTTGAATTTCCTGTGACACACAGCTCATTACCTTTGGAAGTGTCCATTCATAGGACTAGTCAAATTCTTTGGAGCCTGACATTATGCAGGAAGCAGTTTAATGACATTCAGTTTGGAAGCACAGTCTGGCTGCTTTGAAGTCTTGCAGGCCCAGTGCTAGCAAGCCAGGAAGTGCCCCGAGGGGCTGGACTCCCTGCCCTCTCGAAGGTGAAGGGCAGTTCAAGCTGTTACCAGACACTCGCCTCATTCTGCTCACATTAGATCCCCGTGGCTGATGAATGCATGAGCCTTCAGAAGTTGTGCAGATGGGGCGTGACCTTGCCTCTTCCCATCCCAAGCCTTTTCTCTTGCCTCCCAAACACCTGCTGTCCCCTCAAAGATGGCCTTTTGGAGGAGAGACTGCCTGAGGCTCTGCTGGGGGCAGTCTCTGTCCACCAAAGGAACACCCTCACCTGTGTTTGAAGGACATGACTGCTCTGTGTTCTGGTCCATTCAGTGGGTAAGCACGACAGTATGGTAAGCACAGCAGACAGAGCTCAGCCAGTGCTGCCAGGGAGGGTGTCAGGTTCACCCAGGAGCCTCCCAGTCTAAGGGATATGTCTGTTTGTTTCTCAGAGAGGCCCCTGTGTAAAGGTGAGTGTTGAGGGCTCCCTGTAGGGCTGCCCGCTGCATCTGCATTCTTGCTCCCCTGCTCAGAGCTCTGTGATCTCCAGCAAGTTATTTAGCTTCTCCCTGCCTCGATTTTCCCATCTGGCAAATGGAATAAAAATAGTACTATGCCTACTTCATAAGGTTTTCATGAAGATTAAATTAGATGATAAATACAGAGTGCTCAGAAGACTGGCTGGCTCATAGCAAAGCTACTATAAATGTTAGCTGTTTTTATTTACTTATGTATTTATTGAGAAGTAGACAGAGAGCTCCCATCTGCTGGTCCATTCCCCAAAGGCCCAAACAGCCCATGCATCTGAACCCCTAGGCCAGACTCCTGCCCAGGTAGGGTTATTTTCAAGTGCCCACTTGCCATTCATACTTGGGGGACCCTGCTCCATAGGTGATGGCTGTGACTTAGGATGGGCAGTCCAAGGAGCAATATTTTCCTGGTGCCTGGACTGGGTAACATTGTGCCCTGCGAATGCCCTGGCTTTTCTTCTTTCCTCTGGGGCCCAGGGCATGGGGGGTAAGGGATGCTGGGCGAGTGAGAAGGGACCAGAAGCTGCCCCTTTCCAACCTCACACCTGTCCATCTTTTTGCTCAGGCCGCAGGCATGGCTTTGGTCAGCTGATGTTTGCAGATGGTGGCACCTACCTGGGTCATTTTGAGAATGGGCTTTTTAACGGCTTCGGGGTACTGACCTTCTCAGATGGCTCAAGGTGGGTATCAGGTCATTGCTTTCCTAGCCTTCCACTGGGGAGGCTCTGATTCTAAAGTGGGGCAGGCAGGGAGTGAGCAGCTCTTTTGTTGGTGACATTTGAAATCAATCTAAAATTTGAAATGTCAAGGAGTGAGTGACCTTGCACTCTACTTGCTAGATTCTTTCCTTGAGATTCGGGCCTCACATCATACATACACGCCGACCCTTCTCTGCTGGCTGCGAATGGGGTGGGTGTGGCTGGGTCGAGCTCCAGGCTCAGTGCCGACAGCTCTGCTCTGCTCCTGGGTCTTAGTGAGGAGCACATAGCGGCAGCTGCTGGCCTCAGTGAACCCAGATGGCTAACATGCCCACTAAAGGCTAACATCTTGGTGTTTCCGCAGGTACGAGGGGGAGTTTGCTCAGGGCAAGTTTAACGGCGTCGGAGTCTTCATCCGACACGACAACATGACCTTTGAGGGGGAATTTAAAAATGGCAGAGTAGATGGTTTTGGTAAGTTTCAGCCCAACGGGACGGGTGCCTTGGGTGGGCACAGCAGGGTGGAAATACCTTTTTAGTGCAGCCCCTCCCCTGGCTACCCCACAGCCGCAGGGGTTGTGCCCCCATGCCTCCCCCTGCGGAGGACTCCTGAGCAGAGCCTCGAGTTTTTCGCATCTTTGGCCTCGGCACGCCAAGCTAGCCTCTGCAGCGTTAGTGTCACCATCACTCCGTATTTGTCTGTCCTCCCCAAGGCCTGCTGACTTTCCCTGATGGCTCTCACGGCATCCCGCGCAACGAGGGCCTGTTTGAGAACAACAAGCTGCTGCGGCGGGAGAAGTGCTCGGCCGTGGTCCAGCGGGCCCAGAGCGCCTCCAAGTCAGCCAGAAGCCTCACCGCCTGATGCGGGGCTGGGCACCAGCTGCCGAGGACTGGGAAGGGCCAAGGCCCGTGGTTCAGCCGAGGTGAGCAGTCGGACCAGATCTGAGCCGAGCTGAGCCGAGAGGACTGCGGAGCAGCAGCCCTGTGCTCTGCCCGGCACCTGCCAGTCGGAACCCAGCCGCAGGAAATGCCAGGGCATCTGTTCACGGGCCCTGCCCCAGCCGCCAGCAGTCTGTTGTTTCTTCATCTTTAGGTGCAAGAGGACAGAGGGAAAGCCGCCTCATCTCACTCGTTGTCTCTGTTCCTACACCTTAGGCTTAGCCAGTGCAGACCAGATGGGGCCTGCTACCCCTTTCTGCTGAGTGATAGAGAATAATCTCTTCATTCTGCCTACATATGGGGCGGATGATCCTAACTTCTACGTAGGGCCTGTGCTTTGTGCTACCCTGGAGAAGTAAGGAGAGGAACAGGGGCACGTAGTACAGTTGGCAGAGCTTTTCTGTTACTGCCTTCTTCACCGCTGCTTGGAGCCTGCTCCACACTCTCTAGCCAGAACGATCCTCCTCTCTGCTTGTCAATCCGTGAGGACCCGGCAAGCGTGCGGCGTGCTCCTCCCTGACTGTCCAAGCTGTCGTCCTTACCTTGCAGGTGATCCCCATCCATGCCTCTCCTTCCTTAGATGTCAAACAGGACCCCTTCATGGGCTCTTCAAGAAAGACTCGCACACGCAGTCACCTTACAGAACTTGCACTTCTTACTTACACCAGGGCCTAGTACATGTAAGCACCTCACTTGGCTGCCCACCATGGAGGGAACTGAATCCCTGCGGATGGTGTGGACTGACAACGGCCTTTCCCAGTGTGCCGTGGGTCAGACTCAACCACACCCCTTAAGTTTAAGTGGAATTGGCCTTCCAGGACTGTGGTGGACTAAGGAGCATGTGACTCTGTGCATCTGGTTCACTGCAACTTTTCTGCCATGAGACCTGGTATCACTCCTGACAGACAGGATCCCTGCACAGTTACACGGAGGCTTCCAGTTACCCTGTGACCCAGACACATGGCCCAGTCCCTATCCTCACACCGCCTGTCCCTCCACAGCAGACTGTGGTGAAAACGATAGCCGTGTGCCTCTCTATTTATTCTCTGGATTGTACTGTAGAGCAAGTGTTTATGAAGAATAAACAGATCACAAGAACTGCCTCTACTTAGCTTTCCTTTCTCGTCCTTGGGCTTGATGTTTCTTTTTTTTTTTTTTTTTTTTTTGACAGGCAGAGTGGACAGCGAGAGAGAGAGACAGAGAGAAAGGTCTTCCTTTCCCCGTTGGTTCACCCTCCAATGGCCGCAGCGGCCAGCGCGGTGCAGCCGGCGCACCACGCTGATCGATGGCAGGAGCCAGGTACTTATCCTGGTCTCCCATTGGGTGCAGGGCCCAAGCACTTGGGCCATCCTCCACTGCACTCGCGGGCCACAGCAGAGAGCTGGCCTGGAAGAGGGGCAACCGGGACAGAATCCGGCACTCCGACCGGGACTAGAACCTGGTGTGCCGGCGCCGCAAGGTGGAGGATTAGCCTAGTGAGCCGCGGCGCCGGCCTGGGCTTGATGTTTCTAAAAGTTCATCAGGCTGGGGCTTGGGACTGACCTGCACACTGAATGATGTAATATCATCTGATTCTGAAACCTTTGCAGAGTGGGGGTGTGAAGTGAACTTTTCTTTTATGCAGATAGGCTCAGGTTACCCAAATGAGCAAGTGCCAAGCCAGATGGGATTTGTGTCCCTTTCTCCCTGACTCCAACTCCCTTTCCACTGGATTCCTCGTAACCTAAGCATCAGAGTGCTAAGCCCTGAGACCACTTTGCTACCAGTCCTGCTGGGCTGCCTCAGGCAAGTCAGCTCCTGCCCAGGGCGCCCTTGCTCGGCAGCCACGCCGAGCCTTTGAGGTGCATGATCTTGCTCAGTCCTCGGCACAGCCCTAGAGGAAGGCCTCTTATTATCATCTTTGTGTTACTGATGAGGCTCAGGGAGGTTAGGTGGATTCTCCCAAGTCTGGCAGACGCACTAAGGGGCAGATCCAGAACTTAAATCCAGTCTGTTTAAGCCCAAAGGCAAAGCTCTTAACCAGTGCACTAGCCTACCTCCCCAACCTTGTCTTTCTCCCTGCCCTAAGCCTGAGTCTCCTGACAGGTGCCATGAAAGGAGCCCAGAGGCTAAGCCCCAACCTTTAGTGCCACCCAGATGTCTACTTTTTTTTTTTTTTTTGACAGGCAGAGTGGACAGAGAGAGAGACAGAGAGAAAGGTCTTCCTTTTGCCGTTGGTTCACCCTCCAATGGCCAGTGCGGCTGGCGCATTGCACTGATCCGAAGCCAGGAGCCAGGTGCTTTTCCTGGTCTCCCATGAGGGTGCAGGGCCCAAGGACTGGGCTATCCTCCACTGCACTCCTGGGCCATAGCAGAGAGCTGGCCTGGAAGAGGGGCAACCGGGACAGAATCTGGCGCCCTAACTGGGACTAGAACCTGGTGTGCTGGCGCCGCAAGGCGGAGGATTAGCCTAGTGAGCCACGGCGCCAGCCCTGTCTACTTGCCATTGAAAATTGATGTCGTGTGTGTTATTCTCTAACCTCAGTCCTAAGCCAGGGTCCATTTCCCTCACATACACCCCCTTTATTTGAGGGTCAGAGGGATCAGAAAGGGTGACAGAAAGATCTCTCATCCACTGATTCACACCCTCAAATGCTTGCAATGATTGGGACTGGGCTGGGCCAAAACTGGGAGCCAGGAACTCAATTCATCTCCCACTTTGGTGGGTGGAGTCCAGTCATTTGAGCCATCGCTGCATTAGCAAGAAGCTGGAGTCAAGAGCCAGAGCTGGGTATCAAACCCAGGCACTCTGTCATGGGATGCAGGCACCTTAACCCAGGCCAAACACTCACTCCTATTTAACTCTTAACTTTATACTTTTGTTTTAGTAATTTTTTTATTTGAAAGACAGAGAGATCTCCCATCTGCTGGGTCACTCCCCAAATGCCCACAACAGCCAGGGCTAGGTCAGGCTCAAAGTAGGAGCAGGGTGGCAGGGACCCAACTATTTGAACCTTTACTGCTGCCTCCCAGGGTGCACAGTAACAGATAGCTGGAATTGATAGAACCAAAACTCAAACCTAGACAAATAAATAAATCACTTAAAATATATTTAGGGGCTGGTATCATAGTGCAGTGGGTTAAGCTGTTACCTGCAATGCCAGCATCCATATGAGGGCCAGTTTGAGTCCTGGCTGCTCTACTTCTGATCCAGCTCCCTGCTAACGTGCTTGGGAAAGGCAGTGAAAGATGGCCCAAGTACTTGGGGCCCTGCCACCCATGTGGGAGACCTGGATGGAATTTCTGGCTCTAGGCTTCTGCCTGGCTCAGCCTTGGCCACTGCAACAATTTGGAGAGTGAATCAGCAAATGAAACTGTGTGTGTGTGTCAGGGACAGTGCTGTGGCATAGCAGGTAAGCGGCTACCTGTAGTGCCTACATCTCATATGGGCACTGGTTGAATCCCAGCTGCTGCACTTCTAATCCAGTTCCCTACTGGTGCACCTGGGAAAGCAGCGGAAGATGACCCAAGTCCCTGGGCCCTCGCCACCCACGTCAGAGACCTGGAAGAAGCTCCTAATTCCTGGCTTCAACCTGGCCCAGGTTTGTTTTTTTTTTTTTTCCTCCCTCTTTGTAACTATGCCTTTCAAATAAATTTTTTAAAAAACTAAAACATAATGTGAAATCTTAAAAAATTATTTCAGTTTTTCTGCCATTACATAGATACTACTATGGAAGAGGGTTAACCACATTGGAGAAGCTATTTGGTTAACATACTGTGTGTCTCCAAATATCCCAGTTGTGCTTCCTTGCCTATTACAGTTTCCCACTAAAAAATTCATTAAGTCTTTCCTAGGCCACCATTAATCTAATGCCTGTTTGCCCAGTCTTGTTAGGGCTCTCTCAGACTTGCAGAAAGGCAGCTGTGAGAGCTCAGGCACTTCCGGAGAGGTTCTTGACACGCAGCCAGGCGATCCAAGGTCTGCAGAGCAGCGGAGTGTCCATCTGAGCAGAGCCACACCAGCTTTACTTTAAACTTTATTAGAGTAACGAAGTGATTCTTTTTAATAATAAAAGAAGACAGCCTATAGGCAAAATGTGGCCCTGTCTCAAGGCCAAGTGCCCCTTTCCTACTGTTTTGGACCTGGGCCGGTCACTGCAGTCTCTAGACTGTAACGTCTATCCACCAGGTGTCGTGGTTTAGCAGTCTGAAGGAGCCGGGCCGTCTCCCTGCATTAACAGTTGAATTGAGTTGGGGACAAGAATGTGTGGCGAAGGCAGGTAGATGGGGAAGGGTGTGATGGGTAGAAAGCAGCTGGCCCTTCCAAGACCAGCAGCTTCTCCAACCAGGTTCCCAACCTACCGCTACCCCTGGAAGGAGCCAGACGCAGGCTCTTAGGGTAGCCCTGGCTACCTAAGCCTAAGGGTTGTAGCCCCAAGTCTAGGTAGTGATCCCGTCAGTAAGACCTGTTTGTGCCCAGATGCCCCCCACCCTTCCTCTCTTGCTGTGGCTTCAAGTGCCTTGGGTCACAGGAACACATGTGCAGTAGAGACCGTGAGACATTGCTCCTTCCCAGCCTGAAGGCTCAGAGACTCAGATGCAGGATACAATAACGTGGGAAGTCACGGGGCTATGAGGATAAGAGTGCCGGAAGACCCCAGACGGAAAAGAGGTCAGTACCCTTGCTTCTCCCACACGCCTTCAAGCTGCAGGTGCAAGGCAGGAGACCAACGAGCTCAGCCAGGCAGGTCCCCCGCTTGCTCTCAGAGCCAGCCATTGCTGGTGAAATCCACACGCAGGGCCTCCTCCTCAGCAGGGCTCAGCGCCTGCAGTGGGGCACGGCAGGGGCCTCCGTAGTAGCCAAACCAGTCCATGACTTTCTTCAGCCCCGGAATCCCGAAGCGCCGAGTCACCTAAGAAGCAGGGCCTGTTAGAAGGGTTAGGGAATCCCCCGCACGTACGTGCACACCCCTGGGGCCCAGACATCTGTCACTTTCAGACTTTCCAACCCCTGCCCCAGTAAAGCAACACTAGCACTTCTGTGACACATGGGGTAGAATGGAATCCAGACCTAGAGACCTAAACCTGTCAGTATTAGAGCCACACGTCAAAAGCTCAGAGGAAGGAAGGCGTCTCCTTTGGTCTCGAGGGAGAAACCCACCCCAACAGGGAGCAGGGCGCCATTCCATCCTCAGGCTGTGATGGCAGAAGGCAGCAAGGCTACAGATCTGGGCTCAAAAACCCCAGGCTGTGGCCTAGTGCCTGGTACTTCACCCAGGAAGGAGAAGGGCCTCCCAGCGCCTCCCACACAGCTCAGACCCCTGCTCCCCTGGCCTAGCAGATCCCCCACCCACATAGCCATAGCTCTTCCCTTGGCTCTGAATTGCACGCTCTCACAGGAGAGGAAATGCTACCACCCAAAGACATTTTGCTGTGCCGCCATGGGTTACTGACTCGTTATTTCTAAGCAAGTTCTCTTGTCTAAAACATGAGGGGGCTCTAAGGGCCTTTCCATGAATGGGGCCTAGGGGACTTCAAAGCTGTTGTCTTAATTTAAAATCAGGCCTGGAATTTTACCAACTCAATGAGGCACCACGTTTCTTTGGTTTGGGTATACCAATTGGTTATAGCATGCTGATCAGTAATGTTAGATTAATCTTTGACTATCTAAAACTAAGACAGTAACCAGTTCTTAATCAAGTTTTATTTGGAGGGAAGGTAGAAATATGGGCTCCATGTAGGGTAAAATTAAGAGGGCTTAAATTAAAAGGGGGAGGCGGTGCTGTGGCACAGCAGGTAAAGCCGCTGCCTACAGTGCCAGTATCCCATATGGGCGCCGGTTCAAGTCCTGGCTGCTCCACTTCCAATCCAGCTCTCTGCTATGGCCTGGGAAAGCAGTAAATGACCCAAGTCCTTGGGCCCCTGCACCAGTGTGGGAGACCCCTAAGAAGCTCCTGGCTCCTGGCTTTGGATCAGCCCAGTTGTGGCCACCTGGGGAGTGAACCAGCAGATGGAGGACCTCTCTCTCTCTCTTTTCTCTCTCTCTTTCTCCTTCTATCCTCTCTCTATGCCTCTGCCTCTCTGTAACTCTGCCTTTCAAATAAATAAAATAAAACTAACAAATAAATAAAAAGAGGACCTTGGGGTAAATAATTAACAACTCTTCACCACTAGAGGCCAGTAGACTTCAGCCAGCCTGGGCTTGGGCCCTCCTCCCAGGCCTGCTCCCACCTGGGGTGTTCAGAGAGCCTGGCTTGTACCCCAGACCTGAGTGGGCGGGAAAGACCCAGGGCAGGGGAAGGAACCGAGCGGCACCTGGAGAAGAGCTTGCTCCCACTGCGGGCCTCCGAGGACCTCGTGGACACAGCCTCTTCCCGCAGAGGCTGTGGAAAGCCCTAAGTACACCAGGGCCAGAGGTCGAGCGCAGGGCAGGTGCGGGAAGGACACAGTGTTCAACCAGGGCAGGGCAAGAGGGTGACATCAAAGTGCTCTTGGGGTGTCTGAGCCTACAATTCAGGCAGCAGAAAGGTGTTCCAGGCATTCCTGAGCAAGTGCCCGGGCTGGCACAGGAACAGGACAGAGTGAAGGGAGAGGGGACGGCAGCTGGACGTCTGCTGTCCCCAGTGGGCAACCCAAGCTACTTCATCTGAAAAACGAGGTGGTGACAGCAGTGACGCCACAGAGGTGTCACAGGATCCAGTGAAGAGAGCACTGCGAATACCAGGTCAGTCCCCAGGGTCCCGAACGCTGCTCCTTTTCCTGTCCTGATAGGATGCGGGGTCAGGCCTTCTCCTTCACAGATGGTGGGGGCTGAAGACCCTTTACCCAGAGCCTGTGCCCTGTGGGGTTCAGCTAAGAGGCCTCATTAAGGCCAGTCCTTCCAACCTGTTATAGAGCGGCCCATCCCAGGACGAGCTTCCCATCTCGGGAGACTCGTGCTTTCTCCTCGGCCCTCACTTCCCGACCCGAGCGAATCTGCTGTGGTGGTGATGCCTGGCTCAGCCTCACATGCAAAACATACGGGAGTGCCAAAAACCTCACCCATCAAGATGAATAATGTATCAATGCAATATTTTAAAAATCCATGAAGAATAAAGTTTTAGATAAAGACAGGATCTGACAGAGCTAAGTCTTGCCAAACTGTAGCCTCAGACAAAAGTAAAGATGTGTGCCCCTATACACAAGATTTTATTTGTTTTTTAATGCTTATTTTTTCTCCTAGATTTGGGGGAAAAAGTGATAAGATTGCTCCTATTAAAGTCAGAGAAGTAAAGTTATAATAAATTCTATTTTTGATATACACATAATATTTAAACTTAAAATAGTGCTATGAGTTCTAATGTACCCACTTACCAATTTTTTAGCTTTTCAACTACATTAATGTTGAAGGGGTTGGAGGAGTCACCGCTGAGAACAACACAACTTTCAGGAAGATGGAGTGGAAGTACCTGCCCCTATTCTTCCCAGTAAGTACAATTAAAATCCTGGATGTTATGTAAGAACAGACATAAGAAGGCTCTGGAAGGTAGAAGATCGGCCAGGGACCCCCCAAAGACCAATACAACCCCGGGGGCTAGACAAGGAGCCAGCAACCATGAAATGCCAATGGGCACAGACAATACAGGCCCCAACTCCAGGCTGCTCTCTCTGCCAATGGACTGGGAAAGGGGAAGCCTAACAAGATGGAGAACTCTAGACAATCACCTCTCTCCAGGCAGGCCAGCAATGGGTTAACAAGGAAGCCTGAGCCTCCACTGCTCAGTCCTGACTGGCCAGTGACAGAGGCCCCAGCGAGGACAGTCATGCTTCTCACCACTGCCCACCGTTAAGGAGGCCACCCCAGGCCAGCTCATCCCGACTCCCTCCTAGATACATGGGTGACATCAATGGGCCAGGCAGGGGAGCAGCAGGGAGACACTCCTGTCCCTCCAGTGGGGAGCTCTCAGTGAAGGCTGAGTGCAGAGCCTGGTGCACAGGTGTAATAAACAAACAAACAAAAAAAAGACAAACTCCTAAGAAAGAAGTTTCTTGGCTCCAATAATTTCACTGGAGCATTCTACAAATGTCAAAAGAAGATTTAATACCAAATCAACAAGTCTCTTCCAGAATTGGAGAGAACACTTCCCAATTTATTTTATGAACCTAATTATTACCCTCATACCAAAACCAGACAAAAGCTATGCAAAACAAGAAAAACTGCAGACCATATTCCTCATGAACAGAGACACAAAAGTCCTCAGCAAATCAGCAAGTGGAATTCAGCAATGTATCAAAAGAATTATTGGGCAGGCTTTGGGTACAGTTTACTTGCTGTTCGAGGTCCCCGCATCACATATCAGAGTGCCTGGTTCGAGTTTCAACTACTCTGCTTCCAGTCCAGTTTTTTACTAATACACAGCCGGGAAGGGCGGGTGATGGCTCCAGTATTTGGGTTCCTGCCACCCACGTGGGAGACCCAAATAGACTTCCAGGCTCCTGGCCTTGGCCTGGCCAGCTCTGGCTGTTATGGGTGTCTGGGGAGGGAACCAGCAGATACACAATCTGTCTCTGCCTTTCAAATAAAATGAAAATAAATTTTTAAAAAATAATTCTATATCATGACTAAGTGGTGTTTAGCAAAAGAAGTCTAGATCAAATATTTGAAAATTAATGTAATCCACAGTTTTAACAGAAGAAATCAGTCAATGCCCAAAAGTATCTGACAAAATTCAACACCATTTGTGATTTTTAAAAATTCTAAAAATCTGGGACTTGAAGGAAACATCCTCAACTTAATAATAAGCATCTAGAAAAACCTAGAGCTAACATTATAAATAATGGAGAAAGGCTGATTTTTTTTTCTCTTAATATCATAAATAGGGGCTAGCATTGTGGTACTGGGGGTTAAGCCACTGCCTACAACACCAGCATCCCATATGAGCATGGGTTTAAGTCATGGCTGCTCCACTGCCAATCCAGCTCCTTGCTAATGGGCCTGGGAAAGCTGTGGAAGATGGCTCAAGTGCTTGAGTTCCTGCCACACATATGGGAGACGTAGATGGAGTTCCAGGCTCCTGGATTCAGCCTAGCCCAGCCCTGGCTGTGGCTGCCATTTGGGGAGTGAACCAGCAGATGGAAGATATCTCTCTTCTCTTCTTTCTCTCTCTCTCATTCTGCCTTTTGCCTTTTAAATAAATAAATATTTTTTAAAAGAAAATATTAGAAACAAGGCAAAGACTGCTCTATGTACTCTTATTCAACACAGTGCAGGAAGTGCTAGTGCAATAAGGCAAGAAAAGGAAATAAGGCACCCAGAGATCAGAAAGGAAGAAATAAACCTGTCCCTATTTGAAGATGATAGGACCGTCTGTGTAGAAGTCACAAAGTATCTGTCCAAAAAGTCCTCCTAGAACCAGTAAGTCACAGGACACAGTATAAACCTGCAAAAACCAAGTGTGTTCTAAGCTAGCAATGAAGACATGGATAGTGAAATTAAATACATAATACCATTTTCAGTCCCCCCAAATTTCTCAAAACATGTACAGGACTGCTTTGCTGAAAACTATAAAATGATGAAGAAATAAATAAAGACCTGGTTAAGTAGACACATCATGCTGAAAGACTGGAAAACAACATAGTAAAGATGACAACTGTCCCCAGGTTGATGTACAAATTTAACACGATTTTTTTCAAAATCTCAGCAAGATTCTTTTGTAGATACAAACAAGATTATTCTAAAATTCACATGGAAAGAGAGTAAAGAATTTTTTTTGCTTGGGGGGTAGAGAACAAGGTGGAAGGAATCAGTCTTTGATAAGACTTATTTTAAGATTGCCACATAGCAACAGCAATCAAGTGTGGGTGGTAGTACCGGGGAAGGACACACAGATCAATGGGAAGAATAGAGAACCCAGAAATAGAGCCACTCACCTGTGCCCCACTGATTTTTGACAAAGGTATGAAAGCAATTCAGTGGAGGAAAGATTGCTTTTTCAACAAATGGTGCTGGAGCAAGAGGGTATCCCTAGGGGGAAAAATGAACCTTGACCTAAACCTTACACTTTATACAAAAAATGAACTCAAAATGGGCCACAGGTTCACAGAACAGATTTAGAAAACTTTTAGCAAAAAATAGGAGAAAATCTTTGCAATCTAGTGCTAAGCAAAGAGTTCTGAGACTTGACTCTCAAAGTACAATCCAAAAAAAGGGAATATTGATGAATTGGGTGAAGTCAAAATTTAAAATTTTTACTGCACAAAGGCAAAGAGAATGAAAAGACAAGCTACAGATGGGAGACAAATATTTACATGCCATATATCTGGAAAAGGACGTGTCTAGAAGATATAAATAACTTTCAAGGCTCAACAGTAAAAAAAAAATTCAGTTAGAAAAGGGGCAAGACACAAAAACATGTTTGACTTAAGAGAATACAGATTGTAAAAATACAAAAACCAGAAAAAAACACAAAAAGCTGTTCAATATCATTAGCCACCAGGGAAATGAAAATTAAAGCCACAAGGAGATGTTACTGCCTAAGCCATCAGAATAGCTAAAAATTAAAAATAGTCACAACACCAAAATCTGGCAAGAATGAAGATCACTCATGTGTTTACACTGGTGGAAATGTGAAATGGCACAGGCACTCCGGAGAGCAGCTGGCAGCTTCTTAAAGCACTGAGCATCGTGTGGGCCTCCAGTAGCACTGCTGTACATTTATGCTACCAAGATAAAAACTGAGCCCATCTAAGAACTTGTTCACTACAGCTTTTTTTAAAAAAGATTTATTGATTTATTTATTTGAAAGGCAGAGCTACACAGAGAGAGAAGGAGAGCTGGGGGGAGGGGTGTCTTCCATCCACTGGTTCACTCCCCAATTGGCTGCAACAGCCGGAAATGTGCCGATCCAAAGCCAGGAGCCAGGAACTTCTTCCAGGTCTCCCATGTGGGTGCAGGGGCCCAAGCACTTGGGCCATCTTCTACTGCCCTCTCAGGCCATAGCAGAGAGCTAGATTGGAAGAGGAGCAGCCGGGACTAGAACCAGTGCCCATATGGGATGCAGGCACTGCAGGCGGTGGCCTTACCCACTATGCCACAGCACTGGCCCCCAGTGCAGTTTTTATCAGCCAAAAACTGTCCTTGGGGCTACTGTTGTGGCACAGTGGGTTAAGCTACGACTTGTAACACAGGAAACCCCTATCAAAGTGTGGTTTGAGTTCCAGCTGCTGCTCCACTTGTGGTCCAGTTCCCGGCTAATGTACTAGGGAAAGCAATAGAAGATGGCCAAGTACTTGGGCCTCTGCCAACATGTGGAAGACCTGGGTGGAATTCCTGGCTCCTGGCTTTGGCCTGACCCAGACCTGGCTATTGCAATCATCTGGGGAGTGAACCACAGGATAGAAGTTCTCTCTCTGAAGCTCTGCCTTTAAAATAAATAAATCTTTTTTAAAAAGACCAGGAGACCTTTCTCTCTGTCTCTCCCTCTCACTGTCCACTCTGCCTGTCAAAAAAAGAAAAAGAAAAAAAGAAAAGAAAAGAAAAAAAAAAAAAGACCAGGAGAAGCACCTGGCTCCTGGCTTCGGATCAGCGCATTGCGCTGGCCGCAGCGCGCTGGCTGCAGCGGCCATTGGAGGGTGAACCAATGGCAAAGGAAGACCTTTCTCTCTGTCTCTCTCTCTCTCACTGTCCATGCTGCCTGTCAAAAAAAAAAAAAAAAAAAAAAAAACACACACACACACACACACAAAACATGAAAAACCTATCCTTTAGCAGGTAAATAATTGAATTGGCCATGGTACAGACATCCCATGGAATGGTACTCAGCAATGGAAAAGAACGATGTATTGATTATGCAGTGACCTAGATGAATCTCCAGAGAATTGTGCTGAGTGAAAAAAGCTAATCCCCAAAAGCTATATAAACTGTATCCACAGCGTCTTCAATTGACAAAATTATACAAATGGTGAGCATATGTGGTTTCACGGGGTGCAAAGGTATGGGTGCAGCCATCAAAAGGTGACAGGGGGCCTCCGTGGTGTTGGGACTATTCCGTACTGCAACCGTATCGATGAAATACTCTGGTTGTGAAATCAGTGTATAGCTTTGTAAGATGTTCCCATTCGGAAGAAACTGGCTAACAGATACATGGGATCTATCTGTATTACATTTATTACAATTCCTGTGGACCAAAAATGATTTCAAAGTAAAAAATTTAATTTAGGGGCCGGCACTGTGGTGTAATAGGCTAACCCTACACCTGTGGCATATGAGCACTGGTTTGTGTTCCGGCTGCTCCTCTGCTGATCCAGCTCTCTGCTGTGGCCTGGAAATGCAGTGGAAGTCCTTGGGCCCCTGCCCCCACATGGGAGACCCAGAAGAAGCTCCTGGCTCCTGGCTTCAGATCAGCTCAGCTCCAGCTATTGCGGCCATTTTGGGAGTTTACTAGTGGATGGAAGACCTTTCTCTCTGTCTCTCCCTCTCTTTGTAACTCTGCCTCTCAAATAAATAAATAGAGCCTTTAAAAAAAAAAAACAATTTAAAACATATGTAATAACAGTATATGGGAGCACACACTTTTTTGTTTGCCTTAGGCTTCAGAATGGCTCTGAACTTGACCATCATTTCATCCCAAATTCTTCTTGGCTTGTCCAGCCAAGAACTGGGGATCAGGGCCTGACTGTACATAGATTATGTGAAGAAAGAACTCTCTGGGAAAGCCTGGGCTCTGAATGCCTTCAGCCTTTTACTCTGTCCTTTGCATCCCTCAACATTCTGTTTTTCAGACTCTGGCCTCTTGAAAGCTGACACGTCCCTGGTTCACTCTCTCTAAGGATGGTCCAGGATCACTCACAGCACCATCACTCAGGATGCTTCTTTCAGTGCATATTCCTGGGCCCAAGGGATTCCAGCTGTAACTGAATACCTAAGAGAATTCTAACATTCCCTTAAGCTTAAGAACCAACAGGCTGCCGGCACTGTGGCTTAGCAGGTAAAGTCACCTCCTGCAGTGCCGGCATCCCATATGGGTACTGGTTCCAGTCCTGACTGCTCCACTTCCAATCCAGCTCTCTTCTATGGCCTGGGAAAGCAGTAGAAGATAGCCCAGGTCCTTGGATCCCTGCTCCCACGTGGGAGATCCGAAAGAAGCTCCTGGCTCCTGGCTTCAGATTGGCACAGCTCCAGCCATTGCGGCCAATTGGGGAGTGAACCATCAGCTGGAAGACCTCTCTCTCTCTGTCTCTCCTCTCTCTGTGTAACTCTGACTTATAAATAAATAAATCTTTTTTTTTTTTTTTTGACAGGCAGAGTTAGACAATGAGAGAGAGAGAGAAAGGTCTTCCTTTTTCCATTGGTTCACCCCCAAAATGGCTGCCACGGCAGGCGCGCTGCGCTGATCCGAAGCCAGGAGCCAGGTGCTTCTCCTGGTCTCCCATGCAAGTGCAGGGCCCAAGCACTTGGGCCGTCTTCCACTGCCTTCTCGGGCCACAACAGAGAGCTGGACTGGAAGAGGAGCAACCAGAACAGAATCTGGCATCCTAACCGGGACTAGAACCCGGGGTGCCAGCGCCACAGGCAGAGGATTAGCCAAGTGAGCCGCGGCGCCGGCCAATAAATAAATAAATCTTAAAAAAAAAAAAAAAAAAAAAAAAAAAAAGAACCAACAGGGCTCAACTTTGTCTTAAGCCAGGATTTTCTGGAGGAGGCACAAGGAGTTAACACATTGGGATGTGGTCTGAAAGGGAAGAGACTGAGTGGGGACTCCGTACCAGCCCTGGCTCCTGCTCCAGTGAGGATGCAGATGGCCCCCCTTCCCCACCCCCTCCCCGACTGCTGCCCTTGTTTGGAGGCTCACCGCAGAGTTTGGCTCAATGAGGCGATGCTGCAGCTTCTGTGCCTCTTCCCATTGTCCCGTGAGACACAGCCGCTCCAGCTGGCACACCTGGGCGCCCAGGACATTGGCCAGGGCACACACGCCCCCCACACCGCCTGCCGGAGCAAGATACAGAACATCAGCCAGAAATGCTTCCCATAGGGGATCCCGAGCCCTGGTCCCTGCGCCCCTTCATTCTTGGGGACTCAGGATATGGAGTTCTCTACTCTGGTTGGCCACATCGAAGGCATGTTCTGTGAGTGCGGAGTACACATTTCCAGAGAGAATGCTGCCTGCAGGCCCAGAGCTGCTCTGGTAGGCCAGGGAGCAGGGCCTGAAGGCAGCTCAAGGCCAGGTCCTTCCCCGCACCCCCATCACCTGCCTCGGCCAGTCCCACCTGTCAGCTGACCCCTCCAGCATTCCCCAGTAGTCCCCTGAGTCTTCTGGCCTGGAAGAAGGTGAAGTGGACTGGAAGCCTTTGCTCTTCTGAGATTCAGCCTGGGACAGCCTGGGACAGCAGTGGGGGCAGGGGTGGAAAGAGCTCTGGGCACAGGGTTGGGAGCCTGGGCATTTCCTTCCACTGGCTGTGTGATCTTGGACAAGTCACAGATCCTCTCTAGTCTGCTTTGTTCTCTTCCGGGCAAATGGGCATGCTGGGATCTCAGAAAGCCTTGCCACCTCTGACAGGCAGGAGCGGCCTCGAGACTGGAGCGAGAGCAGAGGATATGGAATGAGCTGACACTACCCAGGGCCGGCGCTCTCTAGTCCTCACGATACTTCGCTTTGTAGGGTAGAAACTCGGGCCCAGAGAGGTTGGGTGCTTGCCCAGTGTGATGCGGTGAACAAATGGCCGAGCTGAGATTCCAGCTCAGATCCCCTGCCTCCACAGCTGTGCTCTTTCCAGCAGCTCTGCTCTCAGGAGCAAGGTGGAAATGGCTTCTCTCTTCAACCCTGCAAGGATGTAGGAGATGTGCAAGGACACAGACAACAAGCTGAAGTCTGCAGTGACCAGAGGGGACAGGAAGCAGCCCCATCTCCTGTGGGACTGAAAAAGTCACTCAAACCTGTACTCAGTGGGGCTTCAGCTGGCAGGAACAACCTGAACCCTAGGACCTTGACCCCAACAGACAAGAGCAGGTGGTCTCAGTGACATTTCTAGGATCCTGGCCTGGAATGGCACCTGACAATTTATTCTGGCCTGGGACTGAGAGAGAGGAAGATGAACTCCTGGAGTAGGGAGGGCGTCCCTAACGTCTCTGCCCTCTGAGATTGATTTACATGGTGAGATTAGAGCAGCCAAGTTTGTCATCCAAGAGTGGGGCTCAAGGTTTAGAGCAAACTGCAAGTGTCCCTCCTATAGGCTGGGAATTATACTCAGCCACCTTCTTCCACCCAATGTGGTCACAGTCAAGCACCCAAGCAAGCAGGGTGGCCAGGGCTCCAGGGTTTCAGAGCAGGCAGGCTGGCCGCCGCACTCTGCGGCCCCAGCCCCAGCCCTCGTTGTCTCTCCCGGCTGACCCAGCTGCCTGGCAGGATCCTGGTCACCCACGACAGTTTGAGAGCAGCAGGCAGCCTACCCAAGGCATAGCTGGCCAGCAGGAAGCCAGCCGATCCAGCCAGCACCTGGAAGTCCTGCTTCCTGGTCTTGTGCACGATCAGCCCGATCCTGGTGGCCTGCAACAGCAAACGCCATGTGAGAGTTGGGCCCCGCCTCCGCCTAGAGGAAGCCCAGACACGTGTGGGAGAACAAGGGCCCGGTTCCCTGAGCGATGCCCTGAAGGTGAAAGCCACAGAGAGCCCGCACCTGGGAAAGAACTCAAGCAGGAGCCAGGGGCTGACAGAGACCTGAGAGCTGCCCTGGAGCTGGCAGCCAAAGCGCTAGAGTCCAGAGACGGAGGAGCGGGGCCCCGGCCGGGAGCTGCTGCCACTCACGTCACCACCGCTGTCCTTCATGCCCACGATATTCGGGTGCTGGGAAAGTGTGACAATCGCGTCCACAGGCAGGTCCAGCCCTGTGTTGGCTGGGACGCTGTATAGTACCACAGGGATTGGGGACAGGTCTGCAACCTAGGGGCGCAGAGAAAAGAGGGAGAGGACAGCTGCCCCAGGTCCTACAAGCCAGAGGCTTGCTTGTGCTGGCCCACGGCACTGCAGGGCCACCTGGACAGCTCTACCTCCCACCTGTAAGCCACAGTGCTGCACACCCTGACTGTAAGTAAGAAAGTGGGTGATGTCTATGAGGGGTCCCCGAAGGCTCATGGGAAATGCACATTATCTTTTCATTGCACCTTTCCACAGCGGTTTTGAAGCCCCCTCTTATCAAGTGCCTTCTGTAAACCAGGCAGCTCCAAGCCCTATGCACTTATGACCTCATTTATTCCTTGCAACACCCCCGCGAGGTAGATACTGTCATCCCTTCCATATTAGAGGGGAGAAAACTGTGGCACAGAGAGGTTAGGCAAGTTGTCTCACGGCACACAGCGATACAATTGGCATGCCACCATTTCCTGAGCTGCATTGCCAGGAAGTAGGCTCACCACCCCCCCCTCCCAACTTTTCTCACTCCTCTCCTGGGGCAGAACTGCTGCCTCATCCACCTCCTCTTGGTCCCTGGCCTCTGCCCCATGCCCAGCCTCACACCCACCTTGGTGTAGTGATGGATGAGGGCAGCACTGTCCATGCGGCCACGATAGTAGCAGGGGGTCACCACCAGGGCGGCGTCAGCCCCGACCTGCGCCATGCTGACTGTCATCTCCACTGTGGCTTGAGTGGCTGCAGGAGGAAGGAGGGTGGTGAGGGCAGAGGAACGAGACCTGTGCCAGGGACACTGGGGTGAGCAACGGGGTCTAGGCATGTCCAGAAGGGGCAGAACAAGTAGGTGGAACCCAACCACAGGCTGGGAGCGTGGAGCTCCACAGCCCCACAGCCCACCCCCAGGACCCAGGGCATCCTGGCCTCACACTCGCAGCCGGAGCCAGCTAGCAGGAGCTTGTCCTTGGGAATAACCTGGCGCACACGGCTGACCACCTCCAGGCGCTCGCTGCTGGTCAGGAAGGGGAACTCGCCGGTGGAGCCCTGGACCACGAAGCCTGCAACAGAGCACCCATCACAGCGACTGACACCGTCTTATCCCCTTACAAACCACCAGGACACTGGCGTTCAACAACCCCCCCGCCAAGTGCCTACCTCCCCAACACCCGTTTCTCAACACATTTTCTTCCCTGATGCCAGCATGTGCAATGCTAGTGTTCATATCATTTGTCTTTTTTTAAAAAAATTATTTTATTTCTTTGAGAAGCAGAGTTAGAGAGAGGGAGAGATAGAGAGAGAATCTTCACCTGCTGGTTCACTCCTCAAATGGCTGCAATGGCTGGGGCTGGGCCAGGCTGAAGCCAGGAGCCAGGAAGCTTCTTCCAGGTCTCCCACATGTGTGGCAGGAGCCCAGGCACTTGGGTCATCTTCCACTGCTTTCCCAAGCCATTAGCAGAGAGCTGGTTTGCAAGTGAAGTAACCAGGTCTCGAACTAGTGCCCATATGGGATGCCAGTGTTACAGGCAATGGCTTTACTAGCTATGCCCCAACAATGGCCCCTTTTCTTTGCCTTAATGAAGTGCTTCAGCCACACCAAAAAGAATAGACAATAATATGTCACAAGTGTGTTCCCAGCACCCATGGGAACCCTCCCTGATCACCTTCCTTTCTTAGCTCTCTGTCAGACTCAGGTATTTATTGTTTCCATTTGTGTCTTTATGTACTTCAGACAGACATATGGACACATGAACAAGACATGCAGGTCTTCAAAAAGTTCATGGAGAGGCCGGCATTGTGGCATAGCCAGTAAAGCTGCTACCTGCAACACCAGAATCCCATTTGGACACTGGTCTAAGTTCCAGCTGTTGGCCGGTGCCGCAGCTCACTAGGCTAATCCTCCGCCTGCAGTGCCAGCATCCTGAGTTCTAGTCTGGGCTGGGGCGCCGGATTCTGTCCCGGTTGCTCCTCTTCCAGTCCAGCTCTCTGTTGTGGCCCGGGAAGGCAGTGGAGGATGGCCCAAGTCCTTGGGCCCTGCACCCGCATGGAAGACCAGGAGGAAGCACCTGGCTCCTGGCTTCAGATCAGCATAGCACGCCAGCTGCAACACACTGACCGTAGCAGCCACTTGAGGGGTGAACCAACGGAAAAAGGAAGACCTTTCTCTCTCTCTCTCACTGTCTAACTCTGCCTGTCAAAAAAGAAAAAAAGTTCCAGCTGCTCCACTTCCAATCCAACACCCTGCTAATGTACCTGTGAAAGCAGTGGAGGATGGCCCAAGTCCTTGGGCCCCTGCACCCACGTGGGAGACCTAGAAGAAGCTTCAGCTTTAGCCTGGTCCAGCCCTGGCCATTGAGGCCCTCTGGGGAGTGACCCAGCAGATGGAAGAATCCTCTCTCTCCCTAATTCTGCCTTTCAAATAAATAAATCTTTTCTTAAAAAAGTTTTGGCCGGCGCCATGGCTCACTAGGCTAATCCTCCGCCTGCGGCGCCAGCACCCTGGGTTCTAGTCCCGGTTGCTCCTCTTCCAGGCCAGCTCTCTGTTGTGGCCCGGGAAGGCAGTGGAGGATGGCCCAAGTCCTTGGGCCCTGCACCTGCATGGGAGACCGGGAAAGGCACCTAGCCCCTGGCTTCAGATCAGCTGTAGCAGCCATTTTGGGGGTGAACCAACGGAAAAAGGGAGACCTTTCTCTCTGTCTCTCTCTCACTGTCCACTCTGCCTGTCAAAAAAACAAAAACAAAAAAGTTCATGGAAAATGTGTGTTGTGAAGAATTATGTGGCTCTGGCATTGTGGTGCAGTGGTTTAAGCTACTGCTTGTGACACCAGCCTCCCATATCAGAGCACCAGTTCTAGTCCTGGCTGTTCCACTTCTCATCCAGCTTCTTGCTAATGTGCCTGGGAAGGTGGCAGATGATGGCCCATGTGCTTAGGCCCCTGCCAACCAATGTGGCAGATGGAGTTCCTGGCTCCTAACTTCAGCCTGAGCAGGACCTGGCTGTTGCCACCATTTGGGGAGAAAACAAACAGATGGAAGATCTTTCTCTGTTTCTTCCTCTCTCTGTAGCTCTGCCTTTCAAATAATTTATCTTTTAAAAATATATATATGGATGAATTATGCAGGAATTTCAATATTTTTGGCACCAAATAAACTCATCTTCTAATCATCATCTTCCACACACTTTTGGGAATTCTCATCATGATTTTTGCAGTTCTCAACCTTATAGAAATGGAATCCATCTTCTATAACCTTCTGCACTTTGTTGGTTTTGTTTAACATTATGTTTTTTCTTTAATTTTTATTTTTTGACAGGCAGAGTGGACAGTGAGAGAGAGAGACAGAGAGAGAAAGGTCTTCCTTTTTCCGTTGGTTCACCCTCCAGTGGCCGCCGCGGCCGGCGTGCTGCGGCCAGCGCACCGCGCTGATGCGATGGCAGGAGCCAGGTGCTTCTCCTGGTCTCCCATGGGGTGCAGGGCCCAAGCACTTGGGCCATCCTCCACTGCACTCCCTGGCCACAGCAGAGGGCTGGCCTGGAAGAGGGGCAACCGGGACAGAATCTGGCGCCCCAACCGGGACTAGAACCCGGTGTGCCGGCGCCGCAAGGCGGAGGATTAGCCTAGTGAGCCGCGGCGCCGGCCTAACATTATGTTTTGAGCTTTGGCTGTAGCACCATACTTAACTATGATCCATTCATTATAATTGCTACTTAGCATTTGATTGTCTGGTTAAGCCACAATTTATTTTTCATCTGTTTGCTGAGGACATGTAAAATGTTCCCTCTTTTTGCTCCTGCAAAAGATGCTACAGCAAGCATTTTTTTTTTTTTTAAGATTTATTTATTATTTGAAAGGCAGAGTTACGGACAGAGGGCAGAGACACAGAGAAACCTTCCATCTGCTGGTTCACTCCCCGGATGGCCACAATGGCCTGGACTGGGCCAGGCCAAAGCCAAGAGCCTGGAACTCCATCTGGGTCTCTCACACGGCTGGCAGAGCTCCAAGTACTCAGGCTGTTTTCCACTACCTTCCCTGGCACATCAGCAGGCAGCTGGACCAGAAGTGAAGCAGCCAGGACCTGAGCCAGTATCCATACTGGATGCCGGCATTGCAGGCGGCGGCTTGATCTGCTGCTGTACCACACGCAGGGACGCACAAGAAAAAAAAAATCTTGGGTATGAGTACACAGTCTAAGAGTTCCTCTGGAGTTCAGATACTTGGGTGTGTAATTGCTGAGTCATGTCCACATGCAGCATCACGGGTGCCACATTAATGACTCAGCGTCTACCTCTTCAGCAGCATGGAAGAGCCTGCTGGTGTCCGTCTGTGCCAACTCTTGGTGCCATCAGAACTAATTTTTAACCAATGTCCTGCGTGCAAAGTGATATCTCATTGTTTTATTCTGCATTTTCTATTTGTGAGGCTTCTCTTGCCCAGGCAAGTTAGCACAAACTGTGACAGAACTGGTGCTCATCAGCTGAACATAGGGAACGTCGGTAGACTCCATTTTCCTCTCGGTTTCTTTTTCCCCTTAGGTGTTTTTCATTTAATCTCCCCTTTCCTCTTCTTTTTCCTTCTCTTGTCCACCTCACTGTACTTTTAAGACAACTGAAGTAGTCTGCAGATACAGCACACAATGCAACAGGACTGTGCGTGAACAGAAAGTGATTTGGGGGAACATGAAGCAGGAGCAGTGCTGGCCACGCAGCTGGAGGAGACGGACTGCGTATTTGACTTGGAGTTTCCCGACAGTCACAGCCAGAAGGGAAACATGGTCAGCTAGCAGATATGCAGAACCCAGAAGATAAAAGCAAAGCAGCTGCGCTGGAAAATGCAGAGTTTCCTGGCACCGGCACCAAGAGATATTGTTCCTATGAGTCACCCGTATGGGGACGCGGCGTGATGCAGACTCAACTTCTCACTGCAAAGCCTGCTCCACGCTGTCTACAACATCCTTACCATCCCCTGAGCCAGCGGCCAAAGTATTTCTCGCTTCACTTGCTTTTCTTTTTCTTCTCAGTTTTCATCTTGGTAACATTACAGGGAACAGGGGCAAATAGCTTTTGGCTTCTGTTTGATTGCCCTTGGAAGTTTCCTTACTCGGCACCAAGCTGGGAGCCTCCCTGGGTCTTGCTGCCTGATGGTTCCCGTGCTTTCCTGGGATTCAGACCCCCTTGCAAAGCTGCCTGGCCCGGCTGGCGTTGGACCAGCGCATCTGACTAAAGATTCAAAGATCAAGCTCTCGCGGCTTCCTCCATTCAAGTGCCAAAGACATTGTCCTCCCCACCCCTGCCTGCCACCCTGGCCACTGACCCAGCCACGGTCACTCACTCCCCAAGTCACCTTTCCTCCTGGCAGTCAGTTCCAGAGGCCCCTGGGGCCCCACGGGCGGTTCTGGCCTCAACAGCACGACAGCAGGGCCTAGTACTCTGGGAGGCAGCCACAGATCCCATGCCCCCGGCTTCCCTGGCACCACCCTCTCTCGTCTCTTTAAGGAGGACATCGACCCAACCCTGCCTCGCGAGAAGGAAGCAATGCCAGGCCAGGGAAGCGTGGGTGTGGTATAGATCGGAGACACTAGAGTCAAGAGTCGTCCCTGGCTATTAGGCAAGTCACAGTGCATCTCCGGGTCTCCATTTCCTTCTGTAGTGGAACGACAGACAGATCATTTCAAGCCTACCTTCTAGGGCTGTTTTAAAGGCTCAGAAAACACACCAGGAAGTGCTCCGGGATCTGTGAACTAGTGCCACAAAGGGACCCCTCTGTCACCCTGGCTCAGTGCCTGGTTCCAGGCTTGTTGTGCCCCTGCTCAGTGGGAGAGGAGGCCACAGGACAGGGAAAGGCCAGGGTCCCCATGGGTCAGAGGAAAGTGAGGCGGCAGACAGGCAGTGGGGCAGTGCAGCAGCGTGAGCACAGCATCACTCTGAAGTCAGGACGCCCACTCCCACCGGCTGCGGGACCTCGGCTTCTTAACTGAAACATGGGCTACTACAAAGAGTTGCTCTGTCATTTAAATGAGACGCTATTGGTAAAGTCCTCAGAAGTTGGTGCTCAGTCGGCATCAGCAAGAATTCTTCTGGAGTCAGGAGAGGGTGTGCAAGCCTAAAACCAAGGTGGGTGGTGGAGGGGAGGGCCCTGTAGTTGGAAGACAAGAGGCTCACTCTCCCCTGCCTCAGTGGTTACACCAGCTGCTCTGGGGAGCTGGATGGCCTGGGAAGGGGAATGGATGTTTGGAGACAGGGACATACAAGCAACATTATGACTCACTGCAGCCAAAAGGAATCAAGTCTCTCACAAAAGGAGTATCCCCTGCCACTCTCTGTCCTCTTGGTCCATCAACAATTGTCACCTCCTCCAAGGAGTCTTCCAGGACCCTCCCCAGGACCTCTCTCCTCTGAACACCCCCATTAGCTATTCCTTGTACTTCCCTGTTACCAACTCACAAATCAGAGGTCCTCAGAACCCTTCAATCGCCCCCCTCACCTGTGGGATATGGTCTTTCATATAAAGTAAGAAACCGGACTGGAGGAGGGTCTTGAAAGTCCTCCCTGGCTCTAAGCTTCAGAGTTACTTTTCTGGCTGTTTCTCCTGGCCCAGGGCTGCCTCCATGCTGCTGCCTGTCGGGGTTCCCCCAGCCACTTTCCTGCCCCTGCGCCTTTGCTCAGGCTGTTCCCTTCTGCCTCCCGAGTGGTTGCTTCTCAGACGCCTGGGAGCCCACCAGGCTTTCTTCACTTCCTCTTCCCTTTGGGCTCCACAGTTGGTTCTGCTCTCCTCGGCTTGTTTTAGTCCCTCCTCTGGCCTCCATTCCTCCACCCATTGAGGTGGGGGTCACAGCTTGCTGTGCAAAAGGACGGCCCCCAGGCTGCTCTGAGACAGAACTCTTTCGCAGGATGTGATTCAAACCTCCCCCTGGGAAGAAATGAGCATTTCCTGTTCCATAGTTTCCTACGGAACTTCAGTGGGACTTAGCCTTGATCTGGGAAGCCAGCACTCTCATAGCTGAGTCTCTTAGGAGTCTGGCAGGTATCAGCTGCCCTTCTTTGTATGAGGCTAACACTGAGTTACCCACGTCCTCTCTCTTTTTCTTCAAAGATTAATTTATTTATTTGAAAGGCGGAGTTAGAGAGACAGAGAGATCTTCTATCCCCCCCTCCCCCTCTCTATAACCCTGCCTTTCAAATAAATTTTTTTAAAAAATCATTAAAAGAAGAAAAAAGAGAGATCTTCCCCATTTGGTTCACCCCCAAATGCCTTCAGCAGCCAGGACTGGGCCATGGCAAAGTCAGGAGCCTAGAACTCCATCCAGGTCTCCCAAGTGGTGACAAGGACCCAACTCCTTAGCCATCACCTTCTGCCAGAGTGCACATTGGCAGGAAGCTAGAATCTGGAGAGATCCAGGACTCAAATCCAGGAAATGGAATGTGGGCATCCTTTTTTTTCAAAGATTTTAAAATTTATATGAAAGTCAGTGTTACAGAGAGAGAGAGAGATCTTCTGTTCACTGGTTCACTGGCTTACTCCCCAGATGGCTGCAATGGCCAGGGCTGGGCCAGGCCATTAGCAGGGAGCTGGATCAGAAGTAGAGAAGCCTGGCCTTGAGCTGGCACTCACATGAGATGCTGTGTCACAGGTAGCAGCTTTACCAGCTATGCCACAGCGCCACACCAAGTGCTGCTGCTGAAAACTTTTTCTTAATTTACAGGACTGAGAATTTGCACATTCCCTTACCCGACCTCCATGAATAACATCTTATCTACCTGTGGTACAGTGATCAGAGCCAGAGAATTAACATTGGTACAATACCACTAATTATAAACTTTTAATTTTTCCAGTTTGAAATACTATTTATTTACTTATTTGAGAAACACAAAGAGACAGACAGACAGGGAGAGTGCCTATCTTCTAGTTCATTCCTCAAATGCTCAGGGGCCAAGCCAGGAATGCAATCTCCTAATGGTTGACAAGAACCCAATTCATTAAGCTGTCACCACTGCCCCCCAGGGTCTGCATTAGCAGAAATGCTGGAGTCAGGAACCAGAGCCAGGAATCAAATCCAGGTACTCTGATGTGAGAGGCCAATACTTAACTGCTAGTCTACTGCCTGAAGCATTTGTCAAAGTTAAGATTCCAAAGTCATAATTAGCTAATTAGAATTTAAGGTCTTCCAGATCTGAGTATATATTTTATTACTCACTTTCAGAACCAAACCTCACCACTTTTTCACTTTTTTTTCTAATTTAGCAACCTCTAACATTTCCCAGTTTGATTGACACCATTTTTTCCAATTAAACTATTTATGGGGGTGGTATTTGGCACAGTAGTTAAGATGCCTGCATCAAGTATCAGAGTGCCAGTTCCCTCCCTATTCCACTTCTGATCCAACTTCCTGCTAATGAAACCTGGGAGGCAGCAAGTGATATCTCAAGTAATTGGGTCCCTGTCACCCACATGGAAGACCTGAATTGTATTCCAGGCTCCTGGCTTCAGCGTGGCCCAGCCCTGGTTGTTGTAGCCATTTGAGGGAGGAGTGAACGAGCAAATGGAAGAGCTCTCTCTCTCTCTCTAAAATATTTTAAAATTTGTATGAACTATTTTAAATACAATGTTTATTTATAACATATGTAAACATGTATTTTTGCTTATAGTCACTTATTAGTAATGGCCAAAAAATGCAAATACTCCTTCCTGGTTTTGATAAAACTAATTACAACATTTAGGGGGCTTGTTGATTTATCCATCCTATGCAGCGATTCTGAGCCCCTGGAGTTTAAGGCCCACAGGTTGATAACCACCAGTAACTCCATAAGAGATCCAAACAGTAAGAAGTTTTTTTAACTGCCTGACTCAGGGTGGGGGCCGGGGGGTGGCACCCCTTGCCCCAGAAATAGCTTCTTGGGACCCAAGAAGAGGAGGCAGGGAGAGTGCCAGGCCTGCAGGAGAGCAGAGAACGTGTCAGGACACGTGGGACGAGGTCAGGGCACGCATGAGAGAGGGAGAACCATCTGGGGATGGTGGGAAGAGGACTGGCAGGCAGCACAGGGAAGGGACAGGGTATGGATGTCGGAGTCAGGCAGAGCCGGGCTCTAATCCCAGCCACGTCCCAGGCAAGTTATGCCTCTGAATCCCAGATGCCTGAGATAATGGAATCCCTTCCTCTGGGCCCGTGACCTAACACAGGGTGCGGCACGTACCAACACACACACACGCTCCACAGAGAAGAGGCTGCAGCAGCCACAGTCCCGGCCCCGGCTACGGTAGCACAAACAAGGAGGGATCACTCATTATCCCAGTTGAGTAGCCACAGATGTGGGTGGTGGGGAGACGCCAGCATGGATCTCAGTGGGCCCCAGGAAGCAGGTGACAGAGCTGCAGGGAGCGGCGCCACAGACTGGAGAAGACACAAAATGAGGACAGCACCAGAAGAGGGGCCCCAAGTCCCGACCTGGTTTGGTCACTGGCTTCTGAAAGCCCTTTTCTCAGCCCGACTGCCCCAACACCAGCCACTTCCCGCTTCCCTGGCAACAGGCAGGTGGGTATTGAGGGCTCTGGAGCTATCTCATCCCCAGCCTCGGAGGCCAGGAAAGCTGTTCTATGGAGCCTGAAATCAGGGCCAGCCAAGGACCTTCTCCCTCCACCCCTGCCCAGACCGGAGGCCGCCTGCAGAGCCCTGGAGTCAGAGTGAGGGGATGCAAGGCTTTATTGGCTCAGTTCCAGGCATTTGGCATCAGCAGGGGGCTCTCAGCTGCTCCTGGCGTCTGCCTCCTCCATCTTCTCTGGGTGGGTCTTCAGGGACCTCAGAGTCCATCTGGGCTACTTTGCTTCCTTCCCATTCTCCCTCCCTCAGGGCCATCATGGAGTTGAAGGGACCACAGAGGGAGCCTGAGGAAGAAGGAACTTGGGTGGCAGCAGCTTACCCTGGGCCCCACAGGTTGTCCCATGGGAGAAAACGAGCCTGCGTGTGTGGGCCAGCCCTGCTCGGGGAAGGGGCAAGTCCATCCATGGTTAGGTGGCTTCAAAGGAGTCACAGATCTAGTGGCTGCGGTTGGGCAAACTGTGGCTCTGATGACTTGGGTGGCCAGGGTGACCCTGGTGGCTCTGGTGGCCTAAGTGGCTCTGATGGCTTGGGTGGCTGGGATGACCCTGTTGGTTCTGGTGGCCATGGAAAGTGTGTATGTGGTTGGCACCAGCTATGGTGGTTTCCCGATGGGTGAGGAAATTGCCCTTCAGCTTAATTTCCACTTCCTCCAAGGCCTTCAGCTCCTCCTGGTTGATGTCTCTGGACTCCAGGTGGCCCGAGTGCTGGTGAGCCGTGGCCCGCTGCAGCATGGAGTTAGCCAGCTGCCGCCCCTTGGTGTCGATCTCCTTGGTGCAGGAAGCCACAGCAGCCCACGTGGCCTCATCTGTGGATGGAGATTTTCCAGACTCCTTTTGGGTCTCTCTGGTCGCCGAGGCCCCGGACATCCTCTGCCTGCTGGTGAAGGCTTCCCGGTGCAGAGCTGCACCCCCACCTCCTTGTTTAGTGGTAAAAGTCTCCATGCGAACGGTGGTACTGGCCTCGCCGCTCCCACTCTCAGGCTGCGCAGCGTCGCTGATGGAGCTGGCACAGAGGTCGGGGACTAGCTTCTCTTCGGAAAGGCGACTAAAATGAGATTTGATCCAGCTCTCGTTCTTTGCTCTGTGGCATTCTGGGGACTTGTGCTTGGCCTGTGCAGACTCAAGGGCTGTCTTCTGTCTCCATTTGTGCTGTGCCCACAGCATCAGGCCTCCACCCCCAAGCAGGAGGGCCGTCCCCAGCACCACCTTGCATGATGGTTGCTGGATGAGCTCCCAGAAGGTCTCCAGGACCCACGCAGGGCAGGCAGAGCTAAGAGCACACTGGAACTGGGGGAGCCCAGGTGGTGTGGCTCATGCTTGAAAGGGGATGCTCCCAGAGGGTGTCTGGCAGGCAGGGGCCCCCACTGTGTCTTCCCTGGGATGCCCCTCCCACATCAGCAATGAACCCTATTATGAGGAAGGCAGCTGTGGGTGGGGTGGGGAGGGACCACAGCATCCCTCCCATCCAGCCTGGCCTGGGGCCTATCTTCTACTCCAATAGCTGTTCTCAACTTCAGGAAGGGCAGCTTCTTCAACTCTGAGTCCCTTATGTGTTCTGCTTGGAACCCATTCTGCAGTTCAGTCTTTATCTTCCAGTCTTTCATTTCCCCCACTCCCCATGTGGTGGCCCTCTGTGGGCACAGGCTGGCTCAGGCTGGCCATGGCAGAGGGCCCCTTTGACTGCAGGGGCATCCAGTCCTGGTCATCTGGGGCTGAGGTGTCTCCTTCTCTGGGGCTGAGGGTCCATCTCTGCTGGCAGCTTGGCCTATTCCAACCCCACTTGCAGCCTCTGGCCCCATTCAAGGGCAGAGCCCAGAAGGAAATGGGCCTAGGAAGGAGCTCATTCTGGAATCAGTGAGGTCACAATGGAGAAAGGCAAGCAGGGGGCTGAGAAGGCAGAGTGAATAGGACAGCAGACTTCACCCTGGGTCTCAGATCCCTGGGGCCATTATGGGACGGAGGCTACTACCTTTTGCCTTGGTGATACATCTGCAAATCCAGAATTTGCCCTATGTTAAATGTGCTTAATTGGATGCAGTCTCGTTCTTTTTTTTTTTCCCCAAAGATTTATTTTATTTGAAAGGCAGTATTAGAGAGAGAGAGAGAGAGAGAGAGAGAGATGGAGAGATAAAGAAATCCTCCATCAGTTGGTTCACTCCCCAAATGGCCACAACAGGAAGGGTTGGGTCAAGCCAAAGCCAGGAGATAGGAGCTTCACCTGGGTCCCCCAAGTGGGTGCAGAGGCCCAAGCACTTGGGCCATGTTCCACTCTTTCCTAGTTGCATTAGCAGGGACCAGAAGTAGAGCAGCAGGGACTTGAACCAGCAACCAAATGGGCTGCCAGCATCACAGGTGGCAGCTTAGCCTGCCATGCCCCCAAGGCTGGCCCTGCAGCTGTCATTCTTTGTTTTGTGGCAATCAGCTTTTCCTGTGCCGACTCAAGGGCCCAGGTTGTGAGCAGTGGGCCTACTGGTCAGGCTTTCCATAAAGGCTGTTCTATGGAAGCCTTTCTCAGGGTCCTAAGTAAATACCCAGGGTCTCTCGGGTAGAAGCAGGCCTGGACCACTCTCTTTTCACCCTCAAAGGCATCTAACCATTAAAAAAAAATGAAGAAATGCCATGCGAAGGCTGTATAAATTAGGATATTTAAAACATACGTTTCCTTTAACAGCAATGGTTTCAATATACACAAGAAGCCATGGTCCACTTTAGCTACCAAAAGAGTAAAGATATAAGGTTAAAGTCTGAGAGGAAACATCATCTCCCCAGTCCTGCTGGATTGGCCTATGGCTGTCACCAAACTCATCTGGAAAAAAAACAATTCAAAGTCCATCTTTGGGGTTGTTTATGGCTGTGAGTTCATGGCCAAATGGCCCTTCAGCACAGCCCTTCCCTGCAGTCTCTGATACAACTTTTACTTTAAAACAATACTCTTTATTCAAATGAGCAGTAACAAGTTGGGAATGCCGGGGGGGGGGGGGGGTGGAGTACACAGTACAGGCGACGCTTTCCAGAGGACTCTGACCTTCAAGAATGCATCGAGGGCAGGCTCACAGCTCTAGAGAACCTGTAACCTACCGCAGGAGGGCTTTGCAGTGTGGTATGTGATGGTTCCCTCCTCTCCTCTGAGTGCTGGGCCAAAGTCCATCCCAGGGGCCAGGCCCGGACAAGAGAGGCAGATTTTAGAGCTACCATGGTTCACTGCTTCCTTCCTGGACAATCTGCCTGTGTATGGGAACAGCAGCCGGACTCTCTGGCTCTGTGTTCTCTGTGCCAGTGCCCCAGGGCTGACTCCTTGGGGGAACATGTTGAGCACCGCGGCCCAGCTAACACGAGGAGGCTGGACTGGAGAGGCTGTGATTTCTCCAAGGTCACTGCATCGGGCAGAATCAGGATGCTCTCCTAGCTCCTCTGACTCCAGATGCAGGGCTTTCTCCCAGAGCCCCTGACACACGCAGCCTGCATGGGCTGCAAGGGAGACGGACGAGGAGCACGTGTGGTCCTCCTGGCGGTCTCCTGAGCATCCCGTGCCCTCTGCAGGAGTCGGCAGGGAGCAGACCTGAGGAAGAGGCCGAAGGTCTCTGGAGTTGCAGATGCAAAGTCCACCTCCCCAACACCGAAGGAGAGTGTCCTGGAACCTGAAGCAGAACCAGTTAAGGAGCTTCTGGCTTCTCTTTAAAGGAACCAGGCCTCAGCCCAAACCTGCAGGCCCCCAGTGAGCCGAGCTGCAGCAGAAACTTAGAAACTGTGTCCCTGCTCAGTGTGGCTGTCCATGGGCATTCATTGTCTCCTAGGGGAGGAAGGGTCACATCACCTCAGCACTGAGCCATGAATGGGGTCGCAGTGTGGCCAGCAGTCACTGTCCTAAAGTAGCATTGTCACAAAGCCAATCACTGTCATCTGAATAATTAGGATCACGGGAAGCAGTGTCTCCTCACATACATCACCCTACAGCTTCCGCTTTTCACCTGCATTCCCTGAGACCTCCTCCCAACCCTCACATGAGGTGGGCATTGTCACGTCCATGTGAGGCTGAGAGAGATTACCCCGTAGTAAGTGAAGAGCTGTGATTTGAAACCAGTCTGTCTACAGGTGTACCCGCTACACTGCACTGTTCAGTCAGTTACCTGTTCCCAAAGCTGGTGCCCACGCAGCACCATTTGTTGAAACGGCCTGGCCTGGCCTGGTGGCTCAGTGGGTGAAGCAAGAATGAGTGAGTGCAGTGAGGCAGAGCATGTTCATTCACGGGTTCGCTGAGTGACCTTGGGCAAGTGACCACACCACTGAGCCCCGGGCTCCCATCTGTGAGATGGTGCTACTCCAGCTCAGGGGACTGCCATGGCTGTTAGATGAGGGCAGGAGGGACATGGCTGCAATTCATGTAGAACAGCACAAATACGACCTGGTTTCTGACCTCAGAGTGGGACTACCTCCACATAAAGGGGAAGATAAATCAGAGAAGCTGGAACATGGAGAACTAGTCCTGCCAAGAGAGGCTGTGCCCAGAAGAGAGAGTGCAAACGGGCTCCAAGGGAGCTGACGCCGCAGGCTGTAGGCCCTCACACCTGCCAAGAGGGCCTGGCTGGAGAGGACTTTCATACCCATCATCCAGTTTGAGCCCCACACTAATTCTGAGAACTAAGAAGACACCTTACAGCTGTAACCTGTACCTGGTTGCTGCGGCAGGTTTCTGACTTAAATAAATCTTACTTTGCTCAAAAAAAAAAAAAAAAAAAAAAAGGAAAAGGAAAAGAAAAAAGACACTACAGGTGGCAACTGGGGAAACTGAGGCAGGTAGTTTAGTTCAGGGTCACAGTCCTGACTCCAGACCAGGGCCCGCCGTGTTCTCCCGTAATAAAATGCCCTGCACCCACCTCTGAGGGGCTTAAGAGGATGATGGGTCATTCACACCCGCTGCCTGCCGCCCTGGATGGGCCGCACTTACCTCGGAACGGGAAGGTACCCAGCTTCTGCAGGTTCTCCTCCAGTTTCCTATAGTCCACCTCTGCCGTGGCAGTGAACGGCGTGGTCACAGGAGGGTAGATGCCCGCCACGTCCACCTTCCTCCCGGCCCCCGAGGCCCAGCCCCTCCCGTTCCTGGACAAGCCCCCGCGCAGCCCCTGCCTCATGCAGGACCACAGCTGAGGCCTCAGCATCTCCGCAGGAGGCCCGAGACCCAGCCGCTCTGTGCCCTCGGCTGAGGATGAGTCCGGCCTCCTTCCTACCCACTGTTAATGATCAATGCATCTGGTTAAAAATTTGCCGCCCCTCTGACTCCTGAGCAACGGGGCAGGCCTGAGCCACCGCCCCCAGGGTCAGCTGTAAGGCCTGAAGGCCCCAGGGGACAGGTGGAGAAATGCCATAACCCAGCGGCCCTCTGGCCAGATGCAGGGCTGGTTCCTGAGGTCCTGACTCCACACACAGTCTCTAGCAGGCAATTGGGCCCACAATTCCCAGCGCCACAGCCAGGAGCCTGGCTGGGCTTCCGGGTAGCCCGGCGGCTGGAGGTAGCTGATTGGCTGAGCAGGGCCCGCCCCGTGGGAGGCGGGGCGTACCCAGCCAGAAGCTGCCTCGCCGGCCTGGCAGGCTGCTCTTGCGGAGGTGGCCGTGTTGCCGGGCCTGGGCGGGTGGCACAGAGCCCCACAGAGCAGTGGTCACCAGGAGGGCGGGACCCAGGGCGAGTGCTTCGCCCAGCTCATTCATGCAGGGGCCGAGGCTGGCCCTGGGGTACTGGGAAGGGCCGGGAAGAAGCAGGAAGGAGAAGCCATAGCAGGGAAAGCAGGAATCGACGTTCCCCCTGCCCCAGGACCACCCTATTCCTTCCAGAATAGTCCGGACGAACGGAAACGCACAAGTAGCAAAAACAATGCCTTTATTATGGTAGTTTGTGGGTGCACTAAGCTTGCACTGGGTCCTCAGACAGCGCTGGGGGCTGCCTCAGAACCCTCGGGCTGGGCCGGGGCAGGCTGGGGAGTCTCTCGACCACTCTGGTCAGGCCCCTCCAGCCCGTTCTGCTCGGGTCCCGGTTCGGGGTGCTGCAGGGCGTGCCTGGTGTCAGTCTGCCACAGCTGCACCAGGTCCGCGGGGGTCTTTCCTGCCTGGGAGGGGGGGGACCAACAGAAAATCTGTTCTCTGTTGCGAAGGCTATTCCAGGAGGGGCCCTCTGCTACATCCCTGGCTCTCACTGGAGGCAGCTGGTAATGTGTCAGGACTTTTGGGTGGTCACACAGAGGGTGGGTGCTGCTGGCACCCAGCGGGGAGAGGCCAGGGATGCTGCTGGACACACAACAAAGTTATCCAGCTGCAAGTGTCCACCCACTGAGGTTGAAAACCCTCCTCTACTCCCACTCCACAGCTCCCTGATTCTCAGGGCTCCTGTCAGCCTTTCTTAAGCCAGAGTGAGCCCCCTTCCCCCCCCACACACACACCCCTGTCTTTTGTGACAGCTCTGGGTCCCCAAGAAGAGCTGGACCTATAGGGCTACCAGGAACCAACATGGTGAGCTAGGAATGGTGGGGCACTCAAGCTCTTGGGTTCCTGCCAGCTGTGTCCCTCGCAGCCTTGGCCTCGGTAGGCCTGCCCGGCGGGACTCCCTTTGGCCTCTCTGTGGGGCCTTTAGGAGGACCTCTTACTGCCCCTCTTGCTGTTTCTCTGCATGTGTACTCCAGACACAGACACACCCGGGGAGAGCTGGGAGGCTGCTGTTGGAGAGGAGGAGTTCAGTACTGTGATGATGAGCCAGAGCCAATGACACGGGCCCAGCAGACCCGCCAGTGTGCAAAGGCCCACACCGATCACAGAATCGGCGAAGCAGTGAACTCACCAGGTTCTTGGCCATCATGTCAGCCCCGTGCAGGAGCAGCAGCTTGATGATCTTGTAGCGGTTGAGCCTCACTGCATCGTGCAGGGCACTGTCCCCTTCCTAGAGCCGTGTTGACACTCAGCACGGCCCCTGGGGGCAGCAGGATGGGGCACGGGGCAACGGGAAAGGGACGGGAGACCCCACCCTGCGGGCCCCAGAGGGAAGAGAAGGACCACACCCACGAGGGGGCCAAGCAGGGGGTGTCGGCACTCACTCTGTCTCTAGCGTTGATGTCTGGACCCAGGGATAGAAAGTGCTCCACAATTTCCACCTGCCCTGTGCGGACCGCCACGTGCAGGGGTGTGCTCAGCAACTGGACGAGGGGTAAGCAGGAACTGCTGGCCGATGTTGTCCAAACTACGGAGCCCCAGGATAGGGGCTGCTCTAAACCCAGCTCCCAAGTTCTTATGCCAAAGCCTGAGCCAAGCAGGAGCAGGGACTGGTGCTGTTTCCCATCATCCAGCCCAGTCGTTGAACTCTAAAACCTTAAATGCCACCTCCTCCAGGAAGCTGTCTGTGATTCCCTTCTCACCCACCTGTGAGCAAGTCTTCACTCCTCCATCTTTCTTTTAATAATTATGATAAACACCATTTATTGAGAGATGATATCTGATGGGCATGACAAAAGCTTATAAAACATTAGCTTGGGGACTGGCATTATGGCATAGCAGGTAAAGCTGCTGCCTGAAGTGCTGGCATCCCATATGGGATGTGTTTGTGTCCTGGCTGCTCCACTTCCAATCCAGCTCCCTACTAACAGCCTGGAAAAGCAGCAGCAGATGGCCCAAGTGCTTGGGCCCCTGCCATCCACGTGGGAGACCGGATGAAGCTCCTGGCTCCTGGCTTCAGCTTGGCACAGCCCTAGCCATTGTGGTCATTTGGAGAGTGAACCACCAGATGGAAGACCTCTCCTTCCCTCCCTCCCTCCCTCTCTCACTCTCACTCTGCTTTTCAAATAAACAAATGAATCTTTAAAAAAAAACTTCAGCCTTATGTTGAATAAATAATTTGTTATATGGGTTTTCCCACCTAATCTACACTGGAACTCTGCAAGACATTTTGCAGATGAGGCTTAGAGGCTCAGAGACTAAGTCACTTGTTTAAAGCTACACGAGAAGGATGGTGGAAAAACAAATGAATGGAGAATAAACAGACGGCTGAGTGGGAGGATGGCTGGACACATACAGACAGCAGATGGTGCAGGACTGCATGGATGAACCAATCCCGCATCTTTCCAGGGTCTCAAAGCCCCCAGGAAAGTGGGGCTGCCGTCCTGGCCACGGCTCTTCCTGCCCCCATGCCCAGATGGTGGTCCCTCATGGCTGCAGCGATGACAAGGACCGTCCCTGGCTGAGAGGCCCAGCAGTTCATGGCTTTGGCTTCCCTGTCCTGCAGCCCTGCTCACCTCCTCCCTGCTCGCTGGGCTCTCCTGCTCTCTGCCCACACCTCCTCCCCATAGCCGCCCGGTGTCTGCTGCACCTGGCGGCGCTGTCTCACCTTGTCCCTCACGTTGCTGTCTGCTCCTCGGCTCTGCAGGAGCTTCACCACCTCCAGGTGGCCCCCGCGGCAGGCCCAGTGCATGGCTGTGCAGTCCAGCTAGAAGGGAAGAATGGGGCCTCACCATGAGGATGGGGGACAGCCCGAGGGGAGGTGCTGGGGATCAGCAGAGGCACTCCTGTGAGGCAGAGGAACCTGCAGGGCCCCGCCTGTCCAAGCCAGAGGCACAGCAGGCACAAGGGGGAGTTGGGGCTTGCCCCACGACCCACTAGAGGTGGGACCTGGCCCTGTGCAGCCCGTCTGTGTCCCAGGCCTGCAGGGAAATGGGTTTGTTGGTGCTGGGTCCACCTCCCGCCTTCCATTCAGTACCTGCCCTCTCACTTACCCGATCCTGGAAGTCCACAGTGGCCCCACTTTCCAGAAGCTTCTCTAGGATCTCCAGGTGGCCCTCCAGGGATGCTCTGTGCAGTGCTGTCCGGCGGAACTGTCCCCAGAGAGACTTTCAGGGCCTGGCCTCTGACCCCAGGACCGAGCCCATCTCCCATGGCCTTGCCATGGCTTGATTCTGACCCCGCGCTGGGTCCCTGCGTCCTCTGTGTTCTGTCAGCTCCTTTATGTGCTATCCAGGCCAGTCTTGGAGCCGTGTGGCCCAAGGACTCTGACCTCCACATCAAACCATGCCGTGGCACAGGCTCTTCGCTTCGCTGGACGTGCCCGTTCCGCCCACCCCATATGCTTGAGGAAAATGTGCTCTCCTTCAATTTGCAGCTCATGGGCATCATTCACTGGAAACCTCTAGGCCAGCGCTGCCCTAGGGCCTCAGGTGACCTTGAGTGCGCGAGAGAGTTCACGGGCAAGTCAAGTCCTGCCGAGTGCCTAGCACAGGGCCAGGATGAGGTCACGCTGCTCCCTGATGACCGATGATAGCCGCGAGCGAGAAATGAACTTCCGCCCTTCTTAGGGCAGCTGCTTCCTGCTTTGGACTCGAAACACGCAGGCCACAGCACATAACTCTACTGCTCTGGGGACAGCTCCCCAAGACCCTCCCCCCCCGGCCCCGCTTCCTCTCTTTCTTCTTTGTACTCCCACCTAGCATGGTACTTGGAGGCAGTGCTTGGACCGGCCAAGAGGACCAAGACCCTGGGGTGTAAGGAACAGAAAGGACACGAGCTCAAAGCCTGTAGCAATGCAAACCGAAGGTGAGGAACCACGTGTGCTTAAGACAGCACCCCATGCCGTGTGAAAGAGGCAGTTTCAGGGAGAAAAATCTAGACATTTAAAAAACAATGGCAAATATTGCACAACATCGTGAATGTAACTAATACTACCGAATTGGACATTTTAAAACGGTTAGAATGGCATATTTCCCGTTACATTTTGCCACAAGCTAATTTACAGTTTTTCCATTCATTCAGTGATACTAATCAAGGTGCTAATACTCCATTTTTAACATATTGCAAGGAAAGAAGGCCATGTCACAGCGGGGGAAGTCGAGGCACAGAGCCGTGCCCAGCCCACACGGTTGCACAGCTAGTGGGTGGGAGAGATGGGTGTTGAGTCCAGTCTCCTGGTCCTGGGCTCTTTATTTGACTCCACGCCCCTCTTCTCTAAACAGGCGAGGGCCATTTGCTGCTCTGGAGCAGGTTTGAGAAGGAGTTAGGTAAATCCCACTCTGCACACTCTGCCGCCTCACCCAAAGGACACCCGGCCTGTGCTGGAACAGGCTGGAGCAGGGTGGGGCACCGACGGCAGCCCCTCGAGGGAGGCATCACCTCATCGCAGGTGTCCGCCGAACCCCCGTCGGCCAGGAACTTCTCGATGACCTTCATCTTCCCCTCCACAGCCGCCTTCAGGAACGTCTCCGCGTCCACAGGGCCGGTCTGCCGGCACGAAGCCCATCACCGAGGGCCGCGCGGGTGACCCGTGGCCTCCCCGGCCGCACCCCGCCGCACACGCGCGGGCGCATGCACACTCGGCTGCTCCCCGGGGCCCTTACGATCTCCTCGGGCTCCGGGGGCGGCTCCTGCGAGGCGGCTAGGGCTTCCCGCTTCTTCTGCTTGCGCTTCTTTCGCAGCTCGATGAGGTTCTGGATGCCGCCCACGTCGATGATCTCCCGCCGCAGGTCCAGGGAGGTCTTGCGCACGCGCTCTTGGCCCTGCGTGGGGATGGCCCATCAACCCCCGCGTGGGGCCCAGAGACTGGGGGGCGGGGGGGGACTGTTTGGCTACGCTGGAGGTAGGGGTGGGCTGGGGAGGGAGACCTTCGAGAGAGGAAACAGAAGCCTCAGGTTGGGGCCGTCCTGCGCGTGGGGCCTGGGGCTGCAGTTCCCCGGTGCTACACATCCCTGAGCTGCTGAGCTGTGCATCCCTGGGCTGTCCCGCACTCACCTTAACCTTTTGTACAGCCCCACTCTGCGCGCCCTGGTGCTTCTCATCCTCCAGCACCAGCAAGTCCATGGGCAGCTTCCGCGTGGTGGCTCCTCGCCGTTTCTGTGACCAAACAGAGCACCAGAATCTAGCACCAGGGGAGGCAGGTGGCCCTTGCCCCGACCACCCCAAGGCCCCAGCCCCAAAAAGAGGCAGCTGTCACAGCCCCCCATCTCTGCCTCAAACCCAACCCTGGGTCCCCAGCCTACCAGGACCTGGAGTGAGTGCTTCCTGCCAGTAAGTATATTCCTTTTGCCACGCACCAAGATGATTTTTTTTTTTTTAGTATTAAAAATTCTCTTTGGGAGCCAACATTGTGGCCTAGAGGATTAAGCCACTGCTTGTAACACGGGCATCCCATATGGTCACCAGTTCGAGTCCCAGTTATTCCACTTCAGATCTAGCTCCCTGATAATGTGCCTGGGAAAGCTGTGGAAGATGGCCCAAGTGCTTGGGCCCCTGCACCCATGTAGGAGACCCGGAAGAAGCTCCTAGCTCCAGATTGGCCCAGCTCCAGCGTTGTGGTCATTTGGGGAATGAACCTGCAGATGGAAGACCTTGCGTGCTCTCTCTGTCTTTCCCCCTCTCTCAGTAACTCTGCCTTTCAAATAAATTTTTTTAAATGTCGCTTTGATGAAATAATTGTAACTGGAGAGGATAGCTTTAAAAATGGCTGTAGTTGGCAATATGAAAGTTTGGCAGCTTTGTCAGGCACAGCCTCCCCACCCCCACCCCCACCCCCACCCCCACCCCCGCCCCAATTTCACTGATCTGTGACATTTAGAGCTTGCAGACTGTGGCTCCTGGGAAGCCAAGGGGCGGGAGCAAGAGCTGCTTTCCAGAGTGAGGGGATTCAGCCTGTTCTCAGCCTGCTCGCTGCCTGCCAGGTCCCTCTCCACCTGCTGCTCTGGGTCCCTGTGGGTGAAAGGCTGGCTTCTTTCACCTTCTTGGAAGTCCTCCTGTATGGATGTGAGTCCAGGGACATCTGCTTAGGCTAGAGGGGGCCAAGCCAAGATGGTGGCCAGCAGGAATGTCCCCCACAGCTCACTCAGCTGCTCCCTGGGCTCTGGCACTAGCCTCTTCTAGCACTGGCCTGAGGGCAGATTTCCCAGGTCTTCTCCCCTGCACGCCGGCTGCACATGGCTGCGGGTCTCCCGGTGCTGGTCTCTCCTGAAACATTGTTCTTCCCGGGGTGTGAGATGACTCGAGGGGCTGGAGCTGTGGCGTAGGGGTAAAGCCCCTGCCATCAGTGCTGACATCCCATACAGGAGCCGGTTCAAGTCCCAGCTGCTCCTCTTCCCAGCCAACTCCCTGCTAATGGCCTAGGAAAGCAGCGGAAGATGGCCCAAGTTCTCAACTCACCCTAACCAAGTGCTCTCCCCACATGTGCGCTCCAGCCCCTGAGCTGGCCTTGGCGGCCCTCCCTACCCTCCCATGGCAGGGCAGGGGTGCAGACCAGCAGGGGCTTTCCTCCAAGAACTCTGCTTGGCTGGGGCCTGGTGGAAACTACTGGGGGCTGGAATGCCCACTCAGGTCTTACCAGGATCTATAAACCCTCACTGCAGATGTGTGGGCGAGCACACAGTAGGGGCTCAATAAGTATTTGTTGAATTGGATGTTAGTTCACAAAACACACTTCCACCTTACTTGGTAGACTGTGGTACATGTGCAGTGCCTGGCATGGAGCAGACACTATGGGAAGGCTGATTCTGGGGCACCCTGTGTCCTAACGGTCCCATGGCTGTATTTGCTGGATGAATGAATGGCGGGCTGTTCTGTGTCCACTGCTGAAGTGGCAGCACTCTAGAAACAACACCGCCATGCCTGGCCCATGCACACACGCCCTTGGGGGAGTGGGCGCTGGGTTTCTTGGAGATCCAGGGATGCCTCAGCAGGTGCAGCCCAGGTGCTCCCCTGACAAACCTGACCTCTTCTTCCTTTGGAGTCCTGATCCTTCCCTCTTCCTTGCCCCCTCATTCAGCCACACTTGGTTTTTGAGAACAGCGCCTACCTCTAATACTGATTTATCTCTCCCTCCCATTCCTGCCAAGGATAACCTTTCCCTCTCCAGCAAGCCCTTCTCAGGGCCATCGGAGCTGCTCTCCTAAAATAGGTCGGATGGCACTGCTATCCCTCCCTTGACAACACGGCGCAGCTCCCCACGGCCCACAGTGTGTCTCCTACAGGGTCCTCTGGCCTGGCCCCTGCCTCCCTTCTCCAGCCTGATCCCCTGCTTCCGGGCTTTCTCACACCGGCCCCCTGTTCACCCGTGAAACCTTAGCTTCTGCCCCCCTCTCCACCTAAAACTCATCCTGCCCACAGTGGTCCTGGGCCCACCGTGGGAGCGATCCACATCCTGCTTTGCCTGTGTCTTCCATCTGCTTTGTTCCTTGGTTGTCTGTGCAGCTGACAAACACTGACAAAAACGAATGCTGGGTTGGTGAAAACAAAGCACGCTCTGGCCCTCACGGGTCCTCTGGCTCGTCACAGCACCCGGCTCTTGGCAGAGCAGGCAGTTGGGCAAGTGTTGCTTTAAATCATATGGTGAGTAAGACAAGCCAACGGCCCCAGAAAATACGACCCCAAAGGCCTCCCCAAGTGCGACCGCCAGTCCTGGGGAAATCCACACTTCCTTTCCCAGCACTCCTTCCTCACTCTGTTCCCTGTCCATGTTCTTCCTGGATGACCAACCTCTGGAGGTGCCCCAGCCCCAGTCTCCCACCCGGCAGCTGGGGGATCTCAGGGCTACACATTCCTGACATTCTAGGCGGCGCCCAGCTGTCTGCCCTGCATGGCCCATCTCTGGAAGGCCAGTGCTGTGGGCAGGGTCTGGGGAGCCCAACCGGGTTCCCTTTCCCCACACTCTCAGTATTAAGGGCTCAAGCCTCAGATTCCCACCACCAGCCATCTGCCAGGACCACCTGGGGAGGGAATGGGGCCAGGTGAGCCCTTCGGGGGGACACCTGTCCTCCCACCCAGGTGTGGTAGTCAAGCTCTTCCTTCCCAACAGACCCCCAAGCCCCTGCCCGCACCTCGCTCTCCTCCTCCTGCGCCAGCCGCTGCTCGATGAGCGCCGTGGCTCTCTGCACAGCCTCGGAGCCCTCCATGGTGCCGTCCATGACTGCCACTCCCGGCCACGCGGCCTTGGGGGCTTTATAGGCCCGAGCCCCTTCACCCCGCCCAGCTGGGAGCTTTTGCCATGAGCTCACTGGCCCGATTCTCCACCTGCCTCCCCCACCTGTCACCTTCACCTCGGGCAGCCCCAGGGAGCAGGGGTGGGTAGGCCAGAGCCAGGGAATAGGAACAGTGGCCCCTCCCCAACCCCTGGCCTATTGGAGCTGGAGGGCACAGCGCCCGCAGATCAGGGCTGCAGGAAAGAGACTGTCCAGCTTGTGTCCTGAGTGCTTGGGCCTGGTTGGACCTCCGCCCTGGCAGCCGGGCTGCACAAGGGACCCGCCAGATGCATCCCCTAACCTGGACGGCACCGCCACCTGCTGGATGCCTGGAAACCCTGCCCAGCCAGTGCAAGGAAAACCAAACACAGGGAACCTGGACAGGCCCTGCTGGCTCTGGGGAGGGGGCAGATTCTGCCTCGTCCAGGCTGGAGAACCAGGGTACTGGTGGGATTATGGGCAGCCGCTTTCCTCTAATCCAGGCTCCTGTGGCCCTTGCCTCCCTGCGCCCCACAGCGCCCCCTGGTGAAGCAACAGGGCGTTTTGTCACGGTTGTCAGGCATATGAACTCCCTCAGCGCCTCAGCTTCTGCAGGTGGCCTGGCACGACTCGCAGGGTCTTCCGAGAAAGCCCGGGTTCAGTGCCAAGCCCAGCTGATGAGGGGCCCCAGCTGCTCCTGATCATCCTCCCTCCCCGGGTTTCCCTTTCAGGCCGAGGCAGTGCCAGACTACCATGAGAGGGGCTGGCATGCCCACAGAGAAAGACACTCCCACACGGAGGAAAAGCAGACCTGGACTTGCTCAGTACCACACCTGGAACCTGGAGGCTCGAGCCAGGTTGACCCAGGCTGATCCTGCCCGGCAACAGCGGCTGCCCTCGCTGACACTCACCTGGCTGTCCTGAGTTGGGCAACCTTCCCCGGGACTCCTGTCCCCGCCCAAGCGCACACCCACCCCTAAGGAAGCACAGGGAGCACTTCCTTTGCCCCCCTCCCCCCACCACCGGGTCCCTTGTCGGTGAGTGGAGAGAAGCCTGACACATGGTTACAGTCCCAGTTTGTCGGGGTTTTGCTTTAGCAGCACAGGGGTGTGCCTCCAGGGTTCCCGCAGGCCGCCGTCAGGATGGCCTGGCCTGCAGAATGCAGCTGGAAGCCAGGCTCCTCCTGCTGCAGCAGCAGAGCGCAGCGCCTGGTGCACCTTCCTGGCACGCCACCTCCACCTGCAGAGCACTTTGCCATCGCCTTCCCACTTAGCCCTCCTGGCAACTGACGGAGGCTGCCAGGCAGGTGGTATCACCTCCACTTTAAAGAGAAGTCTGGGGCTTCTGAGGCTAGGTAGCTGTTCCCAAGGGTCCGTGACAACAGGACAGGAGCTGGCCTCAGGGCCCAGAAGGCGAGCATTTCAAGGCTTACACTGTTGTACACTCTGCTGTGCCCAGAGCACCTGGGAGGCTGTGCCCACCCTTTCCCACCCAAAACAGAGCTGCAGGAGGCTTCCAGAGGTCACACATCAGGCGCAAGGGAAGGAGCAAAAGGCTTTATTGATAAATATGCAGATATGTCTGTGACAGGACCTGCCGTGGGGGCCACGAGCAGGCTGCAGATTCCCCCACCGCTTGGGTTACAGCGAGGAGACAGCCCTGTGTAGACCCTGCCGCGAAGCCCAGCCACCCGCCTCACCTCTGCCAATTGTGCTGGGGCAGGGAGAGGCAGAGGCCCGCCTCAGGCTCCCCGAGCCCTGGGGATCCCCGGTGGTTCCCTCCCCTCCAGGGGACTGGCACCATGTCCGGGGCAGAGGAGGGAGACAGCAGCTGCGTCAGACCCTGAGCAGAAAACTGGAGTGAGCACGGCTGGCGGCAGCAGATGACGGCTCTGGGCTCCGAGGCCTCCAGGCTGCCCTGGTGGCTCATGCCTGCTGCGGGAGACAGGCGGGGTGGCAGGCCCCGCGTGGCCTTCTTTCTGACAAGGTTGGCAAGGCCCGTGTGCGGCAGTCCTGCTCCCTGGGCGCCAGGCACTGATGGCCCACAGCGCCCCTGGGAGGCAGGGTCCCTTCTCGCTCACCCAGCAGCCCTACAGCAGGGAGGCACCCTCAGGAAAAATCACAGCACTCAAAGGCAGCAGCAGGGTCGGGGCTTAGTGCTCCGGGCCGGAGCCTCTCCTCCCAGGAGTCCGTGCACCCGTCAGTCCTGGGGTGGCGGGGGCTGGTTGATGATGACCTGGATGACAAAATCTTTCTGGATCTTGGTTTCCTGGAGCCGTGTGCGGTCTGTGAGCAGCTTCCCGGAGAAGAACCATCGCTGCCAGGAGGGCTCGATGCCCTCCTGGCTGTGCAGCTGCCTCTTCAGCTGCCCCACTGTGTCAGGCAGGCTGGCGCTGAGCCTCACGTCCTTGCCCGTGGAGAGGCGCACTTTCAGTGGGAACTCGCGACGCACGCTGGGGGTGGGCTCCGGGGGCTCCGGGCTCTCCTCCTCCATGCGCTCCAGCAGCAGGTTCACGGGCGGCGACAGGCAGTAGATGGGCAGCTGGTAGCGGTTGCCCAGCTCGTCGTAGCATTCACAGAGGGTGCCTGCGGGAAAGGCAGGGCGGTCAGAGTGGGCTCGGGGACCTGCTGTCAAATGTCCCTGTCTCCCCATCTCACATGCTGAGCCTCTAACCCCCAATCTGGAGATGGGACCCATGCAGAGCTCATTAAGGTTAAATGAAGTCACAAGGGTAGGGCTATGCGTGCATAGGATGGCAGCCTTGTAAGAAGAGACACCAGAGAGCTCGCTGTCCCCACTGTGTGAGGACAGAGCAAGAAGGCTGCCATCTGCAAGCCCGAAGTGGGCGCCTTGATCTTGGATTTCCTGGCTTCTCCAGCTGACAAACCTACCTCTGCTGCTGATGGCGCCCAGCCTGTGGTGTCTGTTACGGCAGCCTCAGCAGACCTGGACACCCACCATGCGGCCCCCAGGCTCCAAGCTCACCCTACAGCCTTGTGACCAGAGGAACACAGGGCTGGTGTCAGGGAGACCTGAGCTGGCATCCTGGCTCCAGCAGGTACTAGCTCGTTCCTAACTTTTTCTTTTTAAGATTTTTTTAGATTTGAAAGTCGGAGTTATGGGGGGGAGGTGGCGGGGAGAGAGAAAGAGATCTTCCATCCTCTGATTACTCCCCGAGATGGCTGCAATGGCTGGAGCTGAGCCAGGCCAAAGCCAGAACCCAGGATCTTCCTCTGGGTCTCCCATGTGAATACAGGGACCCAAGCACTTGGACCATCTTCCACTGCTTTTTCCAGGTGTATTAGCAGGGAGTCGGCTTGGAAGTGGAACAGCTGAGACTTGAACCAGTGCCCATAAGGGATGCTGGCATCACAGGCAGCAGCCTTACCTGCTACATCACAATGCCAGCCCCCTTAATCCTTAACTTTTCATTGGTTCATTCAACACATCTTTCCTGAGCACATGCCCTGGACACTGGAGCTAGAAGTCAGGGCCCTTACTGTACTATGCAGTGCATGCGGAAGTGTTGTCTGTGCCTGGAGCATGTCCTAAGTGCTGCACTGGACAAGGTAACACTGCACATCTTGTCAAACCACCTCCTCTTCTCAACAAGATTTTCAGGCTCTAAATTCACAAAGCTCCTTACTCAAGGTCACACCGCTGAGAAATGGAAACACTCAAGTTTAGATCCAGGACTGTGGCGTGGGTGCTGAGGCACAGAGGGTTAAGGTGATGGCCTAGGAGGTCCACATCCTGTAACAGCACGCCTGGGATCAAGTCTCAGCTACTCAGCTTCTGATCCAGCTTCCTGCTGATGTGCCTTGGGAGGCAGCAGATTATGCCCCAAATTCTTGGGAAACCTAGATGGAGTTCCTGCTCCTGGTTTCATCCTGGCCTTGGCCCTACTTTGTGGACATCTGGGGAGTGAACCAGCAGGGGGAAAAGTGGAAGATCTCTCCCTTTCTCTCTCTCTGCCCTCCATCTTTCAAATAAAATAAAGGAATCTTAAAACAAAAAGACCCATATCCATGACTCTAGAGCTCCACATGGTCACAGCTGATTTACCTGGCTCCGTAAGGCTGCTAAGAACTTAAATGAGATAACTCAGTGGGAGTTTCTAGGTCAGCGCCCAGCACATAGTAACCCAAGAGGAGGTCAGTGTCTTAGATGCTCTGGGAGCCCAAAGGGCCCCAAGCAGGTCTTCAGCTTGCAGGCACCACACCACTTCACAGCCTTGCTAGTGCCAGCCTGTTCCCTCATTAGGCAAGCAGGGCCCAAGTCTACTTGTCCTCTGTGCCCTCACTCCTGGTCTATGCTCAGAAAGGATTGTCTGAACGGACAGTGAATAGCCACCCACTAGCCCCAAACTCCAACTCAGACAGAAACTCCTGGCACGTGGCTGGCCACCAGCTCTCCTCCACCCCTAAGCCATGCTGATCACCCCCAGCACCAGGGACATGCAGGCACTGGCCCCGACCACGCACCGTGAGGCAGGGTGATGCTGGCTCCATCCAGGATGGCCTGTGCCAGCTCGTGGTCGTTGGCTTCAGCAGCGTAGGCGGCGGCCTTGAGGGCGTCCCAGATCTCCTTGCGGCCCTCGAAGGCGGGGGCTGTGTCCCAGAACTCATCTCGCTTGCTCCGCAGCTGCCCGTCGGTCATGGGGTAGTCGCTCTTCCATTTGAGTCGCTCCTTCTTCAGGGGCTCATTGCGGCCTGGGTGGGACAGAGAGGGCAGTTGAGTATCTCCAAGGCCAGATTAGAGCAGCGGCTTGCCCTCTCCCAGCCCCTTACCTCCCTGGGCTGGGCCCTGGCCTGCCTGGCACTCTGCTGTGCTGACCCCTAAATATTTAGGTCTCTGGGGTCCCTTTCCAGTAACAGGGAAGTACGTAGCATCCCATCTTAATAGTATTTCAAATTATATTGCCAGCAAAGCATACCTGAGTACTTCTTGACTTACAATGAGGTTATGTCCTGAGAATACACTATCAGTTATAAGCTGGAAATACATTTATACACTTCGCCTACAGAACATTCTAGCTCAACAACACAGCACATGGTAGCAGAGTGGCAGCTGTCACCCTCCTCGGCTGACTTGGGACTGCGGGTGCTGCCGCCTGGTGTGATGAGAGAGGACTGCAGCACCCGCGGCCAGCCCTGGGAACGGGACACATTCTGATGCGAAGCTCAGCTTCCCCTGAAGGAGTACCTGCCAGAGAAGTTGAAAAACCACAGATCAAATCATCAGAAGCGGGGACCGCCTGGACTGCCTTTGTTGCTGAAGTTTTAATTTTACTTTTGATTGCAAAGCAGCATGGGTGCAGTATAAAAATCCTGGGAAGGATGTGGATGCATAAAAATTAACTGCCTCCATGTAGGGAGCCGGCTTGTGCCAGGTCACAGGGGAGGCACCTGGGGCTCGTTGTTCACCTGCTCCCCAGCACAACCCAGCAGCCAGGAAACCGGGGCGCAGAGCCCATCATTTGTCCAAATCCATGCGGCACCGGCTTCACGGAGGTGCGAGCACTCTGACCACAAGCTCCACTCGGACCGCAGTTTGTCGCCATACTGCCCGTGGGGAAAGTGTGACTCAGAGCCCATCCCTCAGAAGGGACCCCCATCACCCCATGATCCATGTCCCATCAGCTTCTCTGTCCCTGTTTTCCTCAGGAGGGTCGGGTTCCCATCATTAAATGTATTTCTTGACATTCCTGGCTCCAGAGAGGATGGAAGATATCTTCACGCTGACATGCAACTTTCTGCTTAAGTCACACTTACTCGAGGGTATTTCCAAAAGTGCATGGAAAATGGAATTACAAGATGTTTATCTTGCTGTACACAATTTTGAAATTCATCCATACTAGTTAATGACAGGCTGGTGCTGTGATGCAGTGGGTAAAGCCGCAGCCGCCTGTGACACCAGCATCCCATATGGGTGACAGTTCAAGTCCTAGTTGCTCCACTTCTGATCCAGCTCTCTGCTATGGCCTGGGAAAAGCAGTGGAGAATGGCCCAAGTTCTTGGGCCCCTGCATCCACGTGGGAGACCTGGAGGAAGGTCCTGGCTCCTGGCTTCGGATTGGCCCAGCTCCAGCCATTGAGGCCATTTGGGGAGTGAACCAGCAGATGGAAGACCCTCTCTGTATGTCTCTCCCTCTCTCTCTGTAACTCTGCCTTTCAAATAAATAAATCTATTTTTTTTTTTAAGTTAATGAAAGGGGCTGGCACTGCAGTGCAGCAGGTTAAAGCCCTGGCCTGAAGCACCAGCATCCCATATGGGCACCGGTTCAAGACCTGGCTGTTCCTCTTCTGATCCAGCTCTCTGCTATGGCCTGGGAAAGCAGCAGCAGCTTGGGCCCCTGCATGCGCATGGGAGACCTTGAGGAATCTCCTGGCTTCTGGTTTCAGAATGGCACAGCTCCGGCCATTGCAGCCCATTGGGGAGTGAACCAGCGGATGGAAGACCTCTCTCTCTCTCTGCCTCTCGTTCTCTGTCTATGTAACTCTGACTTTCAAATAAATAAATAAATAAATCCTTTAAAAAAAGTTAATGAAAAACATGTATTATGAAGAAGTAATGCAGAGCTCAAAACTGCCCAAACTACTTATCATTTAATTCCATTTTTTATGAATTTTTTCAAGTAACCTTTGTATTACTGTCAACTTCCTATATGATTAAATATGATAAGCAATTGTAACGTCTACTAGTGTTATACCGTATGTATATTTTTAGACATCATGACCAACCAAACAACTCTGCGACATCTGAAGAAGAAAAACATTTCTGTGTACTGTCATCTTCCTTGTCATCCAGCTCCAAGTGACATGCAAGACAACTCCAGACCGTGGTCATGAACAGAGGCCAGAAGCATCTCCAGTGATTCAGGGAGCGAGGCCACTCTGCTTCCACAACAACTCACACCCACGAGAGGGAGGGCCTGCCACCAGGCTGCTCCCACTGGCCAGGTGGGAGGGGGCTCCTCAGCCCGAGAGAACGAGAACAGAACGGCACTCCCTGGCAGCTTACTCTGTGCGACGGTGAGCCCACACAGGCTCGCTGTTGTTAAGTCACCTCATTTCATCATGGGGATGGCTATTCCACAGATGACAGGACAGATATGGAGAGGTCACATGACTCCCCCATGGTCACGTAATGAGGAAGGACAGGGAGGGGTCACCCTCAGGCCTGACTCCATCCTGTGCTTTGCCCTTGGAGTTCACAGCTACCTGTGTGGGCAGAAAACTGCAGCCAAACATTTAATTTCAAGTGTTCCTGGGCTGGCAGGAAGAAATGCAAATCCTCTTTGGAGGAAAACAACTTCAAACCAGGCCTTTAAAAACTCCCAAAATACAGCTTCAAGGAAAATAAACAATAAGGTCATAGTTTAAAAAAATTCATAACATGCAAGGAAACAAGTCAATATGAGCGAGAGCCAGCAGAAACAGCAGCAGAAGAATCAGACTTAACAAGACTTCAGACATGGGGTTTATTGGAGACAGATTATGAAGTAACAAGTCTGAGAAATAAGAGACTTAAAACCGTAAGGAAGAAGAGATTATAAAGAATGACCAAGCAGATTTTAGAAGAACCCCATAGAACTTTCAGAAATGAAAAAAATACAGTAACTGACATTCAGATGGTCCAACATGTGGAGTGGGTTTCCAGAAGGGCGCAGTGAGAAGGGAATGAGGCAGCACTCAATCCCCAAAATGTCCATTCTCCCCTCAACAGACCAATGTAACGTGCTTCCAATAAAATTCTTAGCTGGGAGTTGTTTCTGCCCCTCCAAGGATCCTGGCAAGATGATTCTAAAATTTATACGGAAGAGCAAAGATATTCCTAGAGAAGAATGAAGTAGGAGGACTTGTCCTGCCATTATCAACACTACTTACAAAGCTATGCAGTTAGCACAGTGCTGGAGCAGGGCCCAACGAGCCAAGGGAACGGACGGCGCATCCATGGGAACGTGCATCGCTGACGGGGCGGCAGGGCTGGGATGGGAGCCACTCGATCGAGGTGTTGGGCTGCGGGTTCTCATACAGGAAGTCCCTCACTCACACCAGCCACACACATCAACAGCAGATGGACCAGAGTGTGAAAGGCAAAAAGGAGGCACTGAAGAAACACATCCCAGCTTCATCCGCGCCGGCCTGGGGAGGCGGGGAAGGGGTTCCGCCTCGCCCGGGGACGCAGGTCCACACTGACCCCTGAGCTCCTCCTCTCTTTGGCTCCTCAGTCGGCCTGACGTCCAGGCAAGGGCTCCGATGCATCGGATCACCGTCTCTACACAGTGACACCCCAGGGGCCCTTCCACACACAGCTTTTTAAAAATGGAGCTGATTTCTGCTGTTTTCCTGCCTCCTGCCTCTCTTCCTTTCATGTTCCTTCTCGCTGGTCTCCTGTCTGCTGCCCCTAACATAGGTAGAGTGACCTCTGCTAACCTGAGGGCTGAGACAGGACACAAGGTGGCGCCGTCTGAGAGACTTCCCACAGGAAAGAGAACAAGGCCTTGGGACATTTTTAAATATTCACTTTCTGGCTCTGTTGTTGACAACTGAGGTTGCTGGACTGTGACTCCAAGGACAGCTGAGCTGTGACCGTGTGGACGCACATCTCACTCTCTCCTGAAAGCAAAAGAACTGATCTTAAAATGGAGGCCCCTTTCAAAGCCATCCCCTCACTGGGCATGCCCCTGAGGGACACTCCCTCTGCTCACAGATCTCTCGGGGCAGCCTGCAAGGTCACCTCCCTTGCCACATGGACAGCAGCTGGCTTTCCTGCCATTCATAAACTTCCCACCCACAGCCGGGCACGCTGCAAGTGAGCCACCTCAAGTACTGACAGCAGCTGCAGGGAGCCAGGACACAATGATTTAAGAAATCCTCACCTTCGATATGGAGCCTTTTGTGCTACAATAGAATGGGCATGGCAAGCAGGGGGCAGGGGACGGGCAGGGTGAATGTAAGAAAACAGCAGGAGCCCAACCACTTCATTCTCAGTTCTCAATGTACCTGTGGCCAGCAGAGGGCAACACGGCACCTCTGGGCTGGTGTTGGCCCCTTCATGCAGGGGCCAAGGCAGCATGGATGTATCAGACCCAGTTCTCCAGCCCCAGCGGAAAGCCCATAGAAGACACCAGGCAAACATCTGATCCCTATGCACTGTGGCTGACAATCTTGGCCACATACACAGAAAATCAAAGCCTATAAGCAAATTGATGATGAACATTTAAATTTCATTCACTTGGGGCTGGCAGAGTGCCATAGTGGGTTAAACCACCACATGCGACACCAGCATCCCAAGGGGTGCTGGTTTGGTTCTAGTCCCGGCTGCTCCACTTCCGATCCAGCTCCCTGCTAATGCACCTGGGAAAGCGGCAGAGGATGCCCAAGTGCTTGAGCTCCTGCCACTTCTCAGAGAGAGAGAGACTCAGATGAAGGTCCAGCCTCCTGGCTTCAGCGCTGCCCAGGCCTGGCTGTTGTGGCCATTTGGGGAGTAAGCCAGTGGTTGGAAGATACCTTACTCTCTCTCCCTCCCTCTTTCTGTAACTCTTTCAAATAAAATAATCTTTAAAAAATAAATTTTGTCAAAAATAAAAAATTAAAAAACAATAAATTTCATTCACTTAAAAATAATTTATGGTTAGCTGAGTCAAAACAAATTGGGCAGCAGGGAGGCTCTGAAAACTCACAGGCCGCACAAACGCAGAGCTTTTG